CGAACCGTCAGTGGGAACGGGGTTAGGGGTGGCAGTGACAGTGATAGTGATTTGAGGGCCACCATCAGTAGGGGCCGGGCCGTCGGTGTTGCCGTCAGTGTTGCCGTCAGTGTTGTTGCCGTTACCGTCAGTGTTGTTGCCGTTACCGTCGGTGTTGTTGCCGTTACCGTCGGTGTTGTTGCCGTTACCGTCGGTGTTGTTGCCGTTACCGTCAGTGGGAACGGGGTTAGGGGTGGCAGTGACAGTGATAGTGATTTGAGGACCACCATCAGTAGGGGCCGGGCCGTCGGTGTTGCCATCAGTGTTGTTGCCGTTACCGTCAGTGGGAACAGGGCCGTCGGTGTTGTTGCCGTTGCCGTCAGTGGGGACAGGGCCGTCGGTGTTACCGTCGGTGTTCGAAGCAGTGTTGTTACCGTCAGTGTTCGAAGCAGTGTTGTTGCCGTCAGTGTTCGAAGCAGTGTTGTTACCGTCAGTGTTCGAAGCAGTGTTGTTGCCGTCAGTGTTCGAAGCAGTGTTGTTACCGTCAGTGTTCGAGGCAGTGTTGTTATCATCAGTGTTAGAAGCAGTGTTCGAAGACAAATCAGCAATCGACGACGATGCAACAGCAGACTCGGTAGCAGAAGACTCAGCAGCAGACGATTCAACAACCGAAGACGATTCAGCAGTAGACGAAGTTTCAGCAGCAGAAGATTCAGCGACAGAAGACGATTCAGCAGCAGACGAAGATTCAGCGGCAGACGAAGATTCAGCGGCAGACGATTCAACAGCCGAAGACGATTCGGCAGCAGACGACGATTCAACAGCCGAAGACGATTCGGCAGCAGACGATTCAGCGACAGAAGACGATTCGGCAGCAGAAGATTCAGCGACAGAAGACGATTCGGCAGCGGAAGACGATTCGGCCGACGAAGATTCCACAGTCGAAGACGACTCAAGAGCCGAAGTCATAGTTTCGGTGACGGTGGAGGCTTCCGAAGACGACGACGATTCGGTTTCAGTGGGAGGAATAGGGGCTTCCTTACAGGGCATGCACATGTCAGCCTTGGTAGCACCATCGGGGATGGGACCAACGTAGCGCAAACCATTGTTAGAGGCCAAAATGGTCAAGTCGACGGTGTCAAGTTGGAAAAGGGTAGGGTCGTAACCAGTACCAATGAGGAACAGGTTGGTGACAAGTGCGTTCCAGAGTTTCAAGACCCCGGTTTCAGCATCGTATTCGAATTTAGTGATGGTCAAGTCGGTACCGATGATGTTACCATTACCGTAGCCGGCCACGGTGTAAGGTGAGCTGGCGTGAGCACCGGCCACAGCGAGCTTCGACGAGGCGTCTTCCAACACGAAGGTTTGAGTGGTGTCGATAGGGTATAAGGGGTTGGCGAGATGGATGTAGGCATCTTGTTGAGCAATGATGCACCCCGAACCTCTGACCCGGGTTTGTTGGGAGTATTCTTGGTTGAAGAGACACACGGTACCTTCGTTAGTGATGGTACCACCAGCAGCACCCATGTAAGCAATACCGGAGTTCTTTTTCTCGTTTCTGATGCTGATGAGACCATTGTTTTCCCAGTTGGACGAGGTCATGTAGTAGTGGGGAGTCCCGTTCGACCCGTCACCAATGAAGTAGATCTCACCATCGTTCTTGAACCAGTGAGAGATCAAGTCGATAGAAGGAGGCAAGTTAGATTGGATCGAGTTGAAAGCAATGGTACCGTAGTTTTGAAGAGTGTTCAACGCGCCAGTGAGCACAAACTTAAGCCCCTTGCTCATCGACTTAGAAGTGACATAGAGGGCGGCGTCTTCACCAACGGTGACTGAACCCAGAATGTCTACCCTTCTAACGTCGACAATGGACCAGTAGATACCAGGGAAGATGGTGACATCACCCAATTGAGAGACAAAACTGTCATCAGAAGTGATCTTGTTTTCTTGGATCACAGTGCTGGCGGCGGAAATTGCCGTAGCGAGAGTGATTAAGGTCAACTTCATAACAAAGCGTGATGGAGGTTTTGAAACAGCTAGGCGGGCCCCCCTTTATAGGCTAAGTTTTGGGTTTCCCAAAGTACACTCTAATACGCGTATTTTGCGACCTGCACTCGTGCATAAGCGTTAAAGATTTTCAACAATCAATGCTGCCAAGCGCAAGGCATTGTTTGAATCGCCGGGTTTATTTTCTTGTGTAAGTTTATTTTGGTCATGGTCAACTTTGACTTCCTCCACACAGTGGTGGCACCCCATTGATGACCACAATAATTCTTTAGCCGCCCCACGTATCATATCGTACATCACTGCGATCATCTAAACGCGGGCTTGATCACCGGTGCAGCTTCGTGGATGACGTACTCTGCAACCCTCTTCATGTCCACCTCAACCGCGTTCTCGTCAAACTCTGCGGGGTCTAACCTGCTTAAGCACATTCGCCTCAAATTTACGGATGAGCAACAATGGTGGCTTAGTGGGCTTAGCAGGATGCTACAATAAGAAGATCTGCGAACGCAAGGTCCCATGAAGCAAGAAAATCAAGCAATACTTGTGGCTTGATATTTGCGGACAAGGCAATGCTTTCAGTGCTTGAGAATACGACCAACACTTGTGACTGGGTGTTGTAAGCGGCTTTGGACTGCGTATTTCTCGGATGCACTATAATTCTGACGTCGATGGAGCTACAGAACACATGCATAAACTGCGCTATGCGGCATCAGGAATTATTTATAACTGGACGGTATTAACTAGACGGCCACGAGCCAAGAAACATCCCAATTGGTCTGTTTACGTTAAAGGGTCCTTGGCATGTTCTACTATCACGAATGAACCCAGCTTCATCATCGGTTTGATGAATAGCGGACTGTCTAACCTTATCTTGATTGCAACGAGTATGGTTCCATTAACCCCTGGTGCCCACCGATAGTGGTGATGGCGGCAATCGCCAATACTGTGCTCGCAATGCGTACCCATCTTGATCGGGGTACGCGGGGGCGTCGAAGCATGCAGATAATTTTTTTTCCGCCTGTGCCAAGATATATATTATAATCGCATTGTTTGAAGATGCGACTGGTACAACGCGAATGAAAAGGGGTTGTAATGATACATCCACCGAGTTGTAGGGTTGGAAACAACAATGAAGAGACTGATGGTTTCGTACGGCGATTTAGCGAAGCTCTCGCTAGCCCTAGTCAAAAATTTACTCAATTACGGGGTTTGAAAGAACGTACAGTTAAATGGCATTTTGACATTTGTGTTAAAAAATTGCGAAGAATCGATCATACCGCATTCAATTATTCAAAATCTACGAGTGTCGACTTTCGCATTTAGAATGGTAATTGTCGTAAGCTTCAATATGTTCACCAGACAAATCAAAGTAATTGCTTTCATCTTGGTTTCATGACCAACCGAAGGCCACAAACACATATCATTAAGAAATGAATCTTATACAATTCCCGAAAAGCTGAATTCCCGTGGGAGCATCGTTCTTATAGCGTAGGTGAGGGGCTCAGTACAATCATAGAAAGTTTACAGGTTGTCATGATGTAGGTTATCCGTGTTTATGCTCTGAAAACATCACATTCTGTTGAGAATCGGATCCACCGGGATTCTCTGTAGAACTGGAAAGGTTCTCATATTGGTTCTCCGACTTGCGGTCAGATTGTTTGGGGGGCATTCTGTAATATAGGCACAGTAATCCGAGGAGTGATAAGCAAAGGCTTAAAGGTAACAAATGTAGTAATAAAGTTATAAAGATAGATAAGGATAGATGATCGATTCTCAGTTCATTTCCCCAGGATATCCATGCGTTGCTGTCAACGTGTATATGCAGTCCGGGGGGTAAACGCCACAGCGTGTGGTTATAGACCGAATAGTGATTTGGTTCTGGCAAATCACGTGCAGTGGAAAACACGGTGCCACAACACATTCAACGGATTGTTCGAATACAATTTGTCTTGAGCTGCTACTCTTGGTGTAGTCGCGAATTCATGAAGTCAATCGAGCGACTATTATAAAAATTTCGAAAAACAGCGGTTTTGGTAAGCGCACGAATAAAATTCACTTATGAGTTCTACACGACCATCTCGAACATATGCATAGCCTAAACATCCAAAAAGAGTCTGCAAAAGGCTCTTGAAGATCAGGATCGCCGAATAGCTATAATTGGAAAGCTGTGGCGCAACACATGTGCATGATACTATACCTAATTTTCGTAAACCCACCCACGGACGCGCCGTACAACTCGCTTCCGATGCCGTCACTTAACGCCGAAAAGCCACATAGAGTGTGGTCTAGCCAGGAGTAATCCCAGCAAGATAATTCCCTAGTGAATAGGTCAAAAAGAACGGTAATAACACTCATATATGATTAGTACTATCAATCAAACGACAGGTCTACTGCCCATTGCTTCTTCCCTAAACTTCCTTAGCAGGAAATAGCCTCCCGCATGGCGATATATTTTTAGCTTAAAGGGTGATCGAGAAGCCGTAAACCTGGCAAACTTGCATGTGCCTAGAGGCTAAGTATCATTTGACGGCTTCGGCACAGAGTAACGCAACCCCTCGATGATCCTCATTATTTCCGAGTATCCAGCAATATCCTACTTTGATGCACATATCAATCGTACATCGTCGATCACAAAAAGAAGAACAATATGTCTGACAATACCTTCCCTTAAGCATAAAACGTTTTATGAAAGTGAATCAATCGGACGTTGGACTCAATACTCTACGAACGACCACCTCTCGTGTTGATAGATCCAAATTGTGGAAAATTACTTTCAGAATACAACTCTCGGGCGTTCTTAAAACTCCAAACTTCATGGGGGTGGTATTCAATATGAGTTACTGTCAGATGCCGAATTTTGGAAGAGAAACTTGCGTCATGGGTCAAATGATTTGAGAGGAATGATGACGACAATGTGAAAATGATTTCCCCAATGTGTTGTGCCGTGAGGAATCGTCAATAAAGGGCTCAGTTTGACTCAACAGGAATTTTAGCAGAGATTCCCTAGCTCAAGACTTCTTAATTACATCAACAAGCCCTTACTTTTGGTACAAACACCTGAGGCCAGTGTGTGGGCATTTGAATGGATACTCTCCGTTGCACAAGGACTTGGTGCTAGAAAACCACAGCATTTCAAAACAGTGAAAGCTTCTTGAAATCCAAGACTACTGCGTTGCAAGTTAAAGGGTTCCATAACTCAGTTTCCAGTGTTGGCTTGACTCGTACCACAAGCCGGATATTATGGTGAACTGAAAATTTGACCAGTAGAATCACAAAAGTCAAGTCTATAACCACACTATTTCACTATCCACTCCTCAAAAGAGCCGACAATTGGCTCATGTGGGTTCAAAGCCTGTAGAACCCTGTTGAACCCCATAGTGTATACATATCCAGCCAAAGAGGGAATCAAAAGTTCAACACCATTTCCAAATCTCTAGACTCTTGTGACTCAGTGTCACGTAATCAACAAGACCATACTCAAAACACCCTTTGACACACCACACTGAGCCGTTCAAATAGTTTGATCGGCGTACTCGACTCCCCTGTGCTAAGCACCACTGACTCTATGGGGCCCGCGCCTTAGCCCCCCGACGCCTTTGAGACCGACAGCACCCAGAACACCAGAAGGGCCTAGCTCAAGCTTGGTGTTCATCATATCAAGCACAGATTCTACAGCATTAGTTAACGCCTGACCCCAACAAACGCTCAGTTTTGGTCTTCACCCTCAGTGTCTACTTACTGATCTCAGTCTTACCAAGTCTGAACCTGGCCCATGTCACGTGAGCGCTCATACTTCGAGAAACTACGTGATCAAGCAAACATGAAGCTAACACACCTTAGATGCCAAAACCTCAAAACCCCACAAATTCATCATCAACAGCTCTCACCGAGTAACTACTCCTAATCGAAAAACGAAACACCCTCAAAAGCGACTCTCATGATCCGAATTCTACGCTGACCCAGCTTTAGTTGACCGTCTTTTCTTCATGGACTCTACTCTTTTGTCCTATTTTCGCCACCACCCAACTCCACTTATCCTATCCTTATTCGACTCCTACAGTTATCTTTTTTCTCTGCCCTCTTCCCAATAGCTTTAACTAAATGCTAGCTTCGCGCTCGCGCTGCGCTCAAACTGCCTCTGGGGGTCTCCATCTTATCGCTCATCGCGCGCGCGCAGCCTCCCTCATCGCATCGCATCGCCCTTGAGACCCACCATGATCAAGAAGAAGACGCCGACGGCGAGCCGGCGGCGCCATGCGTTCAAGAGCTTTCGAGAACGGATAGACGCCATCCGCATCGAACCGTCGCTCAACCTCACCAAGCGGGCGCTGGACTACGTCGAGGTCTCGCACTTCCTCACCACCCTCAACCACTGGGAAGAATGCAATTTGCTGGGCAACTTCGTCGCCTTTGTCGACGCCACCAGGCCGTTGGTGCAGAGTTTGCCCCAGCTCCTTTTCCACAAGCAGAAGGTGTGGCAATTGTTGCGGCGCCACATCAGCGAGGGCGACCGCTTCTCGTTACAGCCGTTGCTCGAGCTTTTGACCCAGTTTATCCACGATTTGGGGCCTGAGTTCATGGAGTTTTACGCAGAGCTGCTAGCGCTCTTACTCGACATCGCGACGAGGGCGCCGGAGATCGCCGGCAGTAAGGATAAGGGCGCCCGCACCGCCGCCGCCCGCGCCGACGCCAACCTCCTCGAGTGGACGTTCACGACATTAGCCCACTTATTCAAGTACGAACAGCGCCAGTTGTCCCAGGATTTGGAGCTGACGCTCGATGGCCTTTTGCCCGTGCTTTCCGATGACGCCACCACCAAGCGGGAAAGCTATTTGACTCGGTTCGCCGCCGAGGCGCTCCTGTTCCTCATCCGCAAACAAAAGCCGGCGCAGCTAGAACACACAATCGACCTTTGCATTACCAAACAGGTGTCGGCGGCGGCGATGGCGACGCTCTTCACCGAGGCGATCACGCTGGTGCAGCAGCTGTTCCACTCGAAGGGGATGGCGATCCTCGATACCCTTGGCGCCAAAGTGGCGCCGGCGATTGTCGCCGATGTTGTACTTGCGCTTTTAGCGCACGCGCTGGCAGAGACGGCGCCCCCCGTGGTGGCCACAGCGCTTAAACACCCCAGTTGGCCGGTGGTGGCGGCGCTTACCTTCGCCGAACTGGGGAAAAAGATTAACGATTGGAGCGCCATTGCTCAAGCGATCATCGATCTTGAAGTGGCGCCGCTGCAGCGCCCGTTAGCCGCGTTCACGTTGGCGCTGTTGTTCCGTAACGCCGACCCCGTTCTGGTCACCAAACACGCCGCCAAACTCTTCGACCACTGTCGCCGCTATGATTACTTTTGCCAGGCAGTCGTCGCCGCAGTTGACGTTGACCGCGCTCGCGAAGCAGCGCTCCAAGGTGGGTTGGCGAAGCAAATCGCTAAGTACAGCGCCGACACCAATACCAGCAGTAAACAGCTTGCGCTTTTGAAATGGCGTCTTCGCCATGTGCCCGTGAACGTCCCCGTATCCCCGGAAACCCGCTTGGAAGTGGCTTCCGCCATTAACGCCGACAGCCCTCAATTCTGGCACATGGTGCTTGTTGACGGCCAGGTGCCGGACCCTCGTCGCGTAGCGCAACAGCTTATCGATTCCAAAAACGCTAACGGGCTTGCCCTCGTGATGAATGCCGTGAATGACGCCGCTGACGCCGCTGCAATTTTGGAGTTGGTGCTTAATCTGCCCCCTTATACGGCGCTGGTGATGGCAGGAATTGTACACTTAGCTAAAGTGGCTAGCGATAGCCTTAAGGATGAATTACGCCAACAATTAAGCCAGCGCGCCATTAGTGCTGTCGGGGCGCTGATCCATGAGCTTAGAGCACCGGCAATTGAGCTCTTAGCTGCGCTTATGCCTGAGCTGGAAGTGGTGGCTCTGATCAGAACCATCGAGCTGGTGCCGCTTACTTTGGATACCGCGAGAGATATCCAGCTTCGGTTTAGACAGTTTGCTGCTGATTTCACTACTAAGCGCCACCTGGCTACCGAGACTACTATTGCCCAAACCTGGCTCATTGGCCAACTTCTGAACCGGTTCCAACCGCTGTGGCAGGGTGTCCACGCGGCGTTACCCAAAATTGGCTTGCTGTGGGACATCTGTGCCGTCTACTTGAACGGGGGAGTGGTCCCTGAACAAATTAACGAGGACGAAGCTACCTTTGAAGATGAGGCTAATGACGATGAAATGGAGGTTGACGAAGACGACGACGACGAAATCGAAGTGGCGAGTGAGTCCCGTTTTGCCTCTGCTTTCGAACAAAGCGCTGCTCTGACCTCGATCTTCACCAGAGTAGACTCGGCTTTAATCGAGGAGCTGAATGCCGATGAGGCTCTGCCTACGGTGGAACTGATGCGTACCCAAGTTCTCAAGGCGTTTGTTGCTGTTCCTCAAGCAGTGCTGGACTACGGTAATACTCTTGCCGGCTATGTGGCCAGCGATGAAAGCCGCGATTGGACTATTCCCGAGCGTAACTTGGCTATCACGGCGTTGCTGAACTTACCCGTGAGCTCTTATGCTAATGGCGATGCCCTTAAACAAGTGGCCCTTACCCTTTTGGGAAACATGCTGGTAGCCACTCAAAAGCTTGCCCTTGCTCTCCTCAAGCAGTATAAGGATTTGGGGATTGTCCGCAAGTACCAGGACACCTTGCTGCTGTTGCTTGACGACACGTTGTTCCGCGATACCCTCAGTGGGCTTGAGTTCGAGCACGGCGACGTTGACAACGTGATGCCGTTCGTTGTTCGCATTCTCTTTGGCCGGGTCCAAGGTGGGAACTCTAAGGGTAACAAGGTGGTGCTGCACAAACACGCCGTGTTGAGCTACTTGCCGAAGCTTGAACGGAGCCATTTGGAGGAGTTCTTACTGGTAGCAGCGCAGGCGACTCGATTCGATGCTGAGAGATATGATATGCTGTACATGCACAGACTCTCTGGTTACGTGACCCTTTTGCTTCAAGTGTTTGGGGTGGTCAGAGATGCTCTGTTGGGCGCAGCGATTGCTCCCTTAGCGCAAGTCATGGCCACCGCTGACTCTATTCTTTCTGCTACTTCTGACCATGAGGAAGTGGTAATTAAAGCCGCTCGTACCGTCCGTGGTCTTGGGTTTAAAGCACTCGCCATGCTTTTGAACTCAGTATCCCTCGATTGGAGCTTATACTTGGATGACGTCATGGCGATGGTTTCGCCTCGTTTGCCTCATTTCATGCTGGAAAACCTTCAGCAAGTCTCTGGTGTGATGCTGACTTTGACGCTGGCAGCTACCCTGCCGGTAGACCTGGGTCTTTTAGTGTTAACTACTGAAGACTTTGCTGGTGCTAGAGCGTTGCTTAGTGTGCTTAGCCACCCGGAAGTGAAGCCCGATGTTGCCGTCCACGTGCTCCAGTTCTGTGCCGACGTGTTTGCCCGTCAACGTGGTGATGACGCTTACTATGAGCTTGTGGCCCTCTGTGTATCCTCCGTGATCGAACACTTGCCTGCCATCATCCCTCGTCTTGAAGATGTCGATGTTGCTGTCAGTGTCTTGCTTACCATTGTCACTAGGGAATACTTGGACAGCAGTGCCCACGCCGACCAGTTGCTTGTCGCTTTGGTGCTGACGCTTAATCGCGCCCGCAGTGATGTGTTGAAGGCGATGGTGCTTCTCCTTGGCCCTCAAGTCTCGCAGGACACTTACCACATGATCTATAAGGCGTTGTGTCCCCTTTTGATGAAGATAAAGGACTACCACTTGCGCCAGGACATTGTCACGTTATTCAGTGCCCTTGCAGTGCCGATGGCCTCGGTGATTGCTGAGCTCAACGCTCTCGACCGTGGTGAATTCGACTATGAGCGTCGTTTAGCCGCTTACAGACAGCTTACTGATTCTCAGTACCTCACATTGACGCTGTTTGACTGGCTCTCCGTCGTCTCCAACGCCATCTACTACCTTGGAGTTGACGATTTGCCCATCTACACCAACGCCCAGCTCGTGCTCACTAAGTTTATTCTGGTTGCTCACGAAAAGGCGAAAGATGTATTTGACGAGGTGCTTTTGCCTCAACTTCAATTCGGGCTTAGAGGCACCAACGACCGCTGGATTGAAGTGCTCGCTGCTATTGTCACCAGTGGCCACTACTCTGAATTTGCTGACTTACAACCGTTCGCTGATAACGAGATCTTCGCTGTTTTGACCCACATCCAAATCCCCCAGAGAGCCCTGGCGATGAGAAAGATTGGTGAAGTTGCTCCTACTCTCGGTTCTGACTCCGCTAGTCACTACGTGATGCCGATTCTCGAGCGGTACGTGCTTGACAATGTTGACAAGAACTCGTTGGTGTCGTTGGATGCCCTCGACGCTGTTTCGCCCGTGGTTTCTCGCTTCAACTGGCAACTGTTCAAGACCATTGTTAAGCGGTACGCGAAGCAAGTGAAGTTCTTGGAGCGTGAAGCCGGTGAAGATGGCGATAGCACCAATTTGAAGAAGTACGTGTGGCTTTTGGAAGCGGCGTCGAGACTGTTCCGCCACTTGAACAAGCCTCAAGAATCTGTGGTGCCTTACGTCACTAAGGAGTTTATCCCCACCGTGCTTCCGTTGTTGGATAAGCGTAACGATAACACCATCAGTGTGCGGTTGTTGCTTGCCGTTGCTCTTGCTGAAGTGATTGATGCTACCGACGACGACGCCACCATCGCTGCTGAAATGCCTCCCGTGATTCTCCCCACGTGTAACGTGATGAAGTCTCGTACTGGTGATCTCAGAGATGCTACTCGTAAGGTACTTTTGCGGATCGTCAACCTGGTTGGGCCCCGTTACTTGAACTATATCTTTGACCAGCTTAGAGCTACCCTTGCCAGAGGGTCTCAGATCCACGTGTTGGCGTATACCGTGCACTACCTCCTCACCCTGGCTTCGTTGAAGCACCAAGGTGAATTGGACGACTGTGTCGGTACCATTGTTGATGTGGTCATGGAAGACGTTTTTGGGGCTGCTGGTCAAGAAAAGGACGCTGAGGGCTACATCTCGAAGATGAAGGAAGTTAAGGCGAAGACGTCGTTTGATACCATCGAGATCGTCGCTGGCCACGTGCTGTTGCCCAAGTTTGGCCGGGTATTGGCTCCGATTAAGATGTTGCTTAGAGAACACATCAACCACAAGACTCAAGTGCAATTGGACGAGTTGATCCGCCGTGTCAGTGTGGGTGTGCTTAAGAACCCCGCCTCAGGGCTGGTGAGCATGTTGCAGTTGTGTTTCGACGTCCTCCAGATCCCTAACGAAGTGGACGCTGAAGAGGCTAAACCTAAGCCCCAAGTGGTGCAAAACCCTAAGCGTGGTGACGAGTCGTTCTTTGTGGTGCTGATGAACCGCAAACAGCTGCTGAAGGCGTGGGACTCCACTCATTTCAAGGGTTTCTTCTACCGGTTTGGTCTCGAGATGTTACGGTCAGCGGTGGCCAAACACCCTCAGCTCCAGTCTGTAGGGTCGATGGCTCAGTTTGTACCCTTATTGAACCAGTGTTTGGCCAACACTGATGAGCTGGTGGTGATGCTGGCTCTCAGAATGTTGGATGTCATTGTTAAGCGTGGCCTCGGTGCTTCTGCCGATGACGTCACTGTCGCCACCAACCGGGCTCTCGAGATCATTTCTGACGCTCTGTCCACTGACGAAGAAGTGTGTCAAGCCGCTTTGAGATTCTTGACCACGGTGCTTCGTCACCAGGAACTGGTGGAGCTTCCTGACCGCCAGGTGGGTCATATCATTACCAAGTGTCAACCCGATTTGGAGGACCCTAAGGCTCAAGGGTCGTTGGCATTCTCATTTATCAAGGCAGTAATGTTCCGCCATATTACCATCGTTGAAGTTTATGAAGTGATTGACGACGTTATCGCTAAGATTATGGTGGTCAACCACCACCCTCAACTCCGGGCACAGGCTCGTGACATCTACTACCAGTTCCTCATGGAGTACGACCAGCTGCGGGGCCGTTTGGACAAGCAGTTCAAGTTTTTGGTGCTGAACTTGAGCTACCCTACTGAAGAAGGGCGCCAGCTGGTGATGGAATTGCTTAACCATATCCTCAATAACCACCTGACTACAGATGAGCTTGTATCCAAGCTTGCTCTGCTGTTGTTCGTTGCTCTTTGTCAAGTGGCTGTGGCCGATGACTCCAGTAAGGGGAGACAAATGGCGTCGTTGGTGGTGGAGAAGCTCTTGAAGCGTAAGGTCGACCACGCTCTGCTCGCCAAATACGTCGAGTTGTGGATGCAACTGGACCAGCCCATGCTCAAACGGTGTGGGTTAACCACTTATAAGATCTGGCACCTGGCGAGAGGGGAGCTGTCGTTGGATAAGGTGGCGGTTCAAGCCGTTTCTGAGATCTTACAGGACGACAACGAAGATTGGGAGTTTGTCTACGTGGCGTTGACGGTGGTGCTGCACTGGTGTACTCTGGAACGCGAGCAAGTGTTCTCGATGCTTCCCACTGAATTCTGGACTGAGTGGTTGCTCAAGTGTCTCCTTTTCCCGCACCCGTGGGTGCGTCTCCAAGCACTGAAGATCCTCGGGGTGTGGCTTGGCCACCAGCTCGATGATGCTCCTGCTGACGCTGTACAAACTGCTGCCTACCGTTTGCTTCGTCAATTGGGTACGCTGACGCTTAAGGAAGACTTAGCGACACAGGCAGTGAAGAACTTGGTTAAAATCGCCATGCACTGGCAAAAGACGAGTGCTCCGTTCATCAAGGACGAGCGCCTGGAGCTGGACTACCCGCTGGCGCTCGCGATGCTTGTCCACCGTACCTGTGGTATCCTCCGTCAAGACGCCCACCGTACCGACTTAAAGGTGCTGAAACAGTCGGCAATGAAGTTTGCGGCGATGCTTATTCAGATCATCCCTGAAGCTGAGCTCACTGGCCCCGCGGAAGCGATCGTTTTGGCGTTACACATTTACATTGAACCCGGTGAAGGCGACTTACACGACTTGGCGTTGGAAGTGCAACAAGTGCTTGAGTCCAAGCTTGGCGTCACCGAATACTCGCGACTCCACGCTCAGGTGTACCAGCAGATCAGCCAGAGACGGTTGGAGCGTAAGCTGAAGCGGGCTCAGTTGGCGGTGACGGCCCCCGAGGCCGCGGCCAAGCAGAAGATCAAGAAACACATGAAGGAGCGGGAAAAGCGTAAGAACCAGAAGGATGAGAACGGTTACTATCATACCAAGAAGAAGCGGAGACTCTGAAGAAATAAGAGAAGAATATAGAACATTGTATCATATAGTTAATTCATTTTGCATTAGGAAATTTCTGACCTAGGCCTGGTTGTTGTAGCATTTGACGATTGCAGGCAGCGACGTGGGTACGCTGCTGAATAGAATTTTATAACGGGCGTCGCGCTATGGTTGTACCAAGCCACCATTCCCAACTGCTTTGAGAATTTGAAACGAAGTCCAGCAATTGTTTCAATATTAAGCCGAGCATTAGTTTGAAAGATCTAGTGGGGCCAGTGGTTTCCTTAGGTTTGGGTCGTAATCTCTCCTGTAGCGACGCCCATTTTCTCTTAGTTTTTCGTGCTAATAATTTGCTCTTGGTGCAGGAGCTGTGCGGGTGGTGCGAATTTCTGTACAACGCTCACTACCACATACCGACCACCCTTTCGGCTAGACGACATGCCCTCCACCGTCGTAAATTCAGCAACGAATACGTGACCTCAGCGGCCTTCTTGAACAACTACAGAGTGAGAGAAACAAAGGCACGCCACAATCGTCATTGGTTCACTGGAGATGTGGGCCTCATGGCGGCTTACGCGACACGAGCATGCACCAACAATGGACCTCGTTGTGTAATTGGATATGATCGATAACCATCTGCTAGACGAGGGGAAACTTTTGAATTCGTCCATAGTGACGAGGTCGTGTAAAAGCGTCGTCGTCGCTGCCATTGACAATACGCTACTAATGACTCTGCTGATCAAATCAAAAGAGAAGCTGTCCTCTTCCGGCACAAACGTGTTCAAGCAGCCTCCACTGTTATCAGAGAACGAGACGCCTACAGTTTCAACCGATAAGCGACAGAGCTTATCGACTACCAAGGCGTCGTCCAGAGACCATCGCAAACCAGGCTCTTTTGGCAGCTTAAGGAAACATACTTTTGGGACAGACTCACCACACGAAAATTGGCAGATCACCTGTTGAAACATTGTCACTCTCACTGTGCGTGCCTGTGACTGGATCAATTTCTACGCTAACCCCACGCTGAAGATCAACCCCGTCCTTCTCGATTGGATTATGATGGTTTATATTGAGATGAAACACCGAGATTGTGTGATTAGAAGAGGTAAAATCTCTCAGACTATAGCTGAAACAGGTTATTCGGACAGGCGAACAACGTGGTTGGTCTTTCTCACAAGGGGGGATATTGATGACTCCTATTAGCGACCCCACAAACAAAAATTACGGAATTTTCATGTTTGAAGTGCAAGACTGCAAAGTCGAATACGCCTGCTTCACCTCCTGTCAAATTCTTTCTAAGAAATCGGTCAAAGCGCGTCTTAGGCAGATATTTATCGACTTTCCTGACGACTGCGTTGTCAAAGCGACTATGACTGGATATTATAATGCTTCCTTGATCTCTGAATGCTACCCTCGACTCCAGGTGTTGTTTGCTTTACTTGCAATTCAGGCGCTGCAAGATTCACGAGGAAACTTTGAGAAGGCGAAACTGACCTTCGTGAAGTCAATCAGAAGAGGACGCGAACGTGTTCAGCTCTTTCGGCTTATTGAGCAAGTGGCGGATAATATCTATCTGGGTGATTTCCCATTCAAGCGATTTTTCAATAGATCTTTGAGTCAAAAGGATCACTATTCATCTAAATACCTGATCGCTTGGGATCAAATTGTCTGGATTACTCCCATCGAGAAAACTTAACTTCAAACTCCGATCAAAGACGAAGACCGCCGTTCGAGTGCTGATGAACCCGCGACGCCTCTGCCTGAAGCTCAAAGCCCAGATACTCGAAGCCAACTGGAGGAGCCTAATATTGAGTCGGAACACCCTGTCCAGGAAAGTTCATCGTTGCCCAAAGATTTGCCAAAGTTAATCCCGGTGCAGCGGTACCACCTCAAAAAGGACCTTGAATACATGCGTCAGTATCTTGACCAGCCTGGGTACTAGGTACTACGTGTTGACGTTAGGGTAAAACTCGATTCTGCCTTTGATCCACACCGCCACCAAGCCCCGCCATACTGTTGTGGACACCCAACAACGTCTCCCCCGATGTGATAGTTGTGTGTTTCACAACGATGTGTGGACCCGTATTCCACTGTTGATGGCTACCATGAACGGATCGGTGGCGGCAGCTAATCTATACCGTCTTACCGAACGGATGAAGGTGGGGATCAACGACTTTGCCGTCGACTATACGATTTACCCCATGAGTGACGGTGGAGTGAATCCGGGATTGCAAATTGTGCCTCGTTTGGTATCAATCGTGCAACACCGCTACACCGCTATGTTTTTGAAAGGCTCCCGCCTACGTACCCAAAGCATATGTTTGCGCGGGACCAGAAGATCCCGGTGAACCCGTTTGAGCACATGCACTGGGCGAATGCGGAATACTACCTCAAAGTCATTCATGAAGTGTGCCGTTGCGCCATTCGCCGAGCCGAAATCGAGCTTGACCTTGATATCAACCTGAGGATGAATAGTGACGAAATCTTTGAGAATGTGGAGGCGATGAAGCACATCATCTGTGTGTTTAAACTTTCCCGTACTGGTACCAGTTCAACCCCGTGTACATGTTAAAGCACCCTGGTGTCAGCAATAGCGACATGATACGCGCCTTGAGCAAGACCAACCGCTTAATCGATCTCGCCTTATTACGGGCAAACCTATGATTGATGACGTCTCTGTTTGACAGTTCAGCGTCTTTATTGAGAAATTATGTGTTGAGAGAATATCTATCTGAGAGAGTATATCTATATGTGAGAATAAATAAAATCTGTTTTAATAGTATGTAAGATCGTTTGGGCGGTTGGTCTATATTCACAACTCTTTTGATCGACAACTTGCAAATTTGTCCACACGCGCATATTCATATTGGAATCAATACAGTTGACAGGTTTAGTCTACAGGTTGATTACAGGATCACTTATCAATCCACCAATACCTACGAACCTCAGTGAATTTTCCTCCGTTGCCCTGGTAATAGGTCTATAATAACATGAGAGAAACATCTATTCTGGATTGAGATAACACAATTGGCGATAACGTTTGAGATGAATGAAACGTGGAGCATCGAGGGTTTCAAGTTGATTGTGTATTGCACGGATACTGGAAGTGTGTCACAGGCACCACACAGCGGCTGAACGTGGCCCAATCGTCTCGCCAGCGCCAAGTTGTGCCCAGACGGCGTCGGATGGTATCGAGGTTTGGTAAAGTGAACGGCGAAAGCTTTTGGAGCATATGTGGCCACTGGACGGTTGTTGGTAAGCACCAAACGGGGGTCTATACATGGCCGACCCTCCACGGATCTGGAGGCAGCGGCGGGATTGGCACCCAAATCCCGCACCTCAGAAATCAGGCGCCAGCTCACCCGCCACGCCGATGTTTGAGCCGGCGTAGCTAGTGGGGCCCCTCGAGGTGCCAAAGAGTGCCAAACAGCGGTCTATACATGGCTGACCCTTTTGGTGCTGGCGGCAATTCGAGTTTAATGTCCGGCGTAGACTGGCGACCTGCATATTGCCACTGTGAGGACTCGAACGCTCTGGTGTGTCCGATAGACAGAAAGTTGACCTTTATTCAGGTTTCCTGACAAAATAGTAAAATTCTCAATAAATTACAACACTTCCATGGAGTTGGCACAAGCACCGGCGGCTGCGTCTGATTCTTTACACTCGATATTGACTTTCTCCAACTAGAGGCCCTGATCGTCCGCTGTACTGCTACTTCTTTGGAATGGATAACTACAACCTGGTGTGTGAATCTCGCTCTTGAATTATTATGTACTTGGACACATGGCGCGCGGAGATACTCGCGATCTACGATGGTCCATCAAAATGAACAACTCGAAAAGATGAATTGCGAGAAAAGAAGAGAAACCTGAGGAACAGCCCCGCGACAACTGCCCATCACAAACAGGGCTGTCCCAAGAGTCGACCGGGTTACCGTAATAAAGCCCCCGGTGTTCGTATTCGACGCTGCCAATTCCCAGTGCAATGATCCAAAAATACGAAAATTAAAAAAACCCCGATGAGCCCAAGGAACAAGCCAAAGCCAATTGGTGTGGCAGCAAACACTACCCCACCATTGCACGGGGTGGCCAACGATAAGCCTGTCGTTGCGTGTCTTATGCTTGTTACCCGCTGCCCTTCTTTATTCTTTTTCTTTGTTTGATGTTGCCGCCAGACATGGTGTGGTGATTAGTTGTACCTGTGTCCCCTCAACACAACCCACGCCCGTCTTACACCAGACTGAATTGGTTTTTGCGGCTGATAGCTGGACATTGCCGGGCTGCTCAACCCGAACCACGTCCACAGCATCGAAGGTCTCGATGACAAAGGAAGGATCAAACAGAGATAGGTATGTTCAAAAAAGCCTAGACAGTAGCGAGCGAAATAACCACTTGGAAAATTCAACGACGTATCAGCAACGTAGCAAGGGAAAGTCTGGCAATTTTCGGCTGTTTTGCCTCTCTTGATCTGGCATCCAGCATTCCTGTTCTGAGACAATATCGCGATCTTCAGCAAGTAGATCAATGGGGATGAGACACGGCCAACGAGTAGCAATAGCGGTGGAGACTCGACTTGAACATTGACAAGTGACTTTTTGCGGTGCCAAAATACCTACTTGTCAACTCTGTTCAATATGCGAGCGTCGTTTCGCTCCATAGCGGGTTAACTTTAATCACTTCAATCTGTTGGTGGCGAATTTTGGTGATGTGGAGCCGCACGCGTCGTCCATTAATACCCGCGCGCAGCGCGGGAACAAAGGTACAGATAGGTTATGACAGAGATTGTCAGGGTCAATGAAGAAATGGCCACACAATTGGTGTAATGTGGTGCGTATTCCAGGAAGTGAGTACTACATTGCCAGCTTAGCCGGTTACATCCTGCATATACCAACACGCGCCAATCGTCTAAGATTTCGTTCTCAATTTTTTTAGATCCTGCATACTACGCCGCTCGTTAAAGAAATTATTTCAAATTTTTATTTAAAGTTTTTTTTCCAAATTTTTTTATTCTCTCCAGAGATCTTCTGATTGCTATTATACATATATTTGAGCTGTGCCGATCATAGATTTGGATTCGGAACTCACATAATCTGTTCTGTTGATGGTAAAAGATCGATCTGAAGATTCCTTCACAACATGCAGGATTTTTACGAGAACGCACATAAATTCGCCCTAAGTATGTCACTTTCTCAGTTGAGTTCAAGAAAGTTTCACAGCCAGTAGTACAGCATTAATAAATTATAGTAGTGATATTATTTTTGATTCACTCAGGATTTCCAGTTATTAGCGCTATGTTTATGATGAGTACTGCATACAATAATCCATCTGCAGGTAGGGCAAGTAAGGTGCCATCGTTGAAACTACGTCAAATTGAACGTTAACTTACCCAGGGATTTATTTATCATACTTCTGGTGCCAAAGAATTTTATGGAGCAAATTAGAAGTTTGTACCAATTTTTCCTGATTTTATGTCACAATTTATAGTTTTTCACCAGAAAATTCAGAAAAATCCTATTTGCTATTATAAATAGTGTTTGCACCGTATATATAACAGTGGTGTAATTTGTTTCGTTCTCAGGTTCAATATAGTTGATGAAAGACATCATTGAAGAATTATAAATGATATGCACATGCAGTGCTTGTGTGCAGAACCCTAAAATTGAAGGCGTGATATATGTGTCAGTAACGGTGGCTGCACCTACAGAAACACTTTAAACCAAATAGAAATGTCCACAAACTACAACGATGCTTGTTAAAATGGGCTAGTCACTCTTTTAGTGCGTGATATATCTCACCTTGTTTTGTCTTGCATATTATTTGATGCACCTGCATACAAATGTTGTGAAAGTCGAGGTGTAATGCCAATCCTATCACTTCTACAAACATCACAGGCCAATTTCAATGCTTCCCGGATGTAACAGACTACGCCACAGACTTCAAGTCGTCCAAAAAAAAAATTTGCAAAAAAAAAAAAAGTTTTTTTATTCACCATTAAACTCACATAGAGACGCCAATTTCAAAATTAAATTGCCCAAAATCACATCAGATATACTTTCAGTGCCAAAGACTTTTGTGGTGCAAAGATTTTAATTTTATCGGTTTATCCTGATTTTAAATTACACTTTTCAGTTATTTCGAGAGAAAATTTAAGAAATTCAAACAATTCCCAATCAATGTCACACGTACTATTTGAATACTAAAAATTACAGTGATGTTGTTCGTTTTCCTCTAAGGCGTCATTTACCTCACGGAAGAACTTAGGTAGAGTTCTTCATAGTTCATGCATATAAAACTTTTGTGTGCAGGCATGAGGGCTGCAGGCATGAAATGTGTGTCAAAAGCTGTGTTAACTCTCAGAAAACCTGTCAAACCAAATAGACATGCTTGCAGACTACAATGGTGCTGAAAAAGACAAGCTGAACGTTTAGACGATCCCAAACTCGCAATCCTCTCGCACGATGCACCCGCAAACAAACATCTTCCCTAGACGAAGTGTTACAATGCTTGCATAGTAACTGCTGCAAACATCGCAAGTCGCCGCCAATGTCCATGAAATGGGTCTACGTCACACACCACCTAGGCCGGGCTCTTAAGAATGCTGAATATGCTTAACATACACTGACTGCTGTCAGCGGTGGTTGTCTTCAAATCGTGTGTGAAAACTCACACCATCTGGCCTCTCATTGTATGCAGTATGGACACAGTATCAAGAGAAACGTATGGTTTGGAAACTATGAACATAGTAGCCTACGATCCAATGATTTCAGAAACAGATATACGGAATTGTGGCTATTATATTTGAATCACAGGCTTCTCAAATATCATATACTGTCAACCTACTATTGAACATGAGTTTGATTGACCATTCAAGTCTAGTCCAATTTATCAAAGTTTACTCGTTCAGTCTCATAACAAGATCATTGTCATTAATAAGCCACCTAATTTACAACCCTTGGTGGGCTCTTCTTCTGCCTCTTTCTTCGGCAATCGACAACTTAACCCTCTTACCCTTAGGTAACGACACCCAGGGCTTTCCGGCTTCATCACCAACGGTGAAAACATTGTTTTCTCTGGTGACGAAAGTGTGGTCTCCGGCATCCTTGATGTGGACCAAGTTGAAACCCCCACGGTGGTGTTCTTGGTAGATGATGGTGCCATCACGACCCATAATCCTCCCACCGATGACCATCACCAATTTACCGGTCTCAAACTAGATGAAGTCGGTGATCTTACCCGTGGCCAAGTCGATCTTGACGGTATCGTTGACTCTGACCAAGGGGTCAGGGTATTTGATGGTTCTGCCGCCGTGAGTGACAGCGTAAGGGATCAGGCGCTTACCCAATTGGACGGCCTTAACCTTAGCCCATTTGTACGAAGCTTCTTTAGTGGTGACTCTGTGGACGGCAAATCTCCCCTTGACGTCGTAGATCAAATGGATGTTCTCGTTAGTGGCTTCAAGCGAGATGACGTCCATGAACCCGGCGGGGAAAGTGGTGTCAGCTCTCACCTTGCCGTCAACCTTGACGTGTTCCTGCATGAGGGTGGCTTTGACTTCTCTACCGTTTAAAGCATTGTTCTATTTGTTTCAATTGAACACCACCAAAGGGAGCGACTCTCTCAACTTGTGGGGCCTTGAGAGGGTCTGGGGGCGTAGGTGCCGGACAACTTGTCTAACATCCAGTGGGAGGGAGCCGCCAATCTCTTGAAGTGCTTCTTGTTGAATATGGGCAATTAATATAAAACCATCACTATCATGTTTTGTTGCATTTTTCGTTTACGTCTATCCTATGCATTCATTAACAACAGGGCCAGAACAATCAGTCAAGCTGCATTTCCGACGCGCCAAAGTCCACCTTGTAGTGCTTGCACTGCTTGACCGTCAACCCGTACTTAGCGTCTTGAGTCAACGCCATCAACTCGCCGATGGGCGCCGCCACCAGCTCCGGCAACGTGTAGTCGGAGTGCACGTACGCCACCGGCGCCGCCAGCCCCCCGGTCAACCGAAGAACCTCACCGTCAACCTGGTTCAACACCACCGTCGTCGCCTCGCGGACAACGGGCACCAGCACCGCGTGTTTAAGCAACAGCTTAAGCTTCAACAGGGTCATCCCCAATTGAGGCAAGGGCACCTCCATCCCGGGCAACACCGGCTTAGCAGCGTCGACCCCGTGTCTTCCGGTAGTGGTACAACTGTCGACCACGGTCTTCAAGTCGATAAACTTCGCCATTTGGATCGGCTTGGCCTTGACCAAGTGACGGTTCTGCACTTCGGCAAGCCCCAATTTATTCTGTTTGACGTCAGCCACAAGCTTTTCAAGAGTCTCTGCCAGCTCATCAGGGAGGGGGAACTGGCTCAGGCAGTAGGTGAGCTTGAACGGGTACACAGTGAACTTCTTGTCGACGTGAGCCAACAATTTGCGGGCCAGCTTCAATTTAAGCTGGTGGGTGACGGCGTAGTCACGGACGAACATCGTGGGGCGGCAATTGAACTCGTTCTTACCGTTCTTACCGGTGAAATGGTCAATCTCTTCAAGGGTAACGATACCGGCGGTAGTCATCTCTCTCATCGGAGCCATGCGGATATCGATCTGGAACACTTCGCCGGCTTCAACGACGAAGTCGTCAGTGGGGATGGCCAGGTTAGGGTCGGATTTGACGGTGGCATCGCGCTTGATGAGGTCAGTGCCCGCGGCCTGAGCCAACAACTTCAGTTCCTGATGCGATTCGTCCCACACCACACCCTTGAACTCACGTTCAGCGACAATACCTTCAGCCTGACCGGCCAAGAACCGTCTCACCCGTCTCACTTTCGAGCCAGGGACGACGACACAGTTGTAGGCGTCGGCAATAGTGTCGACGATTTGACGGATCTGGCTCCCGGTGACTTGAGCGGCGCCGTTAACTCTGAACAGTTGGGGGGTCTTTTCCGGAGCCAACACAAGCCCCAAGTACGCCACCAACGTCTCGGTGGCCACGTGGGCGGCACACACGGCGTCGGCCTTCGCACCCACCAACGGCGCTCTTTCGCCTTCTTGAGGGTAGACAACGATCGTGTGCGAGACAGTAGCAGTGTACCCGTCAATATGGACCCCCAAGGTGACTTTGGCGACGTCACCGACGCTCAACACGTAGGTAGACCCCTTTTCGTCAACGACTTCCGGCGCGAACCCCAGCGCCAACTCGTTGATATCGATCTGGGTGGGCACGGCGATCCCCTTTTCTCTGACCAGGGTGAACGCTTTGGCCAAGAGCTTAGCCATATACGAGTCGGTCAACACACAGAGGTCGGTGATGGTGGGGATGGCGCCGTTGGGGGGGTTGGCGATGATCAGCTCGAGGTACACGAGCGCCGTCTGGACGATCTGCCCCGCCACCCGGTACTTCTCGACGATGCGGTCGTCAAGGACATTTTTCAGGTGCAACAACACGTCGGCGTCGTCTTGGTGGACGGCTAACGACATGGTGGTGGTGCGATGCGATGAGGGTCTGCGATGAGGCTCGATGCGACTTTGGGGTGCCGCGCAGCTACCGGCGATGCGGGAGGTGCCGACTGCCGGAAGCACTACCGACAATGACAGAGGTGTGCGCCTTCACCAATTAGTGAAGTCACAAACAAATCTAATATTTTCGGATACTTCTTGTTTTCATTCGAAAATCCTGGTTTTTTATTTTGCTTGCTTGTAGGAGTTTATAGCACAGAACCTCATGCTTGCCAACATCATTCAACTTTATTCTTACCTACTGGTGAAACTCTCTCGAGATCGTCCCATGTCTGTCCTGCACATGAGCACTTAATCTCGAGAGCTTGTTTCAGATTAAGGGCTGGACCCTCAAACTTTGAGTCAATGCATCCTATACATCAAAATTTGGTGCTGATTGCAAAAGAACTCCATCATTCCGACCACTCATAATGGACGAAAACATTCGAAGTTGTTCATCTAATTTTTCCTACTCGAATGCCATGGCGGATAATTGAGCAATCAGTTGAAAAATCGCAAACAAAAGAGACACCCATTATCTCAAGCTTTGGAACGTCATAAACTTCCCGATGGAATCCAGTGATACAATTTGACACTTCATATCCCTTTACATTACCGCGTGTCTGCGATAAATGCCCCAACATTGACATCTTAGACTCCTTTATTTTGGCCGTCATAGGCGAGAGTCAATAGTGGCTTGAGATCGAAGATAACTTGTCTACACTAATATTGATTGATGACCCAGGTATGCATTGACTATAAACATCAGCCCAACCTCGAGGTTCCTTCGAAGTTTACCCGTCATTGGTCAGGAAGTCAGCAAAAAATAGAAGTGAAAGAAGAACTGCCACCACCCCCACTTGGTGGGCCCGCAGCGGCAAAGAGCGAGGTACCGAGGAAAGTATATTGGCCGCCGACCCCCCCCCCTGTATCCTTCCAAAACCACCGATTTCTTCGAAGCTTATCAGTGGCAGGATGGTGCAAGGACACGCTTATACCGACCATCGATGTCTTCGAAGCTTATCGGTGGCCGGCACAAGGCTCACTCAGCCCCCGAAGTCTTCGAAGCTTATCAGGGGGATCGAGTGGTTCACTGAGAGATAGAAACTGACTGGTGAACACTGACAGGGGATGCTGGCTTGTTTATGTCCCTGTACTGCACACTGGGGACCAGACGTATTAGTTACCCGCCCTTGCCTCTACCTTTGTCGTCAACGTGACTTGTGCCTGACTACTGCTGAGCTAATCGGAGATGGTGTGCGCATATTGCGCTGGGACTCAGGCCATGGATGTGCCTAAACCGGCTAAAACAAGGCTTGGGATGTGTCCCGACCCACTACAATAGCGTGTTTCACGTACCCATTGTGCATTGCATCGTCAACTGGCGGAGTCCGCGGGCAAAATATCCTGAGGACAGATGAGTGCGATTAGTCTTTGGTTGGTCTTGGGTACGGTGAGTCTTCAAAACGATGAGTTATCCTAGATGAAGTTTGGGTCGTCTACCTGATTTGTTCATTGCAAGATTTTCTGGCTGGTTCGACAATGGAATGCGGGGAACGCTATGCGTCGTCAACTTCAGACGGAACAAGTCAGAAACAAAGAACGCACCCGACTTAAGGGGGGCACTATATCCAGGAATGGCCTTCCGGAACAATATAAGAGGCGGGCTGGTCGCTCTTTTTTTTTCATCAACATCTTCACCTTTTCGGCATTCACGATGAGTTGAAACCCACTCTGGTCTGCCGCCACATGGGACCGTGACCTACAAACATGGTACGCATTACCGACTGACACTACTGATTGACGCTACTATTCGCTGTCGACACTACAACTTGCTGTTGACGCTACTACTTGCTGACGCTACTATTTGCTGATGCTAATGCATGCTGCTAATGCTACTACTTGTTGCTCGCTCTGTGCTGATTCGCTGATATTGTTGTGTCGCCTCCAGCTGCCAAAAACTTCGAAGGATTGGCGGCTGAGCCGACTGTTCGCTGGACTTGGCTCGTGTTCTGTCACGCTGCAACCAGTAACACTCCATGACCATCCCGTAGGCGGGGGAGATAGTGCACCGTTTTACACATCCCCTATGGGCGGTAGGCAAGACGCTCCCGTCTGATTGTATCCGCAACGACAGATTAGCCCTGGTCGGCCAACAAGCGTATGCTTGGACCTCGCGCGAAAACTGATGGCACTCCATCGACTGTCACTGGCCATGTTTGGACTGCTAAGGGGGGTTGATGGGTCTCCCTTCCCAGGAATATTTGTAGGTTCGGGGTCTGGTTTGTGGCATGTATAGATACTTGTATAGGTTCATAGCTATGATAGTCATATAATTTACGATAAATTCATTTGAACGCTGAAGATTGTAGACTACCTCGAGAACTGCTCATCCTTCGAGGTTCGTGATCACGGCTACTGGAATTCCAAACCCAAGTGTGAATTACACTATTCTTCTTGACGATCTCCTATTTCTCCTGAACAACTCAATATGGTTTACCGGTAAGGGCAATCTGAAAAGTTCTACATTACTTCTCGATTTCGTGGGTGTCGGAATTAATTGTCGACACCGGCAGCATTACCTATAACAACTCCTCAAGCTCACACGACACTTGCCCGCAAACGTCGTGGAGAAATTTGAGCTTCTGACTGTCAACTGGACACGGTAAGCGCTCGGTATTAAAATCGAAATCACTCATAAAGCGCTCGATCTGAGCCATTAACTCCACGCACGCCCCATATAATTGACTCGCGGTTTGGTATTGGTCTCGCGGCTCCTCCATACAATCGGCATCAGTGCGGAACTCTTCCGACACTGACGCAATTTTCCGGCATTGAATATCTGCTATGGGGGCAGAGCACCATTGAGGGGGTGGTTGTCGGGGGCCATAGTCAACGCCGTCATCATAGACGGGCGGGAAAAACGCTTGTAAAGTTCCGGTAATAGTTCTCGACATCTTGTGGCGACCAGGACAAGTAACCTGGTACATTTGCTTCCGTTTTGCACGAATTGACATCGGAGGTTAGTTGGGACTGGAAAGGTTTAAGCAGTATAGTATTAATACTGTGTAGGTTCAATAACCAGGTAGGAACGGTAGCGACGCTCGCAACGGGGTGATTTCCCCTGATCAGTGAGGCATCTCGTGCATAGTTGAACGATAACTGCGAGATGGCAAATGATCCATAAGGATCAGGAGTAGGTCTATGAAATGCAAGTTTTACTAAATAGATACCATTAGTTATGGCATATACTTCGATATTGACCCTAGACGAAGGTAACACCCTCCCCAAGGATACCCCACTTTCGTCCTCATGTCAACCCGAAGAGTCTTCAAAAATGAAGAGATTCAAACAAGTGAATTCTCTATAGTTAATCCAATAATTGAAAAACGTTTAGTGATGCTATAAATACCTCCTTACTTACTCCTACTGCTGCTGATGCTGCTGGTAGAGTTCCTCGGCCATTTCGTCGACTTCGCGGACCAGCCACGCCACAAACTCGCCATCCTCGTCAGCTTTCTCAAACACCACCTTATCCCGCGTCACTTTTTCGTAGCGGGCCTTGATTTCCACTGCTAACGCGTCCAACGTCACGTCCTTCACTTGGTCACTGATCAACCACGTACACACGTCGTCCATCCAGATCTTGTCGTAGATGTAGTAGACGTCGTGGAAGCGGAACAACTCCTTTGCCGCTAGAAGCACGCGAATCAAAAGCCGCTTACCTCCAGAAAGGGTCGCGTTGACGTCTTGCCACGCTCGCATCGCCATATCATAATTGCGATGGTATGGGTAACTTAAGGCTCGCCGGATCCCAGTAATCACCACTGCTTCAAAAAAATCAGCATTATTGTCGACAACGAGCTGTGAGTCCAAATCAGCTATCTGTGGGGTCAATTTACCCACCGTCCACGCCGACTCCACCAGTAAGTCCCCTTGCTGGCCTCTAAGCTCGTAAAAGTAGCCAAACAAAAACAGACACACAAACCCCCATATCGGAGTGACGTTATCGACAAGGTACGTCTTTCTGGGAAGCTTCATCATTAGTTCCTGCTCCTTTTCAGTGAACTCTACCGCCACTGGTCCCGGACCAAACTGCAGGCGCCATTCGCGGAGCTCTTTTGTTGAGGGAGCTTCCCATTTGAGGATATCGGCGTACACTTTATCGTCGTCAGCTGGGCTATAGTGTTTCTGGGCGATATAGTCACCGGCGTAGATCTCAAGGTCAAACTTAACGTTCTCCTTGATAAGCCGTTCGAGGATACGGTCAGGCGCTGGAGTACCTTCAGGATCACCCAATTCATTGATATCATTGCCATTGACCACCGACACACCCACCATCTCGTGGTAGAGGTTATTGAACCCGTACTTGCAATCGGGAGCGAGCGGCAAGGGGGTGTCCTCAGCCACTTTCTGGTCCACTTCCCAGTCATGAGCATTACCGTCAGCCTCAATTTGTTTGACATCAGTGTTATCAACGTCAAGTTCTTCGATCAAGGGCTTCTTGGGGTTGCTTTGGTCGTTTTCGGTAGTGGTCACTGTACGCGCTAAGAGCTTAGCCTGGAGGTCCAAGTCGGGGAAGAACTGGCCCTTAACCGCTTTGGGAAGCTTCACGTGGACGACGTTGCCCTCACTGCCAATTTTAGCCTCACTGCGCTCGTCGTCGTCCACCACTTCGTGAGGGAACCGGAGGCGCAAATAGTAGGGGGGCATCGAGAACACGAAAAGCGGGCCCTCCACCACCATCTCAACATTCGTCAGCAGCAACCGGATGTGTTTGAGCTCGATATCGACGTACACGAACTCGTCATCCTGGCGGAGACTGAATTTGGGGGTTAACATCCAGTGATGGTCATCGCGCGCACTGGAAGGAGACCTATTCTTGAATCGGACTATTCACCATAATTATGACCGAGGCGTGCTGTGGAGGCACCGGATGTGCTAACCAAGAAGGATGTGGCACCGCCAAAGCACCGAGGATGGCTCGCCGCAAGTTTATCGGCAAGCTGGGGGCGAATGTCGATGCCTCGGCGGGGGCAGTGGTACTGGCTAAGAAGGCTCAAGTGGGACGAGTGATGAACCAAGTGCCCGACGATATTCTCCACGACGAAGAACTCAACCAGGCAATCAAGCTTCTACCCTCAAATTACAACTTTGAGATCCACAAGACGGTGTGGAACATCCGCAAACAGGGGGCGAAGAGAGTGGGGCTCCAGATGCCCGAGGGTTTACTCATCTATTCATTGGTGATTACCGATATTCTCGAACAGTTCTGCCAGTGTGAAGTGGTGGTGATGGGCGACGTCAGTTATGGGGCCTGCTGCATTGATGATTATACTGCTCGCGCTTTAGGGTGTGACTTTATCGTCCACTACGCCCACCTGTGTCTTGTACCCATCGACGTCACTGCCATTAAAGTGCTCTATGTGTTTGTCACCATTGCCATCGACGAAACCCACTTGGCCAAGACGTTACAGCGCAATTTCCCTGCCAATACTAAGTTGGCGATCTTTGGGACCATCCAGTTTAACCCCACCATTCACGCCACCAAGAACCGGTTGGAGACTGACCCTGACCACCCGTTATTCTTGACTCCGCCTCAGACGCGTCCATTGTCTAAGGGGGAAGTCCTTGGGTGCACATCGCTTAGACTCGACCCTAAGGAGTTTGCTGCTCAAGTATACGTTGGTGATGGTCGGTTCCACTTGGAGAGTTCGATGATCCACAACCCCGACGTGCCTGCGTACCGTTACGATCCTTATAACCGTAAGTTCACCCAGGAGTTCTACAACCAGGACGAGCTTAGTGCCGTACGTCGTGATGCCATTGCTGCTGCGCAAAAGGCAAAGAAGATCGGGGTGATTTTGGGTGCTTTAGGCCGTCAAGGTAATCCACAAACGCTTAGTCGGTTAGAAGGCCACTTACAGCAGCGTGGGGTGCAGGTGGTCAAGATCATTTTGCTGGAGATCTTCCCGCAAAAGCTCGCGATGTTTGACGATGTCGATGCCTTTATCCAAGTGGCGTGTCCCCGTTTGTCTATTGACTGGGGGTACGCGTTCCACAAGCCTCTTTTGACCCCTTACGAAGCGATGGTGATGATGGAGGAGGACGTGATGTGGACCGGCAGCCACTACCCGATGGACTACTACGCCAAGGACGGCTACGGGCGGGGCCAGGTGCCCGACCACACGGCGTTAGCCCACTAAATCCGGTTTTGGTCGCACTGTAGGGTCGACGACGTCGCGAGCCGCAGGGTCAGGACGGCACCACTCCCGGAGCCACCGCCGGTAGAGATCGGTGTCGGTGTCCTCGCTGGCAGAGGAAGCAATCACTGCTGGAGGCCGCATCGCCTGTGACGGCAGCATTCCGTCGAACTTGGCTCTGATTTTGGCCGCAGGACGTCTCCAGTGGCGTGGTTGAAGTTTGGTCATTTGGTCACGGTCAAACACCACTTCGGGGAAGCGGGTGTTGTTGTCGTCGATAGCAATCCCGTAGTTCTCAATGTACATACGAGCGTCGGCGGTATCGGCAAAACCAAGCGTACGGGAAATACAGCTCAAACGTACTCGTTTATACGACGCCAACGACGCCATGGCTCTGAGCCCGTGGTAGCGAATGATATCGAAATAGCCTTCTAATAGACACGCAGCAAGTACAGGAACTCGAGGACCGTAAACGGTCTCAAAGAACCACTGGTAGGTGTCAAGAGTAATGCCGATATCGGTTGTAGGCTCAACATCGTGGAGAGCAACAAACCACCGGAGCTCAAGCGCCAGTTGCACGTAGTCGTGGTTCTGAATGGCTAAAGGGGTGAGTATCACTTCGTCGTCAACCTCCAGATCAAAATTGGTGAGCAAATAGTACCCGTAGAATTCAGGAGAGATCGCGGCGTTACCATCAGCATCAGCCATGTGCCAGTATACTCTAGACAATAAGCGCAAACGACGTCTGAACATGCCAAGCTGACGGTGACGAGTAGCAGCGGGAGTCACGGGGAGCATGTGGTGCATCAGCCAGAGGTGGAAGCGGAGCACCCGCTCGCAACAGTACACGGTGTCGGGGGAGTACACTCGCTGCCAGGCGAAGTCTTGCATCACCAGGCCAAAGGCATTCCAAAGGTAGCGGTAGGAGCGAGGGAGGAAAGTGGCCACACAGTTGACGAGGTAGTCGACGGTGAGCTTAAGTACCCAGGGAGGTCTCACGTCCAGCGGGAGAGGTACCGAGTCAGCGACAACGGGGACGATTTTCACGGCGGCGTAGCGGCCTACGACTCCCGTAGTGTGGTCAAGCTCCCATGGCTCCACTTGTTTTGCTGCAAACCGTTGGATACGTTCAAGTGGAGGGCACATATCGATACACGTCCCTTGGAAGGTGGAATTGGCGGTGTAGTTAAGCCCCTCCATTGTCATGATCCGCTCCTCTACCACTCTCATCCATTTGAGCTGGTCAAGAAGCTTTTCTGCCTGGAGTGGCGAGTGGTCGTCCAGTTGTTGGAACTTGGCTTCGAGGGAAAGCACGGCATCCTGGTTTTGTTGATCCCAGGGGTGGACGTAGGCTTTGGGCGTTTGAAGCTGCCACCGCTCCACTTGAGGCCACGGCAGTGTCATTATGTTAGAGTTGACATCATGGGAGGGTTTGCTCCCGGGTATAAGTTCACCCCCTGCTCTGCTGCTATTCCTTCCTCTGCTATGCAATTCCAGCAAAGGATAGAATTCCACCTGGTTAGAGCAATGTTACGCAAACTTTCGACACATTCCAGGTTATCCAAGGTAATAATAGCTAGTTTCACTAAGCTTGAGTAATTCAATATGGGGACTCATGAAGTTGGCTCAGACATCAGTTGACGACGCTGACAATTTCGACGACCCCCTTCAAATATGCTCTGCCAACGTCAATTCATCAACCAAAACATTCGGGCACCTCTGCCAACAAATACAACAACAGTGTGCCCTAGATCAGCATTATGTTCGAATATACTCATTCTCACAAAACGTTCTTCGTCCAGCAAAATTCAGCGACTCCCAATCAACTAATCACACAGTTGCAATTTATTTTCAAAGGCATAGTCGCTCGTTAACAGCAATTTTCTGGTAAATTATCCTGTTGTAGTCATTATTATCACGACGCGTGCGGCTGATGTTAACGCGCCATGGAGGGTACTGATCTGGAGCTTGTCGACCGCTACGTCCAGAGCAAGCACGACGGCAGCGACGAAGACATCGATGCTCTTCTCGACGAGGTCGACGACGACGTGATGGCTCGTCACCGGGAACGGCGCATTGCCGAGCTCCAGCGCCAGTTCAAAGCGGTGGACTCTGCGGCGGCATCGGGGAGGCTCACCACTTATACTGACGAGAAACCGGTAATGGAGCTTGCCGCACTGTCACCTAAATGTCTCATCCACTTTTTACTGCCTCAATTCGCCCGATGTCAGACGATGCTGGCGCTTTTGGAGCGTGTGGCGGCGACCCATCCTGACGTCGACGTGGCCCAGATCGATGCCGCGTCGGCGCCGTTTCTTGTCACTCGTTTAGGGGTGAAAGTGTTACCGTTGGTGGTGGGCTACATCCAGGGTAAGGAGCGGTGCCGATTGGTCGGGTTTGACACCGGTACTAACCCTGGCGACTCGCTAAGCTACCAGGAGCTCGAGGCCTACTTGGTGCGGTGGGGCATGGTGACTCGCTCCAGTGTGCGGAAAGTGACTCGCGCCCGTGATGCCAACTCCGGCGACGACGATAGCGATAGCGGGCTCGATATGTGAGCTTAAACGCGTGGTAATCTAGATGGGAATGTGGTTATTAATTACGTGAGGGGGTCATGAAGGAATTGAGCTACAGCCGACAGGTGAGCCAGTACCACACGCGCCGCCAGCCGGAAGGGCGCTCTTTCTCTTCCATTTCGGCAATGAGGCCGCGGTACGGGGCAAACGGGTCTTCGGCGGGGGTGGGGGCGGGCTGGGACAACAGACGGCGGTGTTGGAGCACGGAATCGCCGATCATTGCGGCGGGAACGGCCTGTAACGAGTGGTCGGGGTGAGGCTAGTCTCAACGAGGTTATGCGGGAAGCAACCACCGCGACTGCGAAAAATCGACCCATCGTCGCTTCCCTTGCCTTGCTATGGTGGGATCACCATTGAGCGTCTCCAATTGCCTAGCGGGCTTAAATCACCGAGTTGACTAATACTTGTACATATAATGCGCCCATATCTAGCAGTAGAGTAAGTGTAAATGTATCAGGCAATGCTGGCGGAAATTGTGGGGTCAGCGGTATGGGGCCATCAATGATTAATGACCGCTATGGCACGATCACTGCGACCGACTCTGTGTTTACCTTCAAACTGAACATTCAGTTGAGACAAGCAATCGAAGCTAAAACATCGTCATCGTTGTCAATATCGCAATGATTGAGTTTGATGAATTCTAGCGGATACTGTTTACCTCGCTTCAGCTAATTGTTTGTCATCGTACTATAGCTACCAAAAAACGAGCACTACTCAGACTTCGAATAATCTTATTGTTTTGATTCCATTTAGGTCTGTCACTGTTGTTCAGATATCGAGAGATCAGTTTCACACCCCGCAGTCTACACCATACGTCTATCAGAATAAATCATTGTACACCTATCACACATCTAATCTAGTTCTATCGTTCATTTGTTCTACAGTATCATATGCCTATCGTTCAGTCATGACGCCTCCCATAGGGAAAGCGTCGTCGGGGTATCGGAGTATTCGTGGTCATCGTCAGTCTTCATCGTGGTAGATCTTGTCGAATATCCTTCGTTCGAGGCCAGTGTCGTCGTCGTCGGCGTTAAGCGGGAATGCAATGTACACGTACGCCAGCACCAACGCCGCGGTGCCCAACGCGCTCCACCAGAACACCTGCCACTTCTTGGGCACCACGTACACCGTGACGAGGCGCCAGATCTGGAGCACCATCCAATAGCCGGTGGAGACGGCGGCGCCTTGCTTCGCCAGCAGCGTGAACAGGGTGAACAGGATGGGGTCGTGGGCGAGCTTGTTAAGCTGCCGTAGGTTGGGGTTGGGAGGGGTCTCCACCACGATGGGCATGGCACTGAGAGAGAGAGGGTGGAACTGTCTGGGCCGGCGCCGGCGGGGTTGATATGCTAGAGACGACCCCTGGCCACGAGCCCGGGTACTAGACGAAAAGTAATCGCCGGCGCCTAATGCCTTACTACTGTTTTACGCAATAAGCCTCCTCGCAAGGGGGGCTCGCAATTCACACATTTAAAGCAATCGCGGTTAATGTGTATACGTATTATAGTGGCAGTTGAACAATCGTCATTAGCCTCGTAACCTGCTGTCGTCGGCCTTTGGCCATCATCTGACAAATACGCGTTACTTGGTAGGTCCCCTAATTTGTTTATCGGGATCTGTTTTGTGATTCCGGGGGCGATTCGGGACCGTCGGCACTAGCTCCCTAATACCGCCGTTTTTTTTTTCAAGAAAGCTCCACGTGATGCCGAATGCCTGACGGTTTAACTGTCACTCGAGGCTAGAAGCGGAAGCGGAAGCAGAAGCAGAAAACCAGTGCGGGAATTTCCTCCCCGGCTCCGTCAGGCAAAATTTGGGTCCCGAAGGTCCCCCACACCGGCCACACCGGCCACCCCGGCCACACCGGCCACACCGGCGACTTGAATCATTAAGCATTAGCCGGTATCCGGCGTGACCGATCACAGTAGTGACCGGACTGTAAACGATCATTACTCAGAAGGCAATGATTTGATTGAAAATAAAGCCACGATAAACACTCATGATTTTTGTGTGTTTGTTGCCTTGATCTGTCAATCGTGCTTTTTTCTTAGACTCCTAAAGCGGGGTCATAAAGTTACACACGTAAACTCCACAAGACTATCTCAGTCAGATTTAAAGTTAGCTCTAATTGTATCGTAAGTTTCATCTATTATACATTCCTCTAATCTTCACGGACGAGGGCCAGCATGCTCTCTCTAGCCTTTTGCACCATCAACAAGTCGGCCAATACCAACGCCGTCATCGTCTCGACGATGGGCACGGCTCTGGGAGTGACGGAGGGGTCGTGGCGACCGCGGGCGGCCAATACCCCGTCGGCACCGTCGTAGGAAGCAGTGGGCTGTTCCTGAGAGATGGTAGCCGCCAGCTTAAACGCCACGCTAAAGTAGATATCTTCCCCGTTGGAAATACCCCCTTGGACACCACCCAGGTTATTAGTCTTGGTCTTCAATCTTTGGCTAGCTTCGTCAAATACGAACGGGTCGTTATGTTGAGAACCGGGGATGGCGGTACCGGCGAAACCCGAGCCAAACTCGAACCCTTTAGTCGCGGGCAATGACAACATCGCGTGGGCTAATTGCGCTTCCAACTTATCGAAACAGGGCTCACCAAGGCCAATGGGACAGTTTCTCACCACACACGTCACCACACCACCAATAGAGTCCTTAGCATCCCGGTACTGTTCGATGACTTTGGTCATTTGGTCCAGCACCAGCAGGTCGGGGCATCTGATAGGGCCGGCGTCGTCCACTTGTTCTCTGGTGATAGTCTTAAGCAACTGTTGGAACTCGGGCAGCTGGGGATCACGGTTCATCAGCACGGGGCCAATCAGCGACACAAACGCCACGATCTCGACGCCGTTGGCGAGTCTAAGGATCTTCTCCGCCACGGCGCCGGCAGCGACGCGGCCAATAGTCTCTCTGGCCAGCGATCTACCGCCACCGGAAGCCAGTTTGCGCCCGTATTTTTGGATATAGGTCCAGTCGGCGTGCGATGGTCTGGGGTACAAATCGGTCTCGGAGTAGTCATGAGGGCGGTGGTCCTCGTTGCGGACGATCATGCCGATGGGCAGCCCCAAAGTGTATCCGTTTTCGGTACCCAGTTGGATTTCAACTCTGTCCTTTTCGTTTCTGGGCGTCGACAACTTCAGCTGGCCGGGACGTCTGCGTGTGAGCTGGGGCTGGATATCGTCCTCGGTGAGCTTCATCCCGGGGGGGACGCCGTCAACAATACACCCGACGGACTTGCAGTGGGATTCTCCGTAGGTGGTGACGCGGAAAAGCGTGCCAAACGACGACATGGTGCTTTTTCTTTAGGGGATTAAAGGGTTAGGTTTGGTTTCATGTGGAGTGAAAAATTCGCGTGGTGCGCCCCCGGTGGGGGAGACCTGGTCGTGAGTCATCGACGCTGATATGGGGTGATCTGGAAAGTGGACGGGTTGAGATTCAGAGGTGATCTGGTGATTTTTCATGTTTGTGATCGACTAAAATGCATATGGCTAACAAGTTCGGTGAATTTACTATTGTTTAAGGGGGGTTAGTGGAGGTGGAAATGCGACGCCGGTTCCGGCCCGATACTTTTCCAATAGTGAAAAGTGGGTACCAGAATCGAAAAAGTGGTAATGTCACCACACTATATAAGTATTGATATATGTGTGTTTACAATGATGTGCACAAACTATGTGATAAAGCAGTTAATGACAGAACCAAACATGCCAGTTGAATCTGTTCGGTTCCATTAAGCCGTTCCCAAATTTTTCAAATTCGGGCGTGTAGCTCAGTTGGTAGAGCGTTCGCTTAGCATGCGAAAGGTCTTGGGTTCGATTCCCAACTCGTCCATTCTTTTTGCCTCCTCTCCTATTGTCCTCTTAAAATTCACTGTCTTCACTTTTTCTTTCATCTATAATGTACCATTTAATGCTATAATCATAACCCCAACCGGACCCGTTCCTCCCTAGTCAACCGCAAATTGGTTGGATGATGCTTTAAAAGCTGCTGGACGTGAGCTTTCTCCTTAACCAACGCCTTATCACACTCACGGAAGAAATCAGGATCGCTGTCCTTGAATAGACGGAGCTTAGTATCGCTGCCCCTGAGCTTAGCAATGGCAGCACGGATGCGAAGAAGCCACTGGGCCCCGCGTTTATCGGTTTCTTCCAACTCCATGAAGTAGTACTCGTCAATGATTTCGTCATTGGTCTTAGCAGCAAACCCCACGGGCTGTTGTACTGAAGGAGGAGTTTGAGGAGGTGCGGTTGGACGCATAGGAAGGGGGGGAGGTAGGTCACGCTCAATCTCATTACCTTGAAGGTGTTGAGGCTTTTTTGGTTTGAGTGGTGTACCTTTTAATGCCGATGGTTTAGGCGGTTTTACCGGGGTGTCCAAGTCGATCAAATCGACGTCTTGAGGGTCAGGTGTCGCTGGAGGATGAGACTGAGGCTGAGGATTGGATACAGGGTAGCTGATCCCATCATGGATAAACTCAGTCTCGCCACGTCTGCGAGCTCTCAGTTCACCCACAGCTTTATTATGGTTGCCAACCATGCGAGAAACCTCTTTGAAGATGCGATCATCGTCAACATCAGACAACAGGTGTTCGACAAACCGGATGTAGATGGCCGAGATCTGTGTGGGGAACTGTTTGGCAGCATCGACGTAGGCTTCAAGGTCGTGCTCACCCAGATCACCAATACATATAAATGATTTCTGGTCAAAGTCGCTGATGATCTGTTCGAGGGAGTGGCGCTTACGCAGCATGCTGGGCTCCATAAGCAGAGCGATGATATTGCCAGTGTATTGCTTCAAGTGGAACGACCCTGGTGGGAGTTGAGTGCGATCAAAGTACTCCTGAATAATGGGGAGCAACTGCCATGGCAGGTTCAGCACGTAGTGGAACGAGCAATTTGAGCCAAACCGACGGTACCACTCAATCATCAGATCAAGTCTCCAATCATCCAAGTTGCCACAGAGTACTCGTCGTAAAAGCTCGCGTTTATCGCCGACTACACCCGTCATCTTAATGGTGTCGTCAATATCACTAATCACGCCCAAAGTGCTCCAGTCGTTAGCGACGATCCACGGTTCCTGAAAAGCAAATATCCTTTGATCGTTAGTCGCTTCCACACGAATAATCAGGGGTGGGTACGGTACCAGCACCGTGGCCTTAAAGTGGCCATTGCCATCGGTTTCCAACGTGATCTGCTTCACCTCGTCTTCAGGATTGACACTACCAATCGTCACTTCGAGCGTGGCACCAGCAATCAGCCGCGCCATGAAGTCAGCGAGCCGTTGCTTGATGATATCGTCAGTCTCCGAGTATGTGGTCAGCAGCAGCGATACCAGCGCCGCATCGCTATCACTGCCATAGTTCTGGTCCAAATCAGGTAAGGCGGGGCTGTTACTTTTGATCACTTGGCGGGCAAGCGACACTAAGAGCCGGTTTTTGCGACTCATGGTGCCGGGACTCAGCACCCACCCGTGGACGTGGACGTCGTAAGTGTGGGGTCGGCGGTCGTTATCGTAGACATTGGCTCGAGTATAAGTCGGAAATAAGATGATTTGAGTGGTTGGTGGTAAGATAAGCCGGCCAAAGTTATCGTATTGCGGTGCGGAAACTGGAGCCGTGAGACTCGATACCGTCGTCGAAAGTTTCGGCAAGTACTGGTCTCGGGTCTGTCGAGCAATGCCTAGAAGTCTCAGCCGCCTCAGATTGGGGTTGTCCATCAGTTTCGGCTGGGGCGGCGGCGGGGGAAGGGTACGGGGCTTGCGAAGGGCGCGATAATCCCGGTAGATGTCGACGAGGAGCCACGGGCGTTTGGGATGGGGGTAGGGACCGGCGGAGTCACGTTTGAGAAGCTTGTTGAGCAAGAACCCCAGCGCCTTGCGTAGTAATTGCTGTCGTTTACCCACTTTGACGGAGATGGAAAGGTGAGGGTGGTTGCGGCACGGGTGCGGCGCCGCCGGCTACAAAGTGGCCACCCACAAAGCGAGGGCAACCCAGCCTTTATCAAAATCACCTAGACGCAAAGTAGTTGAGATATGGTATGGTCATGGTGTTGGTAGCTGCCAAGACAATCGAAACCATGTTTGTCTTAATCTGTTTATCAATATAGGGGTAGAGGCTCGCATGGGTGATATTTAGGCACACGGCGCCAACCCCGGATAAAATGCCGGCCGATAAGCTTATTACGGACGGCGATTGAGACGATGGCCTTTTTTTGTGATCAGAGCCGCTGTGCTGGTTGGGGGAGGGGGTGGTGGACACAGGGGCGGCTTCTGGCGGGTTGTATAGGGGGAAGTCTGGTGTGCAACCCCGACGGAAATTACTGTGGCGGATGCCCCTTCCCAAATAGGCAGTGGAACGACGAGGGTGCCATTTGCCCGTCGACGCCGCCCCTAATCGACCGCTGTTGGCGTCCGCCTTGCCACCACGTACCCCACCTTTTAGCTGACGCTGAAACACGAGCCTGGCAACCATATCTACCGACAATCGTTCTGTTTAGGATAGGTCAGCGGGGACGGGCGGTCGGGGGACGGCCAGCGACTAGCGCCGAGCCGGATAATTTATTTGGCTTTGGGGTACATTTGGCGCCGGCAAGGGGCTGCGGGAAATTTCCCGGGTTGTTTACTTGCTTATCGACACCCATCTACGGCGTTTAGTGCTTGTTCAATTCCAGGTTGCACCAAAATAATCTCATATTTATAAATATATATCATGGCGCGGACTCGAACCTTAGGGGGGTTGGTCCCCGCTACCGACACTAAATCACCAGTCAGCAGCCCTCCCCCTCGCTGACAGTTTGGTAGCAACCCGGGCCCGTCACGGAGATAGCGTGGCATCTTAGTCGTAGTCAGCGACGCCCCCTGCCGTATAATCATTCCGCGCTCTATTGTCTCCCTGGTCGCGGATGACGTTCGCTTCTTTTTTTTTTTTTTCTATTATTCTCTTTCAGTGATGGTAGTCACATGCTAGCGCCGGTAAACTCCACCGGGGTTTACGTGGGCGACACGGGACGAGGGCAGGGGCAGCAGCCTCTCTCTGGATGTCGTGGGGGTGGGTCTAGGGATGTCCTGCACCAATGTACAAGGCCCCCATCTTTCCTTGAAGTTTAATATGGTGCTAGACGTTGCTGCGTACAGCTTAGAAACAGACGCCGCAGACACCGGGCCATCTAAGGTTTCTAGTGACACCTGGCGACGACAGAGAGGGGAGTAAGTGGAGGGGTCGGGGCGAAGGGCCAGGGCTTCCCGAAACAGAGAACTGAGAGCATGCCTCAGAAGTTGGACTAGAAGGTGTTTACTAGAGATTCTAGTATAAGCAGGGATGGTTGTTGTTCGAGGGGAACCGTGATTCCGTGTTTGGCCAGCCTCGCCTTCGCCCTTTTATTGATGGCGCCCGGCGGGTGCCCCGCACGCGCCGTATCGGGGATGTCCCCACGTCGTGCCCGCTGCGCAGAGTAGTGCCTACCCCACGTTCCCCGGGCGCCTAACACTCGCGGGGGGTTTCCTCCGTAGACTACTTCAACAAACCGTCAGGGCTCCTATTATGTCAAACTAAGGGAAATGCCAGTGGTTTCCCCCGCAATAGCCTTTCGTCACACAAAGAGACGACACGGGGGTAAAAACCTTCCCCCCGCGTCCGCCGACGCCACTCAAGATCGAGCGCCCCCCTGTACCAGGCGGAGCTGCCACTGGCAACCGCCGAAGAGTCAGGTGGTGGTCGTCGCCGGCGGCGGCTGTCACCCTGACGGAGGGGCTTGCTTGGTTCTTCTACCCCTCATATAAGATTGCGGGGTGCATTTGCCCAATCGAGCCTTGGAGCGAAAAAATAAACCCTGGGCGCCTGGCGACAAATATAACTGCCACACCCAGCTGCGGCAAGGGTGGTTTGGCCACTCATGGGTACCCAGAAGAAGTACATCTGCGCCTTCTGCGCCAGAGCCTTCACCCGCCTGGAGCACAAGCAGCGCCACGAGCGCTCCCACACCAACGAGAAACCCTTCCACTGCCTCCGATGTACCCTGAGCTTCGTCCGCCGTGACCTTTTGCAGCGCCATTGCCGCACCGTCCATAACATCCACCTGATCCCCCGCGACGACCCCGGGGTGGTGGCGCCGCTGCTGCTGCTGCTGCTGGCGATGTCGTCCCTGGCGCTGGCGCCGCTGGCGGCACCGGCACTTGCGGGGATGAACGACGCTACCACCACGGCGGCGTCACCGCCACTAGCCACCACTATCGGCGCCCCGCGAGCAGCGCCCATCGCCCCCAATAGCGCTCACCAAGCCAACGGCACCCCCGACTCGCACGGCCCTAGCCTAGGCCGCCACGACCCCGACGCCTCCACCTCGACCGCCCACCAATCCTCGTCGTCGTCTCAATCTTCAAACTCGCCCCACGACTTGATTTTCTTGCTCAGCATCACCCGCAAGCTCGACGCCATCGTCGACGGCGCCAGCGACGACGGCGCCGCCCTGGTCAACGACGCCTTTCTCATCGGCTACACCCACTTGGTCAATGCCACCACTACTTACCCAGTATTCGACAAGATAATGACCGATTTGGTCAACTATCTCCACCTGTACAACCAGCACAAGGAACTGGTGATCCCCGTGAAAGTGGGGCTTATCTGCGGCGTGTGTCTGCTTGGCTTTGTCATCAACCACCAGTGGGAGCGGCTGGTGGAGCTCTTCGCCAAACTGTGGCGTCTCCTCGTCGACCAGACGGTGCCCAACTATAACGTGAGCAATAACCTTTTGGACCAGATCGATATCCTCACCAACTTGTTTGTGTTGGCCTACGTTTACCTAGACCATAATATCAGCGCCAGGGGAGACGTGGGAGTGCTGCAGCAGGTGCTCTTGGACTATCTCGACGATATCCTGGCGATCATCGTCCAGAACCTTGGCGACGACCTGACCCTCGTCGATTTGAACCTCGAGTTGTTCTGGGGGATATACATGCTTCTCTCGCAGAACTTGGTGCTGCTGCCGCCTAAATGCTATGGGTTTGTCCTCGATAAGCCTGTAGTGAGAGGGTGGCACTCGCTCACGGATATCATGACCCAGCTGCTGCGGCTGTGTCTCACACCCCCGCCGCCCCTGGCGAAACCGGCCCCTGACGACTACTGGCGGCTGATCGTGGTGTTGACGTTGAAAAACGAGTTGAAGAAGTTCGCGCTGTCCGAGGACTACGCCATCTTCCAGCTGAAGAACTCTCTCCACAACCTGATCATCCTTATTAATAAGAGCTTTAGCGTCGGCTGGGAAGGCGTGCCGGAGGGGGCAGCGCTGCTGGGGGTGCTGCCGCGGCTGCTGATTCTGCACCACCCGTTGGAGCTGAGGCTGGGGCCAAAACTCTTCGCTTTATTCAAGAAAAACTGCATCATCAACGCCCCACCAAAGTTCCACGAGTTGCTCAACAACTACCTCTTGGTACCAGCAAGATTTTACCATTGGGAGCTTTTTGCCGTCACTTTGAATGAGATTAATATCGATTTTCCCATCCACCCCCACTTGGGAGCAGCGCTCGCCCACCCGGAACTGCTGGCGCAACAGCTCCACTGCCTGTTGTACCAGTTCTTCAACTTCCGCCAGCACGCCGTCGACATCAACAACAACTTGCTGATCATCTCATTTCCGATAATCTTCCTCGCCAATTTTGTGAATTTGGGCCTCTTCTCCCTCGCCCACTACCACCACAACCAGCTTTTGCGGGTCAACGTCGTCATCTTCGAGTGGTACGTGGTGCTGATCAAGATCCTCTTGTTCATGTGGCAGGAGCCGGCGGTGTTCGACGACAACTACATATTGCAGCTGCTCGTGTACTTGTTGCTCGACAACAAGCAGCCATTGCTCTCCCGGATCGGCGCCGCCACGCCGCTGGCGCTGGCGCCAGCGGCCTCGGCCGCCCACGAACCGTTCCAATTTAACCACAAATGGTTCTGCGTGCTTAAATTGAAATTGGACGCCGTTTTCGATACTTGGCTTGAATTTGCTCAAGTAGCCGTCGACGGCCAGGCGGTGGTAGCGCTTAAACGAGCCGTCCACGCCGCTGTGGATAACTTAGTGGCGCTGGAAATGGCCCGCCAGGCTCCCCCCGAATGGCGGGTCCCGTCGTCGTCGTCCACTCACGCCCAAACCGCTGCTAACAACCAAAACGCGCCTCACCTCCTGTTGACTCACCTTACCGACCGCAGACTGAACCTGATCACGTTGGGGATGCTCCAACACCAGCCGTTAGGCGCTAATGGCGCTAACGGCACTGGCGCTGGCGACAACTCGCCGCTCTTAACCAACTCCGGTGCCGCCTACAACTCGTTCGTGCGCCAGGGGAGCGCCCTGCTGCTGTCGCTGCGCCACAGCCTGACAGTGGGGTTGCCCCAGCTGAGGCTCCTGCTGCTGCTGCTGTATCTGAACTACACGCCCCTGCTCATGCCGGTGGCCCCTGGCAGGGACTTGGTGTTACCGCCGATCCTTCCCAAGACCACCAACGAGTCCAAGGAGATGAAACCGTTGATCCCCGGCCGGAGATAGTGTACATACCGTTCGTAATTATTTATATCATGTTAATGCGTTTGGTAACTTTCCAATTGAGACAGGGATTTTTCACTCTAAACTGACCAGTGAGCGACACTATAGAGTGTTTTCAGTGTCTATCCCAGGGTAGGTTAAGGAGGAACGATCACACTACCGTTAGTCTCGGAGCCGGCGCATGCCGGGCATGTCACTATTTGACAGCTCCGTCGGCACAATGTACACGTACGTCATCGGGGTGGGGGGACCATACTTCTTGGTATTGAAGATGGTCTATAGATCGTTGACTATAATGTCAGATCGATCATCTCTAATAAATATCCATCGCCTGTTTCATTAGTTAATAGTTCATCCTCACTAATACTCCGGTATATTGGTACCCCGTTTCCCTTACTAAATATTCCCTCAAACAAAAAACCGCAAATCATGTGGTTACGCAGCCCGTGCCGATAACGCGGACCACTGCGATTACCCGTCATCAGCCCCGTCCGCAAATTGATTATTTTCCCTTACGTTTATCCCGATGATCAAAACCTGGGCTTCATTAACGTGGCTACTAGCTTCCGTCGCCACCGTGGCTGCGTACCAGGTGGCGCTTGCCCCCGACTTTGGCGGCCACTGCGTCTACATCAGTGGCAGTGACCACAGCTTCATCCAGGTGAATCGCGCCGGCCAGAAAGGCCCGTTTGCCGCCGTGGTGTTCCGCCAGGACTTCGCTGACCAGTTGGGTCTCGATTACAACCAGTACATGCTCGATTACGCTGCTGGTAACGTCGAACAGTACTTGGGCCCTGCGGGCAAATTTAAATACACCACCGAGCTGGACCAGTTTGCCCCCACTTTTAACGATATCATTACCTCTGATGTTAACAATGTCGAGATTCCCATCACGGAACTGCTGCACTGGTGTGTGTTTGTGGGCCCCTTAGATGGCGGCCTCGAAGTGAAAGTGCGCAACCCCTGGGGCTACTTGGCGGCGTGGGAGTACCAGCTGATCCCCATCTTCTGGGCCCGGTGGGTGATGTACGTCGTCGCCCTCGCCGTCTACATCAACGCTCAGCGGTACTACCCGAAGCCGCTGCTGATCTCCTACGGCGCCATCAAATATATCCTCATTCCGTCTTTTATCGGTATGGCCTTTAATATCGGCGTCATGTACATCCGCAACGTGTTCTGGCTCCCGCTTGCCATTACTCCCCTCGTGCTGAATCTCGAGTGGTTAGTAGTGGGGTTATTCTCTTTATGGCACCGCTACTGCTGGTGGCTTGTCGCCTTAGGGTGGGGTACCCTTTATACTAGTACCGATATCCCCGGCCAAACCACGGCCAAGGGCTTCACGGTGGCCCAGGCCTTGGTGTTCCTCATCCAGCTGCCGTGGGTGTACGACTTCGCCCAGCTCCGCATGCTTGTCGAGTTCCACCACCGCGAGTTGATTGCCGGCCACTCTTTCTACGACTTCACGCGGTTTTTGGACTACTTCCTCGCCTCCATCGCCACGTTCTTGTTTGCTAAGAGCTACTGGGACACGAGAAACCAGGTGGTCGTCCCCAAGGTCGACGCCGGCGCCCAGGTGCTGTTCCTGATGTCGGTGGTGCTCGTGGTGTTGGCGATGTTCCAGACGGTGTTTGGCATCCTAAACTACTTGGGCATCTTGTCGGTGTCGCAAGCGTACTTGCAGGTGATCACTGAAAGAAGCAACGGCTACACCATGTTCCAGATTCTCCGCTTCTTCGAGGACTTCCCCACTTTCCTCGAGTTGCTTGTGATATACGTGCTTTGGGTGCGTCCTAACCGCGGGTTGTTGGCCACTAAGGCCATGGCTTGATTTTACACATTTAAACCGCTTTAATACACATGAACTATACATAATAACCAAGAAGTAAGGATGTTCAATTTACCTCTACCTCGTATTCCCTACGCACAACTATATGGCATTACTTCCGGAGACTTCCGCAGTGGCACCTGCAATGCATTAGTCTGCATTTTGGAGCCAGCGCATGTATGGCTCCGTCTTAATAAGCGGAAGCCGATACCATGCATATTTCAAAAGGGCATTGTTTGTTTACTGTAATTCCTACGATGGAGTTACGATGAATGGTGCTGGCCATATTTTCTCGGACGAATTTCAAAATGCATAGTTTTTACTGAATTCGCCCATGTAGGAAACAACTATTTGAGAGTCTGAAGGTTACCATTTGTAGGCTGCATGTCAAGCAAACCCCGTCTGATGATGCTATAGCAAGAGGAATCATCATAGGTCGGTTGGAAGTGCCAAGTTTCAAAGGGTAAGGTTGACGGTGTAGTGATAGAAATACAATTGAATTTCCACAATTACTAGATAGAAACAGCACTGAAAGTCGTCATTCAATTTGCACCCATATTAACATCGTCCTGCGCACTTCTCATTGCAGTCCAATATACCTCAAATCATGCTTCCTTCCCAGCCTTCACATCACAACTTCTCGGGTTGTACACTACCATTTAGTTGAATTGAATTGTACACTACCTGTAAGACTGGTCGGTTTAACACCAAGCAATTTCCTTAACATGGGGCCGGCCATGGCACTTTCTAGTGACAATTGACGAGCGTAAGAACAACACTAACTATCTCAGAAATGGATGATTGCATCTAGCAAATTTTTGAGTTGTCAAGCTGTGGAGAGGTAGGTTTACAGCTGAGATAACATTTCATACCGATCCACCAACTTTTTGTAGCCTCGTGTGAGTTCCCCGTCCAATCGCGGGAATTTTCGCACACAATCTGTAGCTTGAGGCGTAACAATCACGGCATACTTTGCGGGAAAAAAGCCAATATAACGTGATTACGGCATTATTAAGGAGTTGTAGTGCTGAAATTTGCAAAAAGAATGCGCAAACCCGGAATCGAACCGGGGGCCCAACGATGGCAACGTTGGATTTTACCACTAAACCATTTGCGCTTGTTGAATTTTCAAGTTTTAAAACATGTCTACATGTTAACAGGTGAGTTGACAGATTCTGATCTTTCCCCTCGAAGAAGCCTGAATTATGGTAAGTTTGTGCAATCACGACATTCTGCATGCCTCAATTGGTGCTCTGCATGGGTGTACTGCGTTTTGTGTCACGTACTATCGTAGACATATGCTCCGTAATCATAGTTGTAAATGTCGTCTAAAAATCTATAATATTCATGCATTATGTACTGTCGTTGTTCGACGAGATGTCGTAGTCACCTTGCTTACACAACTCAGCGAAAATCCCGCCCTTTTCAAGCAAGTTTTTCGGAGTATCAAACTCCTTCACCTCGCCGTGATCCAACAGCAAAATCTTATCACTGTCCATAACGGTGTCAAGCCGGTGAGCAATAGTGATGATTGTTTTGTCAGCAAACTGGGAGCGAATCGTCTGCTGAATGATGCGATCTGTTTCGACGTCGACACTGGCAGTGGCTTCGTCCAACACGAGAATCTTCAGCGTGTTGGCCTTCATCTTCAAAATGACCCGCGCCAATGAGATGAGCTGACGTTGTCCATGACTGAAATTGTTGCCGCCTTCGCTGACCATGTGCAACAACTTGTCATCAAGCTGTTCTACCACTGGTTTCAAATGGGCAAGTTCCAAAGCTCGCCAGATCTCGTCATCAGTGTAGTAGCCAAAGGGATCAAGATTGTGACGAACAGTGCCAGCCACAAGTTGGGAATCCTGAGGGATAATGGCAAGTCGATGACGTAACGTATCGAGGCGAAGGTCAGCGATACACGAGTCGTCAATGCTGATAGACCCACCGGTAGCTTCTAAGATACGGAAAATCGCAAGCAGAAGCGAAGACTTACCAGCACCAGTGCGGCCAACAACCCCAATCTTCTCTCCGGCGCCAATCTTGAGGGTGACGTCGCGGAGAACAAGATCCAACTCGGGGCGGTAACGAGTCAGGTAGTGGTCAAACGCCACCGTACCGGACTCGGGCCAGGTGAGACGTGCTTGCTCGCCGTCTCTCGGCTCCAGCGGCAATTGTGCGTATTCCAAACACCGTTCCACTGCCACCACGTTGGTCTCGACCTCAGCCAGCATTCTCACCACAAGCTTTAAGGAAGTGGTCACCTGAAGCGCATAGGTCATGACAAACCCTGCCATTGCCGGCAGCAACGGGTGAGCTGTCAAGGTCGTGGCAATGGCAAGTCCCGTAGCACAAAGCACCGCCATCAGACCAATCACTTGGAGGCGGAAGTAGAGCCAACGGTTAATCAGGCGAAGCATGTATACTGCTTTGATGTTGAAGTCGATATTGGCGTAGTTGATGAAGCGGAAGCGGTCCATCTGACCGTAGGCACAAATGGTATCTCTACCGGTAAGCAGCTCACCAAGATGGGCGTAGATGGGCAGTCGCAGCACCGATACTAGCCGTTTAAGCTCACGCAGCAGCAGCACGTACTGGACTTCGTAGTATAAGTAGATTACCAGTAATACCACAATGGCGATGATATAGGCGGGCATCGCTACCCCCACCACGCCGAGAGTAAACACAGTCACCACAAGCCGGCGAATAAATCCCAGCATCGTCTGCGGGATCCCCAGATCGATCTTACCCACGTCCAGGGTGAACCGGTTCATGATTCTGCCTATGGGATTCAGCTCAAAGAACTGCATCGGCAGGTATAACACCCCTTGCATCATATCGTGGTGGATCGTACGCAGAGCCCGGATGAAAAGCCCCACTTGGGCAAGCACCAGCAGCGCAAGTTGCAGCACCACCAGCCCCACGCCAAGGGCAGCGTAACCGGCGAGGAAGTGGACGATATTACCGTTGTTACCTTGTCTTTGGTTACGGTCAGTCCAATCTTTAAGCCAATAATTCAGGGCCACGGAAAGGATCTGAGCTCCCACCACGATAATGAACCATACAATGGTTCCGGTGAAACCACAGGCACGGGCATAGGCCATGTACACCCCCCACTTCACTTTGCCCTTAGCACTTTTCTCCACCAGTGGCACGTCAGTAGTAGAAATGAGACGAGCTAACGGGTCCCATCGGAACAGTTCCACCAGAGCTCGTCTCAGTACTTGGATCTTATTCAGATCAGGCAGTCCTGGCAGCGACGGCGTAAGTGTCAGGCTCAGACTGGGTGGAGGGGGCGACAGGTACTCGCCGACAAGCTGGCTAATCAACGGAGTATCCAGCGAGCTCAGGTCGCGGGCCCTCGTTTCCACTAATTTACCATTGTCGAGGAGACTTACTTTATCAGCATAGGGCAAGACCAGAAGAGCATTGGTGGCCATGATAATTGTTCTCCCTTTAAGCAAGCCCATGACGACTTCGTCGATGATCCGTTTGCCAACATGGCTATCGACTGCCAGCAATACATCGTCCAATAAGTAGACATCAGCACAGGCATAGACGGCTCGGGCAAGCGCAAGCCGAGCCTTTTGACCACCCAGCAACAGCACCCCTTTTTCACCGACCTGAGTAGCGTCGCCATCGGGTAAATGGACTAAATCAGGTTCAAGTTGACACGCTCTAAGAACCAGTCTATAGTAGTCTTCATCAAATCGGTGGCCAAACAAAATATTCTCTTTGACCAGAGCGTTCATGATCCATGGCAGCTGAGCGCAATAAGCAATTTTGCCATACACTCTCACCTTCAGTTCGGGGGAAGCATCCATAAGCCCCAAGATTGCCAGCAAAAGTGACAGTTTTCCCAGGCCAACTCGACCCACAATACAGTGGAGGGAGCCGGAAGTGGTTGCAAAATTGATATCAAACAATACGGGCTTTTCTCTCGACCAACCGAAAGTGCCGTTATTGATCAGTACTGCCACCTGCTTAGTTCCCAGTTCAGATACTGCCGTCGACGTCTCTCTTTGGGAGAAAAACTTATTGAGACGTTGTACTGTCACCGCGGCTTCAACAGCAGCAGTGAGGACTCCAGGGATTTGCAAAAGCGGCGAGCTAAGTAAGTTGAAAAGCACCAACGATGGGAACACGATATCCGGTGTGAGAGGCTGCTTTTCAACGTAGGTGAAGGTGGCAAACAGCACAAACAGCACGAGGAAAGGGATCAAATTCCAGATAAACGACACCCCTTGCCATACTAAACGGATATGACGCAAGTTAGCTAATTCTTCCTGATTACGCACTTCGTCAATCTCGTCGCCCAGCGGTTGTTCCCAGGCGAAAAGCTTAATCAGTTTGATACTCAGAAGCAAGTCGTTAATCAACTTGGTACGTTTGTCTTTGATCTTCATTTGCTTCTTGGAGAGCAGCCGAGTGTACTTCACCACCACCAGGTTAAACGGAACAAGCACGGCGAGAGTTCCCACCCCTGCTAAGGTAGCAGTACCGCCTAATAATGGCCACAACAGAGCCACACAAAGGGCGATATCGGTGGGGGCAAGAATCAACGCCAGCATGTCCATGACGAAGTTCTGAAGGCGGTTGACGTCAATCAGCATCAAATTGATGATATCCCCCAGCGCCAGCAATTCATTACCATCACTTTTATCAAGTTTCAACGCCTTATCGTAGATATTGGCAGTAAGAGCCAGCCGCACGTCTAGCCCTAATTTGAGGTTCTTCATGAAGTACTCATTAAACACAAACGTTTGGAAAAAGGTAAGAGCAAACATTGCGATGCACACGAGCACCCCGTAGATAAATGGATGGCCACCATCGAAAAAGGCGATGAGTAAACGAAGCAATTGAGGCTGGACAAAGTTTAAGAGCTTTGACACAAGCTCAAATGCGAACAGAATGAGTGCAGTGATACCAAATGCTTTCATAAGAACCACGACAAATTGCCAATCGCTTTTGCCTGACTGGAAAAGCTTACGGAACTGACTACCTGTGTCACGACAACTAAGGCTTTCCGGCGAGTAATTAGGTAATTCGGCTTTGTTAAGCAGTTGCAGTTTGTACAGCGCCAGGATCATCGGGTTCATCCAGCAAAAAGTGAGACGGTCGACCAAATTAGGGAGTTGCAATAATGGTCGAAGCGCATCGTTATTAGCATAGTCAAGCACAAGCTGAGACAGCGGCCGCCACCAGTAGTACTCTAATGAGAAGATAAGCATTGACGCCACCACGAGGCCAAACATATACCGCGGATAAACGTCATTAAATAGCGGTAAGTGAGTGAGCTGCTGGTAGGCCATTGCCGTCTCCAACACCGTTATCAGCGGCCAAAACACTAACAAAACGTCTCGAGGGATCACCAGCACCACCGGTTCAATAATATGTATGGGAGTAAGCACCAATAGTATCACTAACGACACTGACGGGACAAGCTTAAACCAAAGCACTCCCACGCCCACCACCATCGCCACACGGATGTAGAACACTAGCCCCAAATTCTTTGCCACCAACCGACCGTGGAGCTGACGATGAGCAAGGCGGTAGCCGTCGTAAAGCGCCCACACGCCACACACGACCACCACCACCTCAAGCCAGTGGAGCAAGAAACACTGATTGAACGCGTTCGACCCGTCGTCAGCAAGCGGGTGCCATAGCTGGGTAATGTCCCAGTGACAGCGTACCATCGAAATGTTGATTTAGACGCCCCGTATCGTGGATAGATATACGACTATTCGTCCCTAGGGTGGCGCGAGACTCAGATGGCAAATACGCTCTCAGGTGCGCGGCTCGAACCCTCGCCCCATCTTTCCAGCCACAAAAGGGAAATTGAGGTAGATAGGGTTTAACAAATTGACCATGATAAATTGATTGATAAAATTGAAAAATAAAAAAAAAATTAATCAGCGTATATTGATAAAGATAAATTGTGACTGTTGAATACTTGAACAAAAGATTATCTTCACCATCTCGTAAATTTCCGAGAAATTTGATATAATTGAAAAAATGATGATATGATTTAGTAGGTCGACTTCAATTCCTCAGTGGTGCCTCCACAGTAGAAGCAACAGATACAAAGGCATTTGGTACAGTAGTAGTTGCGGACACCACAGCTATGGCACCGGTAGCGCTGGCCGGGAGCTAAGGCGTGGTAGCCGATGTCGCACCGACAGTGGCCACAGGGGATGATGGTGTTGACCCAGTCAGTCATGAAGATTCCATGACGACATTCCTATATATATATCGTTTTTTTCAAACGGGTTCTGCTACACAACCTGATGCTTGGGCTTTCCCAATCTGGCCCAGCCATCAATAGCTACACCTCACAATTATTTCACCATGTTTCCCCAGATTTTACACGGTCACGTGATGTGTCACGTGCTACAACCCATCCATCAAAATTCAACAGCCGCAGCGGCTCCGGTTGCCCGAACAGAGATTTTCCACTGCCTCGTTTTGCTATGCCCCAGGAAATTTTCCTCATCTCCAAGCCCTGTAATTGCGGCGAGGGCCAGAGCACACACACACAAAAAAAAAGAAATAAAGCAATCGCTATCTCTGTGCCAATTGCTACTCCTATGTACAAGCTACCCCACGTTCATTGCTCCCCCCACCCCCTTGAATTGAAACAATTCAATTTTGTTCCATCTCTTACCGTTTTTAACCGCCAGTGCCTCCTTTATAATAGACCTCGTAAGCCAGCTTTGAATTGTGAATTGTGGGGTCGCCATTTTGTCGATGTTCACCGATACTTCCGCCGCAGCTTTACGACTCGGCACCGACGTCGTTGTCAGCCAACCACAAACACGCCATATGTGCTGACCCTTCGGGGTAATTGCCCGCGCACCCCAGCCGTGTTCGGCCTACTGTGACGGGTCCGGCCCCCCAGGGTGCGTCCTTTTCCTCGGACTCGATCGTCCAATCACCGGCAGCGCGTATCGCCCTGCCAGCAGAGCCGAGTATCCACGATTGCCATCGTTAACACGAGGCTGTACAGATATTGTCGGTGTCAATCATGTAAAGCTGAAACAGATCGGTAAACCCCGTAAGTTTTATCGTTACCGGGTGATCGGAACCGGGGGGACCGAGGCGGGATCAGTTTATAGATGACACGTGAACAGGGGAAACACGCTCATGTGCATATATGAAAAAAAAGGGCAGTGGGATTACTGGTTTGTAGCCCGGGGATAACCCATAATACAACCACCACGCCCCATCATCCACGCAGTCCCCATCCCTCAACTCCGACCCTGCGCCCGATCAATAAATCAAATGAACAGTCGGCAATAATTTCTAACCAGCCACCACTAAACCTCCGAAAAATTGACTTATCCGATCATTAGCCACTATGGTAGTTTAGTCAATCGATCACTTTATTGTTAAGGAAATGGGCTCCGAGTCCGAGGCCCCACCTGCATATAGACAAAGCCGATTTCTGGAGCCGATGTTTTTTCGGCGGGCGACATTTCTAATGTCGCCAATATTATTGGCTGCACCCCGAAGCAAGGCGACTATAAAAACACTCACTGATCCCCGGCCCCTAAAAATTTTCCCTCAAGGTATTCTCCCCCAATGCTCTCTGCCAGAACCGCCGCTAGAGCTCCCAAGGCTGTGAGAACTTTGGCCACCTCCGGGTTGACCAGAGACTCGCAAGTCAACCAAAACTTGTTGGAATCCCACTCGTTCATCAACTACGCCAAGAACCTTGAGAACGTCAAGATCGTCAAGGAACGCTTGGGCCGCCCCTTGACCTACGCGGAAAAGTTGTTGTACGGTCACTTGGACAAGCCCCACGAACAAGAGATCGTCAGAGGCCAATCGTACTTGAAGTTGAGACCCGACAGAGTCGCCTGCCAGGATGCCACCGCCCAGATGGCCATCTTGCAATTCATGTCCGCCGGCATGCCCCAAGTGGCCACCCCCTCCACTGTCCACTGTGACCACTTGATCCAAGCCCAAGTTGGTTCGAAGAAGGACTTGGCCAGAGCCATCGACTTGAACAAGGAAGTGTTCGACTTCTTGGCCTCGGCCTGTGCCAAGTACAACCTTGGTTTCTGGAAGCCTGGTTCGGGTATCATCCACCAGATCGTGTTGGAAAACTACGCCTTCCCCGGTGCCCTTATGATCGGTACCGACTCCCACACCCCCAACGCCGGTGGTTTGGGTCAATTGGCCATCGGTGTTGGTGGTGCCGACGCCGTCGACGTCATGGCTAACTTGCCCTGGGAATTGAAGGCCCCCAAGATCATGGGTGTCAAGTTGACCGGTAAGATGTCGGGCTGGACCTCGCCCAAGGACATTATCCTTAAGCTTGCTGGCATCACTACCGTCAAGGGTGGTACCGGTTACATTGTCGAATACTTCGGTGAAGGTGTCAACACCTTCTCGTGCACTGGTATGGGTACCATCTGTAACATGGGTGCCGAAATCGGCGCCACCACCTCGGTGTTCCCTTACAACGCCGCCATGGCCGAATACTTGGAAGCCACCGGCAGAACCCAAGTCGCCGAATTCGCCAACTTGTACAAGAACGACTACTTGGTCGCCGACGAAGGTGCCGAATACGACGAAGTCATCGAAATCGACTTGAACACCTTGGAACCCCACGTCAACGGTCCTTTCACCCCTGACTTGGCCACCCCCATCTCCAAGATGAGAGAAACCGCCGAAGCCAACGGCTGGCCCTTGGACGTCAGAGTGGGTTTGATTGGTTCGTGCACCAACTCGTCGTACGAAGACATGTCGAGAGCCGCCTCCATCATCAAGGACGCCGCCGCCCACGGTGTCAAGGCCAAGACCCTTTACACCATCTCTCCTGGTTCCGAACAAATCAGAGCCACCATCGAAAGAGACGGTCAATTGAAGACCTTCGAAGACTTTGGCGGTGTCGTCATGGCCAACGCCTGTGGTCCTTGTATCGGTCAATGGGACAGACAAGACATCAAGAAGGGTGAAAAGAACACCATCGTGTCGTCGTTCAACAGAAACTTCACCGCGAGAAACGACGGTAACCCCGCCACCCACGCCTTTGTCGCCTCCCCCGAAATGGTCACCGCCTACGCCATCTCCGGTGACCTCGGTTTCAACCCCATCACCGACACCTTGACCGGTGCCGACGGTAAGGAATTCAAGCTTGCCCCCCCCACTGGTGACGGTTTGCCCAAGAACGGCTACGACCGTGGTGAAAACACTTACCAAGCTCCTCCTCAAGACAGATCGTCGGTGGAAGTTGTCATCTCGCCCACCTCGGACAGATTGCAAAAGTTGAAGCCTTTCAAGCCCTGGGACGGTACCAACCCCGAACGCATGCCCATCTTGATCAAGGCCGTGGGCAAGACCACCACTGACCACATCTCGATGGCCGGTCCCTGGTTGAAGTACAGAGGTCACTTGGAAAACATCTCGAACAACTACATGATTGGTGCCACCAACGCCCAAAACGGTGAAGCCAACAACGTGCAAAACCACTACACCCACAAGTGGGACACTGTCCCCGCCACCGCCGCCGAATACAGAGACGCCGGCAAGAAGTGGGTCGTCATTGGTGACGAAAACTTTGGTGAAGGTTCGTCGAGAGAACACGCCGCTCTTGAACCTAGATTCTTGGGTGGTTACGCCATCATCACCAAGTCGTTCGCTCGTATCCACGAAACCAACTTGAAGAAGCAAGGTTTGTTGCCCTTGAACTTCAAGAACGCCGCCGACTACGACAAGATCGAACCCCAAGACGAAGTCGACTTGGTCGACGTCACCGAATTGGCCCCCGGCAGATCGGTCACCATGAGAGTCCACCCCGCTAACGGTGGTGCCGCCTTCGACGTTGAATTGACCCACACTTTCAACCAAGAACAAATCGAATGGTTCAAGGCTGGTTCGGCTTTGAACAAGATGGCTGAAAAGCAATAAGTGTGCGGCCAGTGCATTTGTATTTAGTAATGAACGAATGAAAAAAAAAAAAAGACTGTAGCCTAATGTAACGTTCAAACATTGTTTCTCAAATACTGCTTTAAACGGGTTGTTTTCTCGTAAATTAATTGTTTGCTTGTGCGCTCGTGTTCTTGCATTGAACTCCATACTGGAAATATCTGCAAGCGGATGTTTATGTTTCGAAATGTGAAACACCCACCACCGTCATCCGACTTAAACCCCGCCCTAGGCAACAAAGTTGATAGTAGTTCAGACTTATACGGTTAATGGCTTGGTGGAAGAAACTCGTCAGTAAGTTGAAAAAGTGTAAGCGGACCCGGACTCAGGCTCGAGTGGCTGCAAAGGAAATTCCGCCAGACCCGCAGGACGGGTGTGAGTCGGGCTCCACGCTTATGAGACTGCTGGTGATCTCCTGTGCTGATACTCCCGGATTGTGGGAAATGACCCGTATCATGTGGAGTCGGGTGGCGGTCACATACGGGGTGCCGCTTCTGGAAGTACGCCAGAGTCTTGGGTACGATATCGAGTACGTGACCAAAGGCAAAGCATTTCCTCTAGAGAATGTTGATGACGTTAAACTATTCATCGAATGGTTTTGCTGCTATTTTAAGTACCAACTAAAACAACTTAAACGAACAGGCGACCATTATTGGCAGCAATTGCAACAGGAAGACGGGCGCTATCGCCAGTACCCGGGCCTAGATGGCACTACGGTGGAAGTGTGTGGCTCTGAGTGCCGTTACGACGCCATCAGGTTTGATTGGAAGTCGTATTCGGCGCTTTGGGTGGCCGAGTGCTGGACCACTTGCAAATCACTTATGCCATTATTTATCATGCTGAGACTACCGCTGTCGGAGACAATAAGACTAGCGGTCCAGCAGGCTCTGACTCCAGAGGCTCGAGAGATTGGTAAAATGTGGTTTGAAGCGTTCGAGCTCCATGGCCAGGACCGGTTTTGTGTGCTCGTCGATGTGTGGCACTTACTCGCCAGTATCATTGAGGACGGCGACCACTTGACTCAACAGGTGTTTACTCCTATCTTAGACCAATTGTACCCTGCTCTCGATGTGCTATCTCTTAAAACTGAGTTCCAACACCAACACCGGCTTTTAAGCAATGAACTCAGGCAAATCGAGACTCGTCGCGGCCAGTTGCTCCAACTACTCGACGAACACCAACGCCGCACCCGCAACCCTACATAAACCAAAATTAACTAGATATCATACTGTTCACTCAGTGCTAATCTATGCCCACGTTTCTCTGCCTTTGCTTTCGTGACCTCCTAAGAAAGTGTCGCGCTACCGGTTGGGCGCGGCCAATCACTGGCTCAGAATTTTTCATCAGTCGAAAAAAGCGATTCCTTTCCAAACCTTAGCACCATGGCTTCGATTACCTCGATTGTTAAGACCGCCGACTTCATCTTGTCGAGACCCACCCTCTCGAAGGTCGTGGTCCCCTTGGCCAAGACCTTCTCCGCCTACTCGGGCTACCGTGAAATGGGCTTGAAGTACGTACCATACCCCTTTATCCATGATTACCATTTATTGGCCAAACACCAATACTAACTGAATAGGTTTGACGACATCATCATTGAAGAAACCCCCATCATGCAAACTGCCCTCAAGAGACTCCCTGCCGAAGAAAAGTACGCCAGAGTCTACAGACAAATCACTGCCCACCAATTGGCGCTTTCCCACGAATTGTTGCCCGCCGCCAAGGCCGTCCAACCCAACCAGGACAACCACTACTTGATCCCTTACATTTTGGAAGCGGAAAAGGAAGCCTTCGAAAAGGCCGAATTGGACAACATTCAGGTTTAAGCATTTATATAGATATAGTAATTTATCGCGAAGAGGTAAAGTGTAGGGGGGCATGCCATTCTTGAAGGAAAAGTTATTCATACATAGCATGTCGAAGTAGCTGTTCAACTGATTGAACTTCTTTCCGTTTGAGTTTGGCATGCTTGAGTCAATCTTGTTGAAGTTTAAGTGATGCTCTCATTTCTTAGGACCAGCTTACAATCAAAAATTCTATAGAGTGAATGAGCTGCTTCAATTCCTATAGATTGATAAGCTGTTTTGAAACAAGCTCTGCTTAGTTCACATATTTACAGAGTGAATTGAAACAATAGCTGATGGTAGTTATTTCATTTCTCTCTCTAAGGAATATAGCCATTCAAGTGCCACCGATTGAAGATTGTCTGAACCAAACACTGCTCTTCAGTAATCCCCCCTTTATCTATCTATTAGTCTATTACTATTTACAGTCTCATCCCCACGCGGTACTTTCTCAACTGTTCCAATGCCAAAAACGTCACGATGGTATGGGGTCCCAACCGGATAAACGACGGCAACCACCCTCTAAACATAAAGCTGACACCCTCTTGCCGCACTGCATTCGTCAAAATGTGGACGGCGGAGTCTTTGGACCCTTTAGCATTCATGATCCGCGTCTTCACCACATCCGCCGGCGAACATACGGTGGTGGCCACGAGCCCGGCAAGCAACGAGGCACTAAAGTGGGTGCTCTTCTTCGCCGGGTCCATCTTCAATTTCACCAAAAGGTCTTTGGCCAAATCGTAAGTGACCACTTGCGATGCCGTCATAAGTACCCCACGGGTCAAATTGGGGCCGAGCCCTCGGAACAACGACGCCACGCCTTCCAGCTTGGTAATACGATAAAAACCATCGAAAACATTACGGTAATTTCGCCGTTGGTCGGCGGGGAGCAGCCGGTCGTTCTGCATGCGGATATTGACCACGTCCAGCGGATTGCCCACGAGCCCCCCCAACGCCCCCGCCGTCATCAGCATCGGCAAGAGCACTATGGTCGTCGGCTGGGCATGAGCATAGGCAATGTATTCATCTTTAAGCCACTCGTATACCCCGAATCTGGTGGTACTATAAGTCGCTTGTCTTAATAACGACGCCGAGAGCCCCAGGTAAATTTTAAAAAAACCTTCGTCACGTATGATGTGCCACACCATCAGCACCAACCCTTGACCCGGTTTGGCGGCGGTTTGAAGCCGTACTTTGGCGAGATCGAGCGGATGGGTACACACACACGCGATCATACTGGCGGCCCCGCCGTACCAGAATCTGGCGGTTAGTAGCTGGAAATATCAATTAACAACGTTGCTATTTGCAAATCAAAGGAATACTTACGGGTACGGCTGCTGTTTGGTCATCGTGGCAGTGGTGGGATGGGGTTGTGCTCGCACCACGGGCTTGTCGTCATAAAGCATTTTTCGCGGCCCGGTACAGGCGCTGCTGGCACTGCGGTCGATCGGAAATGACTCAGTCATGGTGGTGGATGCGGGAGAGCCAATCGATAACGGCGGCAGCGGCATGCCTCAGTAATATATGTCGAGCTTAGTTTTTATCTGTTGGGGCGTGGGGAGGCTATGAGCGCTAGCGTTGCCCCACCGGTGGATTACGGGAGGTTACCCCTCCTTCGCCGTGCCGCACGACCCTCACTGAGAGATGAGCAGCTACTAGCAATTGTCTCCGGATTATATTAGCCCACCCGCTCCTCGTGACTACTTTTTAAGCCTACTATAGAGCCAATGCTAGGCGTGCTTGTGATATGGGGGCTCGGCTGGCTGGGTGAACGGAAAGCCTCTCTGGACGAGCGGAAGCGATGCCAGTAGGCATGCGCTCGCCGTACAGCGTACATATACTCCGAAGTGACACCTCCCGCTATCGCTCGGATAATCTCGGAGGGTCTCCCACTAAACGATGAGGGGGCGCCCAAAATAAAATATACCGGTGTAAACACGTTTCTGCGCTTGGTAACGCTGAGTAAGCGCAAAGCAAGGAAATCTCGGTCTCCGGAACGTGGGCCTCTCAGCCGTGTGCCGAAATTGAATCAGAAGTTGGGGTGCTTGCACCATGGGGTGCTTGACCATGGGGTGCTTGCGGCCGCATTATCTATTCATTGATTCCAACTCTATGCAAATAATAGTCGAGACCATTGCAATTGTAAACGTCAAACCACCACCTTTGGTAATTCTCATTTTTTTGCAATTGCGCAATCATCATGGTAGCTGTAGCTCCTATGCACCAGCCGAATTGTAGGTCTTATCAATTGCATAACTAAGACCAATTTGAAAATTTATGGTATTAAAAATGCTATTTAGGGGGTTCAACCGGTACTGAGTTCGTTTGTTGTACCGTTGAGGCTACGTCATCATGTTCGAGTTCTTCGATCTCTTCCTCAAGTTCCATTTGCACTTCATCGTCCTTCGGCACCTTCTTGTTCGTAGTGAACACACTGGCAATTAAAGCCACTATCAGCATCGCCAACGAGAAGTAAAACACATTATGAAGGGCATCAATAAAGATAAGCTTCACCAGTTGTCGAAGGGGCTCGGGCAACAGGTTCATCGCTGTCGGCGACAGCAAGATCAGCTTCCCTGGGTATCGCAGTAACGTCTGGTATTCGGGACTAGACGGATCAAAGGTGCGGACAAAGCTATTGTAGGAACTGAGCCCCGTATTTTGGAAGATGAGCTGGGAGATATTGATGGCTAATGCACCCATAAATGTTTTCACAAACGACAAGAACGTCGTCACCTGGATCACCAGCCCCTCCACGTTATTGGGAGCCAGGATCTGAGCGGATATGAGCGACAGTTGGAACTGGAGCCCAATACTGATCCCTGCGGGGATTAAAAGACCAATCAATTGTCCAATGTCTTTCTTGGGTCCGAGAAGCAATAAAATCCCACAACCGATGGGACCACAGATCAGCGAAAACATCATCGTGATTTTAATCCGACGAATATTACGAAGGAACATCCCGTTAGCCATCAGCAGTACCACCACCGAAATCACTAATGGCAACAAGTAGAGCCCCGTTTGCCAAGGGGAGGCGTCGTAAATCATTTGGAAGTAAATCGCCAAAAAGGTGACGAGGGCCATGAAAAACCCAAAGTTAAACGCCGCCAGCAACGCCGCTGCCAATACCGGTACGATCGTCAAGTTCTCAACAATGATAAGTGGGTGTTTCAGCCACACAAAGTTCCACACGGCGAATACAATGCCCATTACCCCACCGATGACAAAGCAACAAATGACGGCTGCCAGCCGCCAGGGGAACGCGACGCCACCAAATGAAATGGCAAGCAAGAGCAACACTGTCGACACCGTCAAGAAGAATGTACCAATGAAATCTATACGCCCAAGTTTCACTTTGAGCGACCCGGTAGGAGGTGGAGGCCGAAACAGGACAACGAGCACCGCCAACGCGGCTCCGCCAATGGGCAAGTTGATGTAGAAACACCATCTCCACGACACGTTATTGGCAAATGCCCCCCCGATAAATGGACCAAGCACCAGGGCAATCGTAAATGTGACCCCAATAAGAATAAATGAAAGCGGGCGGCGCGATATCGGGACCAGCTCGGTCAAGATGATGGTCACCGACGTCTGGATGGTACCCGCACCCACACCTTGGATCACCCGAGCGCCAATCAACATGTCCATGTTCTTAGCTAACGCAGCCACAAGAGACCCCACTTCAAAGATGACGATGCCTCCAACTAAAGTCCATTTGCGACCAAAAGCCAATGAGAGCTTCCCATACAGAGGAATCAAACACGCCATTGGAAGAAGGAAAGCCAGCGTCAACCATATTACTTTGTCGTACTCGTGAAACACTTGCCCCACTTCACCCAAAATAGTGGAGACAATAGTTTGGTCGAGAGCCAGTAGAAACAACAGCAACACACACAGAACGAACGTCAATATAAGCCGGGGCCCATGGAGATACTGGTCGACGGCGCGGGTGCCATCACCAGCGTCAGATTCAAAGTATTTCTTGGGAGCATCCAGCTTCTCATCGTCCTTACATGAGTGCAGAGAGTGCAGTGGTTTCAATAGCAGCAGCTGGTACTCTTCCAGTGACAGAAGCTTAGGCTCGCTGGTGTGTTCGGTTTCCAGTACCATGCCCATGAAGTATTATGCAAATGTCAGCCTCCGCAGAGTATGAGTTAATTACTGACTTGTAGAATTTGATGGGTACCGCCAGTCAGGTTTTGTAATAATGCAACAGTAGTATGGAATGCAAAAATGTAAAGACAGCTGCTTGAATGATTTTCTGCAAACAAGCCTGCTGTTTTTTAAGGTTTATGGGAACGTTGCTCTTCAGCTGGCAACCCAGCCGCACGATGCTTAAATTGCCACAAGTGCGAGTGGGGGATTTTCTGGGGAATCACATAGTAAAATTTCGGATTGTATTTGATTATTAGAAAAATGGTCAAAATGGAATCTTCACAAACACTGTAAAAACCATTGCATAGACATTCACGTGATGTCGCTTAGGTACCACAAAATCGATCAAGATCGACATGAATGTCGAAGGTGCGTAACGAACTATAGCAAGTCCTGAGTGGAAATTGATGTCATCCGTTTATAGTGCCAAATCATTCGTCCAAATTATACATCTTAATTACAATTTAACCCAATTCAACCTTGATAAAACCAAGTTAACGTCTGACTTTGTGTGTAACACGTGACTTAGGGTACTCCGGAGTTGAGTGCAGCGTTTAAGACGAGTGGCGATATGAGTATCAATAACGTCGTATTTACGGAAGGAGCCGGTTTTCCGTTTCAGCTCGCCCAGGATGAAAAAGTGTTATACACGTCTCCCACAACACGACAACCATTAGCCATCAAGTCCAAGGCCGCTTTCGGAAAGACTAACATTCAGTGTGACGACGGAAGAGTGTACGTCACAAATAAGAGGTTTGTCTATGTCACTGATACTCAAGGTGACATCAATGCCTTTTCTATTGACTTGAATCTTGCGGGCTTGCTTCAGTTTAGTCATGAGATTAAACTGCCGTGGTTTGGAGCTAATTATTGGCAGTTCCTTTTCTTTAGTGCCAAGGAACCAGCGATTGCTAGCGATGGGTTTGCTAAGGAGATGTGGTATGAAGGAACACTCCAATTCAATAACGGAGGCTTATTTGAGTTCATTGAGGCGTTGAATAAGGTCATCACTGATATCCATCAAAACCGCGATATTGATGACGAGCTTCCTCGCTACTCGGCGTGAAGTATTCCTATAAAGCTACTGGCTAGCTTTGATTAGACATTAAATGGTATGGGTATTATGGTTATATGGATTGTATACGTGATTTCATCAGTAAAGGGGATAAAAGCCAATCTCACTTCAAAAAGTAAGAGTTGGGGCTAAAAAGAAGGTCCTACCCGGATTCGAACCGGGGTTGTTCGGATCAAAACCGAAAGTGATAACCACTACACTATAGAACCAGGACGGGATTCTGAGAAGCTAGGTTTATGGAGTCAGGCTGGCGATGAGTACATTTTCCGCGATTTTCGCTTTCACTTCAACGTTGTCTAATACATAATACGCTGTTATCAATTATATATTGCTTCGTAAAACCCTAAACGTCTATTTGTGCAAAATGATGCCCCCATTTAGTGTGATAGACCATGCTATCCCTGTGTTGTCGATACGCTTAAAACGCGTCAGCCATCGTCACTTCACCTTCACCTTCACCCGTCAATCTCGGCTTCCCCGCCAATAACTCACGACGGATTTCTGGACCCATCCCGGGGTGGAACCGTTGACGGACAGTTTCCAATAAGAAATCGCGCTGGTCGTCGGTGATATCGTTCTTGTACCGTTGGGCAAACGCCAAGAAGGCCTTGTGCCACACCACCGGCAACTCTATCTCTTCAGACTGCTGTGATTGCACACCGTCAATTTGCATTTCTTGGCTCTGAGCAGCATTACGGAATCTCATGAAGTAAAACACCAACTCATCGACAGTCTGGTAGGGCAAAGCGTACTTCTTCTCGATGAGCACACGGATGAATACGGTGGTGGCGGGGCGGAAAGGTCTCTTGGTAAGCTGAGCCAACGCCACCGACGAGTGGAGCACGGGCACCGACACCTTAGACAACACCGAGGCGGCGATGGTGGCTTCTCTGGTGGTGGCGTAGCCGTCAACTAACGGAAGAAGGAACCCTTTAAAGAATGCAGCCGGCTTATACAACAGCTTTTTGAGGGCACGGTAGATGTGGTAGTTAAGCGAGTGGTCGTCCAGCTCCTCGATCTCGCGCCGGAACCGGTGGAGCAACACTTGTTCAACAAACTTCTGAGCTTCGTTTGCCAGCAAATTGGACACAAAGAGCTTCGTCGCCTCGTAGACGGCGTGGACGGTCCAGTTGTCAGGATTAGTCACGTACAACACGTCCTCCCAGTTGCGCAACGACGGCATCACTTTGAAAAGCTTAGGGAGCTTACCGTGCGAGTACAGCAGCAATATGAGCCCGATCTTTTCGTAGGCGGCAATCACCTTAGGCGGTAATCTCACCCCGTCTTGACGAGGCACCCCTTCAGTCTCAGCCTTCTTCGCCGCCTCAGTCTCCGCAATCTTGGCCAAAATCTTATCGGCAAGGTTAATCAGGCCGTTTTGGTTACCGAAGTATTTGTCAAACATCGCAGTATCGGCCTCATCGACCTCTACTTCTTCATCCACTTCAAACTCAGAGTACTCTTCTTCATCTTCTTCCTCGCTCTCTTCAACTTCCGGGTTGAACTTTTCCGAGAACGTCAACGGCTTGCCGTTTTCTTCTTCTTCGATTTCGTCCTGTTGCTGCTTGGCTAAGTCGAGAATCTTCGCCAGGGTTTTGGCGTCGAGGAAGTCATCCTGTTGTTGCTGGCGGTGCTTGTTCTTCTTTTGCGCTGCCTGGTCGCGGAAAGTACCCCCGGCAGAAGAGATATCTGCGTGTAACGGGTTGTGACGTTGCAGCTGGCCCTCACGAACCGTGATCTTCCCCATGGTGATTTAGCGTGATGGACAGGTGCTCATCGCAGACAAGATGCGACTAGCGACGCGATGTCGCTGACTAAGCCACGGCGTGTGGAGTTAGTCAGCGCGCACACCATTTGACAGTGGTTGCAAAATTAAGGAATATTCATTTATTGATCGACAATACCAAATAAAGAAAAAAAACTAAATATGCCCTTCACTTCTTGTTGAAATTTTCGAGGGTGTCGAGGTGCTTGAGCTGTTCGCAGAGGGCGGTGTAGGCACGACGGTTTTGTTCCATTTCCCGAACAATCGTCCCCATTTCCTGGAGGTACCATTCGTGAGCATCACCCGACTCCATCATCAGGTTCAACTGGTGGAGGCGTTGCTTGTCCACTTGGAGGCGGTTCTTGTTCTGGACAAGACGCTCACTGGTTTCGTGAAGCACGCGGAGAGTCTCAGCGAGACGTTCGATGCGGTCGGGGTCGGACTTGGGCTTGGGAGAGTCGGGCACGGACTTGGGGGTTTCAGACATGGACGATGGTTGGTGATATCTCGGAGGGGTTTTTGCTGACTATTAAATATTTGGGTTTTCGCTTCAGGTTGCTAGGGGTGAGTGAAACTATAGTCTACGGTGAGTAAGTTGAACGTCTGTAGTAATTATAGAGAAATGGTCATATCGACTCATTTTAATAATTTTATGAATGTACAATGAATTGCTCTCACACCACAACCATCGAGAACTCCTCCTTGCGAAGATTCTTGAAGAGCTTTTTGCTCTGGCCTCTAGACAGGCGCCGGAATACGTGTTTGTATGCATCGGCCACTTTACCGAAAAGCTTGGCCTCGCCGAAGAGCATTAAGCCAAAGTTTACCGCTGCCATCACAAGGAGAAGCCAGTAGAAACCGCGAGATAAATTTGTGAGCTGCATGAGGTCTCCGGTCTTCGAGTTGCCGTCAACCGCGAAAAGGGCAATTGAGATCAACGTCGACACCACCAAATTGATAAGGTAAGGGGTATTCTTGGAAATCGGTTCCCGATAAGGTGGGCCCACTGAGAGCACCACCGACATGAGGATATACTGGAAGTTCGAGAATAAAAATAACACGGTGTTATCACTCAGCTTGACCTCATCGTCACCACCCGGCACTGGCTCCACATACCACGGTTCTTTTTTAACCTGAAGCCACAACCCAATTTGGAATAATGCTAATACAAAAATCTGACAGAGCAAGGGGATCAAAATCTTCGGACTTACCAAGTTCGCCGTGGGTCTCTTGGTCACGAGCTTGTGATACGGCTTGCACCACAGCATGAAGATGGCTAACGGAAGGATGAGGAACAAGTCAATGTACAAGAACTGGAAGTCGCCAAGGTTGGTACCCAGCTTGTATAAGATAGACACAGTGATGAACTGGATCGCCAGATACAACAGCATGTACTTGAAGCACAGGAACAGAGTGACTAAACTCAGTCTACCTTCACGAATAACTTCGATGACACAGGAAATGTCGAATTGGCGCGAAGTGAAAGGTGCTGCCACTGAGGCTTCAGCTTCCGATAACGAGATACCAACGTCAGCCGCCTTCAACGCCCCGCAATCATTTGCACCATCACCACAGAAACCCACGGTGTAGTCAAGCTTTTGTAATTGCTCGACAAGTTCGTGTTTTTCATCAGGCAGCATTCTCGCAAATATATCACAGTTCATAAGCACGTACTGAGTAACATTGACGTTATTGAGCTCAGTCAAAATGTAGCGGAACACATCACCAGTAATCGCAAGTTTCACTAAAGTATGACGGATATCAGTTTCCACCGGCTTGAATGTGACTGGATCAAGTTTGCTTTCGGGGTTATCGACATTGACCCACCCAAGTCTACCACCTTGTTCATTCTCTTCCCATTCAGGGATGAACACGCTGGCATCGGGGTCAATAAGCGACAGTTCTCTACCCACCAGAATCGCCGTCAACACATTGTCACCAGTGCACATTACGGTGCGGATAGCTGCTTCATTGAGTTTGCGAAGAGTGGGCTTCGTTTGAGGCTTCAACTTGTTCTCAAACACAATAAACCCAGCGAACGTTAAATCACTTTCAACCTCTTCCCGTTGCAAGAACTGTGACTTGGAAACATCTTTGTAAGCCAAAGCAATCACTCTGAACCCAGTGTGAGTATAGCGGTGAAGAAGCTCTTCGAATTGAGTTGGGATCAGTTCAGAATTACAGATTTCCACAATCACTTCGGGTGCCCCTTTGACAAGAGCAAGCTCCTGGTCGTGGTTTCCTTTGATGATAACCAGCATCCGGCGAAGTTGCGACACAAACTCAAACTCACGCAACACGGTAAAGCTATTCTCACCCTTCTTGACAACGATGTGTCCTCTCAGATCTTCAGTGAATTCCCAGTTAGTGTAATCGAACATCTTGACGTCCAAAGGATCACCAACAATTTCATCGTCAATCATTCTGAGTGAGTGGCACAGCGCCATCGCAGCCATCACGTAGATCCCGTGGTTAGTAGCATGAGACTCCAAGTGACGGTAGTTAATGTCATCAACAATATCTTGACCACTCTTCAACATATCTCCAAATACGATTTCCTTGCGGCCTAAAGCATTGTTGGAAATATGAACGCCCAACACGTCGAGCCCGTCTTCAGTAAGAGTACCCGTCTTGTCAAATGCTACAAGTTCAAGTTTCCCAGCGACGTTGACTCGAGTGGGGGCAATGCAAAAGATCCCACGCTGCTTAAGTCTCAGCACAGCAAATGTAGTACCAATTGTGAGAGTGGCGGGTAAAGCGGGAGGGACAACAATGGTGATGATGTCGAGCGCCCGCAAGAGCATGAGTTTGCGGGACAAGCCCAACTTGATGAAGTTGTAAGTGGAATAGGAGAACCCGATGAGAGCAATGATGGCCATGAACCCGATGTATTTGAACGAGTCTTGGTAAAACTTGAATCCCAGGGGTTTAGGGAAAAGCATCAGTCTCACCAACAGACCCTTGGTGGTGTTGAATCCAGTGGCCACACACATCGCCACCACCGGTTCATCATTGGTAGTCTTCATCTTGAGCAAACGAGTGCCGTTGTATAAGTACAGCTTGGAGAGCAACGGGGTTTTGAAGTTTTCCGGCAAAAGCTCCACTGTGTCCTGAGTGGCTTGGGACTTAGTGACAGGCACCAGCTCACCCGTAAGCATGGCCTCATTCACCACACACTCACCGTTGATCAAAAGAGCGTCGCATGGGACTACTGACAATGAAGGGTCAACTTCGAATACATCACCAGGCACCAACTCAGTGGACGGCACCTGTTTCCAGAACTCATTACGCCACACCCGAACTTCACAGCAGAAGCGACTCATCTCCTGAAGTCTAGCAAGGGTTCTCTTGGTCTCAATAAGTGAGTTGATGATCAGAGCTCCCAGAATGACGAAGATGCACAGAGCGTAGTAGTAGTAGTTATCAGCAAGCCACAACAAGACCAGGAACACTTGAAACACGTAGAACGGATGGAGCACTTCATCAACAAGCAATTGACGAGTCAGCTTTGTCTCAATAGCAATTTGATTGAGGCCGAAAACTTCAAGCCGTTGGTCGTGCAACAGTTGCAGTACACCATCGCGACATCCGGATACTGAAAGCCACTTAGGATCATACCAGTTGGAGTTAGTACGGAAGATATCTTCAACGGGTGAGTAGAAGAACTTGATGTATCTGTATGTGAAGCTGTGAACAATGGGAACCACGGGATTCGGGTCACGCTTGGCACCAATCTCCTCCATCTCCACTTCATCGTTAGGGTTAAGAGCTTCGTTATCTGAGATAAAACTCAGGAGACGTTCGCCATACTTTTGTTGGTCAACGTCCACGATCTGAAGTTCACCAAACTCATTTTCAATCACACACCAATCAGCGACACCAAGGGCCAGGGGGTTACCAAGAAGGTTGATGCGATAGCGAGGGAACCACCGGAGAATCAAGTAAGCCATGCCAAGCGTGCACATACAGAGAAGGTAGTAGATGACTTGCTTCCACCAACACGAAGTGTACCCAGCTATCCCCAATACCAAATCTTCTTCGGCTAAATAGAACCGCTGGTACACAAGTTTTGCTGGGTAGTGTTGCTGAAATTCCGCCTCAGCCTCAGTCTCATCTTCTTCAACATCGGAGCCCAGTTTAGAACTGGTGGGCAGACTGCGGCGGCGTCGCCGTTCAAAACTCTCTAACGATCCGTAGCCACTCAGACCATCGTCGCCTGAAAGCCGTTCACGGTCGACATCAGTATCGTATTTGTCCACTGAGTAGTCCCAGTCGGTATTAAAGTCAACGGGCACTTCCAGGTCTTCTAAAGTGGAACCACCGACGGCATTTTCAATCTGATCTTTGGAAAAGAATCGGAAATTGTCATGGTCATCGTGGTCTTGCAGAGTCCCCAGTATCAGAGGGAGCAAAGGATTGTCTTCACTGACCACCGAGTCTTGCCGCAGTCTCCACCGACCAAAGCCGTGAGGATAGTGCAACAGCGAAATCGACAGGGGAATCACCTCCAGCGCCGCCCCGGCGTACATCTCTGTCTGGTTATCGTCGGCTAACGCCAGAGTCAGTGAGTCTATCAGGGAAAACGAGCCATGGCGGGAACGAGAACGGTGCACCAGGGGACTTCGTGTGTGGACCAGCGAACGTCTGGTATGGATCAGAGCCTTCAGAGTCAGCTCTCGACGGGACAGACGGGTCATTTAGGCGTCAACAGGTAATGGATATAAATAGCGCTAATAAGGGGAATGCCACGAGATTAAAGCGAGTAATCACACCTGTTGAAAAGAGACCAAATGACGTTGATGGACGGTATCACCTGTTTGGTCAGTCAATACTGCTCAAGAGCACAACGAAGGAATAAATGTATAAACGGCTAAGACGTCGTCCTATGATTGCGACCACTGCCGAGCGCGCGTCACCGCTTCAGCAGCACCGCCAATGCCGTGAAAATTATGGAAACTCACATTAAAGTAGTGTAGAGAAACAATAAATTGATACGATCTACGTCTAGTGATAATAATGGTTTTGTAAGTCTCACACAGAAGTTCATTCTTTAGTTGATCCGCGTGAATCGAAGTACAATTATTAAAACCAAACGGTTTAGGCTTAAGACTACCTTAAGTAATTACTGTCGATTATACACCTTAATGAAGTACAATCTACTCATATTTCTTGCTTCTCTTTCTTAATCTTTTTGTAAGATGTCCTGGCAATAATATAGCCACCATGGGTGCCAGTTCGTGCGCGCATCGCATGAGTCTAAGGTCGTTCAATCTGGCCATAGCGCCATTCACTGCTGCCAAGCCGCGAGGCCTACCCCTGATCATATCACCAGAGAAATGCCAGGTGCTCATTGATCGGTTGGATCTACAATCGAAGTACCCCAAGGGGAAAACAGACGTGGTGGAAGTGTTCTCCTCCAACCCGTTATTGGGGTCAATGATCAACATGGAGATCCAGCCCCGCCGCCATTACTTAGTGGAACACGCTCGCAACCAGCTCAAGACATGGAAGCAGATGGTGGACACACTCAACAAAACTACGGGCAACCAGGAGCACTACCAGATATACCACGCCGACGCCTACCAGTGGCCTACGTATACCAATTTGCTTGAAAACGAGATCAAACCGCAAATGCAAGACCGCTCCCGTCCTCACGATGAGCTCCTTCTTCTAGCCAACCTTTCGCTGCCAACGTTTGGTGAACTGCTTTGGGCCCAGTGGCTTCAGTGTGGCATCTACCGCAACTGGCTCCATCGCTACGGCAGAGTGCGGATGCTTCTCCTTGTACCTGAATTGTCAGCTCAGAAATTCACCAGTTACCCCTATAGTCTTCGCCGTAACCGGACCACCGTCAAGTTCGAGATGTACGCCTCGTTGAAATTGCATGCTATTACTGGTAACCCGAAAAAGATGACCAGTTTTCTGTACCCGGGTGAAGGCTATGACCCTCGCAGAATCCTTGATGACCAACCCATCATTCTTGAACCGGCGGATGTGTCTCTGCCTAAAGCTCAATTGGCCGTGATCGAAATGATCCCTCACGACGTCGACCCTCACTTGGACCATGAACTCTACTCGCATATCCTCCAGCAGTTCTTCTCAAGTCGTGACCAACAGCTTGTTGATATTCTTCCTCGAGTGGCTCCTGGTGCTGAAGACTTGGCTCCCCAGTTGGGGGAGTTGGCCTACCTTACTGCTCGCGATCTTTCGTTGGAGCAATGGCAAAACGTGTTTGGCGTGTTTGACCTGTGGCCATTTAAACCCTCAGATCTCGACTTTTTGGATTTGGAAATCTCCGATCGCCGTACATAGCATTAGCATACGAATACCACGTCAAAAAGAAAATGCCAGAAAGTCAAAACGTCGATTTGAAGAAAGTAGAATGCAAAAAGAATGGACGAGTTGGGAATCGAACCCAAGACCTTTCGCATGCTAAGCGAACGCTCTACCAACTGAGCTACACGCCCGATTTTCACAAAAATGCGTTAAGGCTAACCAAGTCATAGATTAGATGCGTAAAAACGCGCTTTTTTGGCGGTAAAACTTCAATGAGCTCATTTTGGATATACATTCGTAATTCTTGATAGTATATTGACTTTATGTTTGTTTCCGATGCCTCAAATTGACACTCTCGTGTCGATTTATTTTGGGGTAACTTGAGGCCCCTCGACCCCGCCACAACGAGCTAAGCCACCAAATATTTCACCCAAATTTAATTACCTCGCCACTTCCGCTCCGTTTCCGTGCCTGGCACTCGGAGTTGGCGGTGCTTTCGATTGTCTCCGCTCCGCGACCTTCGGAGTTTTCTATTGTGTGCCATGCATTCCACAAACCCCGCCAGCTATTTGTACCACAAAACCCCTCACGATTGCTCGGAGGCGTCACCAACTCCGATGTCGTGTACGCCACGGTCCCAGCGGTGTCTGTCACTATAACGTTGCTTTTCTGCGTGTCCGAAGGGCTGTTTCCCCCCGGCCCCGCTACCAAAGTGGACGCCAGATCCCGCCAGATCGTGTGGCCGGTACCCGGGCCGGAGGCGAACAACTTTTGTTAAGCGACCCTAGCGATATTCACGGCGGTTGGGGCGTAGCTGGCAGTTAAACACCGCGATGGTCAGCGGTGGCGGGAGTTGCCATGCACTGTGGTGCAGACACTTTCCCGCGTGTACCCCACAAATTTTTTTAGAGGCACACCACAAAGGGGGAGGTATTGTTCCGTTTTCGTTCTATGCATTAATATTTCTATAAAGTTACCAACATTCGTAGCCGCCGTCGACGACAAGGTTGTGCCCCGTGGTGTACAGGGAGGCGGTGTCGCTGCACAAGTAGAGGATCAGCCCGACAAACTCCTTGGGCTCGGCCATGCGGTGCATGGGGATCTTCAGTTCCCACGCCTCCTTCATTTCCGCGTGCAGCCCGATCACGTTCTTGGTCAACGGGGTCAAGATGTACCCCGGCAGCAACGTGTTGACGCGGATGTTGTACTTGGCCCACTCGCACGCCAACGAGCGCGCAAGGTGGATCACGCCAGCTTTCAGCATGTTGTACATGCATTGGGGCTGGGGGTCGTTGACGATAGTCCCCAGCATCGACCCGATCAAGATGATCAGCCCCAGCTCCTTCGCAGCGATCAAGGGGCGGGCAAACGCCTGCGACACGTAGAAGGCGCCCAACCCGTTCACCTTCATGATGTTTTCGGCGTTGGCAGCGGGGTAGTCTTCAGCGACAAAATTCTCGCAGTAGCCGGCAGTGTTGATCAAAATCAGCGCGTTCTTCTTGTGGTGGGTGTTGATCTGAGCAAAAGTCTCGTCGACGTGGCCGGCGTCGCCAATGTTGCAGCTCCACGCCAGCACTTCAGGCACGGGCGCGTCGCTACGGCCTTTGAGTTCTTCGGTGGCCCACTGGGCGACGTCCTTGGCCGCCTGCTTGGTGCGCTCCAAGTTCATGTCGACCAAAGCGACCTCGGCCCCTTGGGCGACGAGGGCTCTCAGGATCACCAGGGCGAGCCCGCCCAGGCCGCCGGTGAGAATCGCAAGCTTGCCATCCAAGCGGAAGTTGGGAACAACGTTGTCGTACAGGTAGTCAGTCATGGTGGCAATACTCTAGGAATCTACTCGGCGGGGCCCGGACACTATTTATAAACAACGACGTCTCGCTGCCTCGTGAATAACAAAAGAAACACCATGGCCCCGCCCCGCCCAAATCGAGGGTGCATGACGGGCAGTGCTTCAGTGCAGGTAACCGTTACTGCACCCAGACACATTGTCGACTGGGGGGGGCGCCCGCCTGGAGAGTCGCTGGAGAGAATTTCGGGTCGCTCGGCGCGATTTTCGTCGAGACCTCGCGGGGAGGGGAGGCAACGGTGGTGGCGCGGTGGCGGGTGGGATAGACAGCAATTGGCCCCCCTTGGCGGTGGCCGACGGAGCGGGGACCGGTTCCCGTTTGTCGGAAGCGGCCATGGTACGTGGTCATCGCTATGCCCGGGGGCAACCAGCAGCTTAGGTAAGCGAAGACGGGAAAAAAAAAAATGCCACCGTGACGTGCAATGACACTGACCCACAGCGAGCTCCGGGCCGACATATAGGGCCGACATATAGGGCTCGCGACCCCGATCCGCACCCACGTTGGCGGCAAAAATGTGACACCCTGGGACCGGTTACGAGGGTCACGGGAGCGGACGTGTCAAAATAGTGGGGTAAATGCTGGGTACCGCCACCACGTCACCGCCCTTACTTTAGTTAGTAGTTAACAATCAAATTTACTTGCAATACTGGTAACAGGAGCTCCCTCAGGGGTACGTAAAGGCGAGCGCCGCGTTTGGGGGACAACGCCCCGTCCCCCCCAGGCAGCGATGTCGCCAACGGTGGCCGATCATTGGGCAGCGCCGTTCTGTGGCCTCGGTAATGCTACAGATATATGTATGTTTCATCAAAAACGGAGATGAAGCCTGTGGTTCTAGCCCATCCCCTTAATTGAACCCCTTTCGGAATTAAATAGTGCTACTTTTTGGTTTGGGAGTATATGTCCTTTATCAGGTGATGGTGATAGTCCAATTTTATGGTAGTTATCACAGATCGCAGCGTCTACGAATAGGTGTATAGCGGAGAGAAAAAAACCGTAACGGTTCCTCACCATCGCATCTCCGTTTCCCGTTTCTTTTTCATGTTTGGAGTAGAGAGACATGCACAATCCGCATATAGCCACGATTTAGCCGGCGGAACAGCTTACCAAATTCCACACCCCCTAGTTTCTTTATCAGGAAGGGCGGGCTTCCACTGTGTTCGCCAGAGCCAGAGCACCGATGACCTCATCGGATTCTAGTCGTTTTTGACCTACGGAGGAAGAAGACCGAAAGGCGCGATGAGCATGGCCGAGAATTCAGATAAAACAAGCCCACAAAGCCAGTAGAAACAAAAGAATAGTTAACCACCACTTTTGGTAGTGTTCCAAATAACCTCCTTGGTCGGACGCATAACCGGATACGAACCCACACCTTAATATTATGAGATAACCATTACAGCTGATAAAAGAAAGGGGTATGATTTCGCCCCCGTGGTATCTCGGATTTGTCATCCTTAATCTTGTATAAAAAAAAAAAAAGAGTATTGCCGTAAATGTCGTTTTTCACCTGACGATCTTGCGTCGTTGGAATAATGTCGGCAGTAGTGTCTACTACTAAGATGGCGTCGCGAATTGGTTTCCGTTATCGGGAGTATCGGCCTACTTTCCGGCGTCGGAAGTAATGGTGCGACCTTCGCACCAAATCCCCATCAGAGCCCCCCTCCTTTTCACTGTACTGATAAAGCATGGCAACCACTAGCGCTGTCGACGCAGCCACTGCTGAAGTGAAACAGCTTTCCGTCAACGATGCCCCCGAGCTGAAGCCAGAACTGGTGCCTGAAGAAACCCCCGAGCCCGCCGACGGCGACAATGACGCCAACGACGCCGCCAGTAGCGATGCCGCTAAAGCCGCCAAGAAGAAGAAGAAGAACAAGAAGAAGAAGAAGACTCAACCCATCGACGCCCTGTACCCGGACGGCAAGTTCCCCGAAGGGTTGTGGATGGAATACCCGTTGGAAGTGAACCTGTACCGTACCACCTCCGAAGAGTGCCGCTACAACGACCGCCAAAACGACTCCAAATGGGAGGATTTCCGGAAGGGGGCTGAGATCCACCGTCGGGTGCGCCACAAGGCGCAAACCCTGATTCAACCGGGGATGCTGATGGTGGAAATTGCCGATTTGATCGAAAACTCCGTCCGCAACTACGCGGGCAACGTCGCCCCGAAACAGGCCGGGGTCGGCTTCCCCACGGGGTTGTCGCTTAACCATGTTGCTGCTCACTATACCCCGAACACTGGCGACAAGACGGTGTTGCAAAAGGACGATATCATGAAGGTGGACATCGGTGTCCACGTCAACGGGCGTATCTGTGACTCAGCGTTCACGATGACGTTTAACGACACTGAGAAATACAAGCCGTTGATGGACGCCGTCAGAGAAGCTACCAACACCGGGATCCGCGAGATGGGGATCGATGTGCGGTTGACGGATATCGGGCTGGCCGTGCAAGAAGTGATGGAGCTGTACGAAATGGAAGAGAACGGGAAGTTGTTGCCGGTGAAGTGTATCCGTAACCTTAACGGCCACTCGATCGGCGACTACGTCATCCACCTGGGGAAGACGGTGCCCATCGTCCCCAACGGCGACCAGACGAAGATGGAGGAAGGCGAAGTCTACGCCATTGAAACGTTCGGTTCTACTGGCCACGGCTACGTCGTGCCTGAAGGCGAGTGTCTGCACTATGCCCTCAACCTGGACGTCAGCCACTTGCGGGTCCCTGGCGACCGCGCTCAACAGTTGATGGAAAAGATCAACAACACCTTCGGCACGTTGCCGTGGTGTCGCCGGTACCTTGAACGTGAGACGGGCGAGGACAAGTACTTGCTTGGGTTGAACCAGTTGGTGCGGGCGGGCATCGTCGAGGACTACCCGCCGATTGTCGATGTCAAGGGCTCGTACACGGCCCAATTCGAACACACGGTGTTGTTGCATGCCCACAAGAAGGAAGTGGTGACCAAGGGCGACGACTATTAGGTAAACGAGTGGACATCTGTAAATATACATAAGACGAGTAACTTCTAATTTCGGACTATGACTTCTTTCTACAATTATGAGAGATGTTAGCTTTCAATTCAAACAATTTTACGAGTTTTAGGTTTACCATATGTCAAAAATGTTGATTACATTGGTGACGTATTTCATTTCAGTTACAAGGTGAAATTACCCCTTTTTCCCAGTGCTTATAATCACTACTGAATTAATCCGTGATTTTCAATCAATACTTGATACTTCATATCTACTAAATCCCGCTGGTATTAGCCACATCTAGGGTCAGGCTTCGGTGGCATACATGGTACGTCACCGGCTAGCGGGCCACCCTGCCCCCTGACGTTTGACGTTACTGCCACCCGGAAATTTGACAGTGCTCGACGCGTCCGCTCGCTGCAGGTGTGACTGGGTCGCCGAGTCGCCGATATCCGGAACCACCGCCCCGGGAGCAGCCCTACAGCGGCAATCTGGGGAACATACGTGGTCATCGTCGTTATGCCACCGGCTGTCATCCGATCATCGGCTTCTGGTGAGGGCTTTTCCGCAACGGACTACGGTTGCTGTGGCGGAAGGTATTGCTCCCGCGATCACGACGCTACGGCTTACACTGAGAGCTATATACGATATACCCTGTATTTCCCGTCCCACGCCAAAGGCTGGGGGAAACACACCACGCGAGTGAAGGACCGAGGATGCGATTGTGGAGGGCGTCGTTGTGTGCCTTACCAAAGCGGTAAGTGGGGTTTGTGGGGTGACGATTCCATGTGACCTGGTTCCGGAGGGCGTTGTTCGTTCGCGACGTCACTGCCCCAAAAAGGAAACATGGTCCCCTCACCTCTGCCACTGGAATCTGTGGTAAATCGTGCCCTGATCGCGAGAAACCAGGCCAAATTAACCTGAAAAACTCTTATAAACCCCTGCCACGACACTTGTAGCAAATATATATGTGGTTGGTGGTCTCGTTGCTAGCCAGCTGGGCAAACAGTCGCCAGCGACACCCCCCGCGCTATCACATGGAGATTGGTGCCTGCACACAGCTGCCGCATAAAATCGAGAGCAAATCCTCGACATTTGTCCTGACCCCTAGAACTAGCCCTCCATCTCCGCTGGCCTGTTCCCTGGTTGATTTTCATTACACTGCTACCATGGACGTGTCTCCCCTGGTGTTAGAGTTCCAAGGTACGTTCCCCTCCCACCAATGGCGTGCCGCTGTCTCACCATTCGCCAGCGCCGTTATATCCATCTTAACCTCCAATTACTAACCCATTCCAGGCTCGTTTACCAGCCAGACCACCGAATACCTCACCCTCACCAATAACACGCGCGAGCCCCTCGCGTTCAAGGTCAAGACCACCGCCCCTAAGCTCTACTGCGTCCGCCCCAATGCCGGGTTAGTCGAGCCGGGCGAAGACGTCGAGATCTCCATCATCCTCCAGGGGTTCTCCCAACCTTTACCTGCTGACTACAAGTGCAAGGACAAGTTCTTGATCGTGTCGTTGCCGGCGCCTAAGGTCAAAGACCCGTCGCGGGTACTGGAGGAATGGGGCCGTCTCGAACAGCTGTACGGCGACAAGTTGGTGCTGAAGAAATTGCGGGTTAACTACTTCGTCACCGACGACCACTCCGACGTCGACAGCGACCGTGGCCACCACGACCGGAGCAACGGCCACGGCCACGGCCACGGTGCCGCCGCCGCCGCTGGCGGGGCCGGCGTCGGTGCTGCTGCAGGTGCCGCCGCTGCCTCCCAGCGCCACCACGACTCGGCTCCCGTCGACCGTGACCTCTCCCACCACCAAGCGCCCGCGCAAGACCTGTACCAACAACAAGCACCCCCCGCCCACCAGCAACCGGTGGCAGCGGCGCCCCCTCCTCAACAATACTCGGTGCAGCAGCAACAACCCCAGGGCGACTACCAGCCGCAAAAGGCGATTGTCACCGAGCCCATCCAGGGCATTTCCATACAATTGGCGGCGTTGCTCTGCTTGTTGTCGTTTTTGTTGGGGTGGCTCGCTTTGTAAACGTTCCATATGGCCACCACAGGGTGTGTGGGGAACATGTTATAGCCGTATAGTAAGCCGATGTTAACTACCCAGTTGTAGGCCACTCGATAAATGTCGGCAACCACAAAGTCATGACGAGTATTTGAATTCTACAGTCACGTGGATGTTTACCAGTAGATTCAAAAGATGATTTCCATTGGACTAATTCGAGGATAGTTCACGGGTCTTTGAATTTTGGGCACTATATCAATGTCTCTTGCAGTGGGCATGAAGCTCTCTAAAGTCGAATTCGCTTATAGAAAAGTCGAATATGTAGACGAGAATAGCTAAAAGTGGGTTTACCAACCCTAAATGTCACTTCTTCTTTAACCAGTGTCCAATTTCTTCTTCGTCATCTAACTAACACTTTCGACTGAAGTATTGGGAATATTTTTCAAATCAAGTGAATTTGGCAGGTACACTCATATCTCCACTGATGGATGTAAACGTGTACCAAACTTCATTCCATTGAAGATAGGTATACTTAAGAAATTGCTTAGTTTAATTCAAAATCCATCCTCTGGGTCAAAAAGAGTTCAAGAGAAGCATGTAATCATTGTAATCTTACGCCCCACGCTGAGGTATAATTTACACGCACCTGTGCATTTGATCCCACACAGCGACTTTCAAAGCGCACTCGACTCGATAACTGATGTCAATCAACCGCAAGAATTTTCGAAAGAGAATTCGTAGACATCAGCGACGACACAACCAGTTTGAGGATGAAGTGGTCGACCAGTCGTGGTTAGTGGTACGGCAGAAGTATATTCAGAGCTATTTTGAAAAGAATGCATGGAAATTCAAACAACATCCGAAACTCAATAACCCCCACCAACGTGACCTATTGCAATTTGCTATGTACAAAGTCTATGGCCGTGGCCTGATCTTGATCTGTGTTGATGTTGAGACCTGGGAACAGTCACCAAAAGACGAGACACACATCCTTGAAGTTGGGATCTCCATCTACGACCCCCGTGGACAACAACATCTGTCGACACCTAACGTTAAAACTTACCATCTTGTGAATTCTGATAACTTGAAACTCAAAAATGGTCGGTACGTTCCGAACCATCGGGAGTATTTTATGGGGGCAACGCTGTGGCGTATGTCGTTGCTGCTGATCAAAATTTTCATTCAAGGTTTGTTCGATTACTATTCTGGTCTCAAACAGTGGAGTTCGGTTCTTGTGGGACACGGATTGCAGAATGATATCAAATATCTTAGACACATGGGGATCGAACACCCGTTTGTACACACCATTGATACTGAAAAATTGTTCGCTCTTAGTCGGAATAAGACCGACAAAACCAACTTGCGCACAGCCCTTAAAGAGACGATGATTTTGTCTGGTTACATGCACAATGGTGCCAACGATGCGTATTATACTCTCCAGCTTCTTTTCAAGCTTGCTGATCCTGAATTGCGTACCCTTCTTAAGCTTGATGATGTCAAGTTCCCACGAAACGTTACTCCCAAAATTAATAAACTTTCCGAGAAGACACCAAGTGCAGAGTTTATGAATCCTGAATCATACAGTGCCATGGAATATGCGTTACCCGAACCCTTAATAGAACCAAACCAATTCTTTGATTGGGTGTACGAGGACAGCAACGATGTTCGAGATGATGAGTGCATGTGCAACGGGCACAATAAAAGATTCAGGCATGGACAATATCCCTCTTCAAAGAATAATGTTTATTGACTTCAAATATGAGTAAATTTACTCGCTTGATAGCTTGTAGTATCGAATCAGTAAACTGCAAACTCAATCAGAAAATAAATCAAACTTTTCTTCGAAATGTACCTGAGGCCCTAGCTCGAAATCTGTACTTTTGTCATAATCTCATAACGGCATTAATTTCAAGTTGCAAACGAGTTATGCATGACGAATCAGGTTAGAAATCGGACTGGATTCGCTAATGATCACTCATACAACCATCAGTCATCAAATATGGCTTTCCTTTTGGTAGCGGCTTTCTTCTTCAAGCTAAGCTTGACGGGTTGCTGAGATGTCACCACCTCCACCGGCTTATCCTTCTCCTGATTGATTTGGTTAAGCCTGGCTTGTTCCACTCTCTGGTCGGCAAGCCGCTGCTGAAGCGAATCGTCTTCAGCTTGTTTAGCAGCCAAAGCCTCCGCTCGGCGCCGCCGTTCGGCGTCATCAGCGTCAACTAAGCTGATCGTCATCCTTTCCCCTTGTGTTTCCAACTCCACTTTATTGGTATGGTGTAAATGACGGACAAACTCGGTAAGCAGGCGCCATCGGGTCGCGTTCATGTGGATGTGGTCTCGAGCACCAATATACTCTTGGTAGAAGTTGTTGGCCTCTACCAGTTTGGTACCATGGCTTCGTTTGAGTAACAGGAGAAACTCTTGTTCAAATTCCCTGGAAAACCGGGCCACAGTGGCTCCAGCATCAGCACCAAGTGCCGCGATCTTCGCCTGATGAGACGGCAGCGCCACATGGTTTTTGAAGCCATTGGCATCTCGACACTGTTTGGAACATAGCTGACAGTAAAATTCAAGCTTCTGGCGTCCTATAAGCCGCACCTGCTTCCCCTGATAGCGACTGGAAGACATCAATGGCTATGATGGCAACGACGCTAGATTAGGCGCGCAGATCATCGCCTGGTATCGCTGATGAACGTGCTTTGCCACACGCCGCTAGCGGTCCGGAACCCGCTTCTACGGACGGTGGGGGGAGTCCGGTGGGTGCTGAGCCCCCCTCGCAAGCTGTACTTTGGCGATTGCACGCCGATCCAGTACTGGTGGCACCAAAAAGTGCCCCAGCAAGTGAAGTACTTTGCCGGGCTTGCGGGCGTCGCCTGGACTATTGCCAACGTACATTATGACTATTTGGTGTCGTTTGTGCCTCCAGCGTCGGTGGGAGGCTATTTTGGCTACAAATGGTGGCACCGCAAGGTGTACCACGAGAACTTGGCCATAGTGGATAAACCCGAGATGCCGCGGGTGAAATTGGCTCAATACGATGAACTGCTGGTCACGAACGTATTGAGAGGTATCGAGAACGAGTTCGACTACTATAAGGTACAGCTGATGGAGCTTCTCACTCGCCAAGTCACCGAATACGTTGCCAAAAATCCTGATCTGACCATTGGCTCGATGTTTTTGCGCCAGGGACAATTTAATGTTAATTTCGGCGATATGGAGACGTTTGTGTTTGTTAATGCTCCGGTTCCCGACCAAGCCTACGCCACCCGTGAGTTTATTAAGTATACGGTACCATTCTACTCGACGAAGACGCTTGAGACTCGAGCTCGCGTCGGTGTGGTTGAAGTGTATCTTTTGGAAACTAACCGGAGCCGACTCTTTGTTGAGTATAATGTGGCTGTGGACGTGAGACCATACAAATGGGGTAATTCTCCTCATAACTGGCTCCCGCTCCCTGAAGGGGTTGAGGAGCTGGAGGAGCTCCAGTTGCGCGAAGACGAATCCGAAGAGGCCGAAGAAGAGTTTATATAGTTTCTAACCATCGTTGCTGATTGTATATAGTTGAATATTTCAAGCCAATGATTAAACCATATTCGTAGACGATTGTCACACTACCAAAAGAAGACGATTGTCCCACTTGATTCTCGTTGACAGGACCTAATTCGGTAGTAGAAGGTAAACCCACTAAGTTAGCATTTATTCTCACATTCTCTCACCTGATACACCCACTTCAACAATGGCTGCTCAACAAATTCAATCGAACTCGCAAACCCTTAAGGACAACTACTCCCTCGAAAAGGACTTCCGTTTCTTCGACTTGTGCGTGATTGTTTAAATCTCGACCAAATAGTTAATGGACACTAAAGCTTATTTCATAGTCGTGAAACTCAGATGTGTAGTGATGTTTGATGTCGATGTCTACTTGCTGGTTGAATGTAAAAAACAATGGAGTCCCGTGGGAGGCCTTGTACCTGTACTGATCGCACTTGCAAAGTTGGCGGCCTCTCGTACTTACAGTGGTCGAGTAAATTATTTTCGGTAGAGGTAAGAAGTAGGATTTCAATCAAAATTCGAAATCCATGAAATTTGATTTACGTTAAAGTGTTCTGATAGTAAGGGTGAGTAACATTTGTATGGGGACTAAAAGCCGGTGTCATACAAGATTCTCGAGTTAAATGGCCATGGCAGCCGTTTTGCGAATATGAACAAGATCTCATCGATAGACGTGTTATTCTACTAAAGTTGATACGGCAATAGTATATTTGAGTCGAGTAGTCAATGAATTGATTATTAGAGGTCTTTATGTTGTATCTGAGTTGAATTGGGCAGTCACTCAGACTTACGATATGCCAACATAGGCAATTGAGGACAATCGCTTTGAATGTCCTTGTGACAAACTGACTTAAACCATCTAAACTTAACGAATCAAATGAAAACTTCCACTACCCTCTTGATCATTTGCTCGCAAGTTTCAAATCCCAATTTCACTGACCATTCCTACCGCTTAACACTAGTGCGCGCGAACGTTGCCGAACACCTCTCCATGACTATCAAGACCAGCGTGTTGACCCTCACGGCATTGACTGTCGGGGGGTATATGCTTTTCCACAACACGGGGGAGGACTTCAATGTGGGGGCCTTCCTTGAACAGACGTCGCCCTACTGGTGGGCGACGCTGGGGATTGCCGCGTGTATCGGGTTCCTGGTTATCGGCGCCGCCTGGGGTATCTTCATCACGGGGCTGTCGATCGTAGGTGCTGGGGTCAAGGTGCCCAGCATCAGTACCAAGAACTTGATTCTGATTATTTTCTGTGAAGTCGTCGCCATCTACGGGTTGATCATGGCGATCGTGTTTAGTTCGAAGTTGAACTCAGTGGACCAAGCAAAATTATACACCAAAGAGAACATGTACACCGGCTACTCGTTGTTTTGGGCCGGGCTCACCGTGGGGTTGCTGAATCTCATTTGTGGTGTTGCCGTCGGTATCACAGGGTCTACCGCCGCCATTGCTGACGCCGCCGACTCGTCATTGTTCGTCAAGATTCTTGTCATCGAAATTTTCGGCTCGGTGTTGGGGCTTTTCGGCCTTATCGTGGGCTTGCTTATGGCAGGTAAAGCTCAAGAATTCAGTTGAACGTAAAAAAGTTAATCACGGGAAATAAACATAGTCTAGAACGGACACTTACTTTCGATGCACACTCAATCCTGTAGAACTTCAGGGAATCTTCTAAGTGTAGTTCCTATGAGCATGAATGACGGTACCAATGGTTTCAAGACTTGGTGGGACAGTCAGTTCATCGAAGTTTCCATCACGTTCAACAAATGCATAGACGCAGATTGTAAATAACAAAAGGTCATTTCAAAAATGATGTCTCTACGCCATTATCTTCTTTAATTACCATATCCTTCAATTTTTTGGTTGTTATGATCGAAAGTACTAACAATGTGATAATCTTGGAATTTTCTCGAACACAACCATCTATGTTCAACATTTATTATCAAGGAGTCCCTCGTAAAGTCAGGAAAGCCAGTAGAGTTCTGTTGTGTCTCAATTCGTTAGTCTCGTTACATACTATTACTCACTTAATGATTAGGGTTCATCCTTAATGACGTCCGACAGATTAGAGTGTTCCGGCTCCTCCAAACCATCAACATGAACTATTCCGTCACTCAGAAAATACATATTGGAAGCCTTGTTTCAAACACGAACTGCAGGGGTTCGAGCGGGAGGCTAGGGCTTTGGCTTTAGCCTTTTCGTAAAATGAGCGTTTCTTCCGAACGCCGGCCCGTGGTGCTGCTTGGCGCTTCTTTGTCTTCGGATTCTCGTCATCAACGTTCGCTTTCGGTGGGATGCGAGGTGGGCGAAAGCCATCGTCATCCAGCCATAAAGGGACAATCCCTAGAACAACAGCCGGTGCTGAGACTCGCGGCATCGGTCTCAGTGGAGCGTGAGTGGGGAAATCCTTGGGCGATGGAGTGGGCGGCTTCATAACGGAATTATAAGTTTCAGCAGGTATCTCGGCAGACATTAAAGCTTCATGCAATAATGTAGGTTCGTTTTCAACAAAGTCTCTGAGTAATATTATGGCACGCTGCTTGATTTCCTTATCATCACTAGTCAGAAATTCCGTAACGTCCAGAAAGAAGTTCGTGAAGCAAAGGTTCCAAGCCAAACGGGGCTAGATCCGCAAAAGCCATTCGTAGCATTCGCGAGCCGCCACCAAATACCCTTCCGACCGTGCTTTCAAAACCTCAGCAGCAACCGCCTGCCCAACATCTCCGGAGGCACCCAAGTGAAGCTTGTCAATCACTTCAGTAGCCGCGGGCCGGTGCTCGTATTCACCCATCCACCAGGTCATAATACCAATAACGTTTCCAATTCGAGGGCGTAACGCTTCGGCAAGTTCCCGCTTTTCAGCGAGGACGCCTAAGATATCCAACAAGGGCCGACCAAGCTGAACATCCGTAGCGTCATCGAGTATATTTCCCACTTTCTCAAAGAAGCTGGACACTTCGGCGACAGGGGGCGGGTTTCTCCCGGAAGTGTTCGAGCAACCGCTCACACCCCGCCTCCTTGACTGACAAGGCGGTGCTGGGGAGGGTCAACATCTCGAAGAACTCGGCGATGGTGGGCACGGGAGGAGTGCCGACCATGGTATCGAGAAGTGGCGACTCAAACGGCGTGAGATGGAAAGAAGAAGAAGACGATTGCGAGGCGACAGCTACCCCTGAGACTGGGATTGACACGACATTCCTCTGGACTTCCCCATTCCCGAATTGAAGTGTCGGAGAAGCGTATGATGGGAAATGAAGCTGACACCGTCAAACTTAATAGTTAAACCATAACACAGCCAACTTTAAATGAATTCACCACAAGTTCTCAGCTTGTTACCGCTAATTTTCGCCGTCAAAATGCTTATCTTTCGGACTGACAGACATCGTTTCTCGCTCGACTCCGACGCGTCGTCTAGACGATCTCACCACGCGTCACATGACTTAGCTGGCCATCACCAAGTATGCATTTAGCCAACACCCACTGGTTACTAAAAAAATGCTACACTTTTTAAAATGAGAATTCATTTTCTCTTTAAATGTTTCGTAGCAACCGATTTGCAACCACATTGACAGGCTTCAACGCCACAAGTTTGGTGAGGTACATGCTTTAGCACAGTCGGTGGTGCACTTACAGTTGGTGGCACAGTCAGAACTGGCATCGCAGGCCACAGCTACTAGTACACGAGGAGTCTCAAGCGTTATCAACCAATGCAGTTCTCATTGTCTTCGATTTTGGACGTGATAACTATGAATTGTGGTTCTTATATACCATCTGCGTTGTTTCCGCGGTGCTGCGTGAGTTGTGTTTTTTGCAGCCACTAACGCGAGCGTCGTGATCACTAGAAACCATGCTACAATCAATTCATTTAACCTGTGTATCAATTCTATGTCTATAAAAACCTAAATAAAAAACCCAAAAGCAAAACCGGCTGCTTCTCACTGTTTACAAGTGGCTCAAAGTGTCGGGGAATTCGTTGACGTCGGCGCCTTCGTAGATCACCCGGTAGGTCGTCTCCAAGAGAGGGAATTCGTCCTTCAACTCAAAGTTTTCGAGGAGCTCGTGGACTTCCTTCGCGGTCAAGATCCCTTGCGACAGTTGGCCGTTCAACAATTCCTTTTCGGCGTCCCACGCCAGCACGTCGTTTTCGATCATGTGACGGGCCACCCGGACGTTACGGCCACCAGAGCAAGTGGTGATCAAGTCGGCAACACCAGCCAGTTCCGAGGTGAAGGTGGTGGGCGAGGGGGGAGTCAGGCACTCAATGCCGAACTTCTCGTAGTACCCAGCGAACTTGATGGTTTCCTTCAACCCGATTCTCATGATGGCAGCCTTGGCGTTGTCACCCCAGCCGGCACCTTCGACGAAGCCGGCAGCGATGGCGACGACGTTCTTCAACGCCCCCGCGATCGAGGCACCAACAACGTCGTCGATGACGCTGACGTGGAAGTACGGGCGGTGGAACAAGTTCTTCAACACGTACTCGTTGACGTCCTTGCCGTCGCCTCTGTAGTCAGCGGGTCTGGGGTAAGCAACGGAGGTTTCCAGCCACTTTTCTCTGGCGACTTCGTTGGCGATGTTGGCCCCGGAAAGCACCCCGCAGTGGATGCCGAGGGTGTTGGTGATCAGCGTCAGCAACAAGTTGCACCCTTCCTTGGTGACTTCGAGCCCCTTGAGGCACGAAATGGCGCGGGCAGTGGGCTTGACGTGGCCGTGCAATTGCTTGCACACGTTGGGCAAGAACTGGTGGGGGATGTTGAACACGAGGATATCGGCGTCGTGGGCAGTCTCCACGGCATCGGGCACCGCCACAAGGTTGGCGGGGAGCTTGACTCCAGGCATGTACTTGACGTTTTCGTGTTCGGTGTTGATGATGTCGGTGAGGTTTCTCCCGTCGATCTTCTCTTCGAAGACCCACATCTTGACTTCCTTATCGAACAATTGAGGTTGTTCAGCACAGTTTTCGGCGACGATCTTGGCGACGGCGGTGCCCCAGTTGCCGGAGCCGATGATGGCGACCTTGAACGGGGTGTCAATGGGATAAGGGGTGTCGGCGGTCATTATTGTTTGTGGTGGTGGTGAAATTATCGAGGGGCAGATGGAGGGGCAGGCGGGTTTATATAGGGGACTTTCGTTAACCGGCGGCACGGTAGAAGCTTATCGATGAGTAGTACTTTCGCAGCCATTATTATCAGTGTGTGACGTCATCGGGCAGCAGCCACCCAAAATTCTAGATTCGCCGCCACCGGTGACGCTAACCCACCATTATCGAGCTGATATTGGTAGTGATAGTGCCATTGGTTTATTGGTTGTATTAGATTTGCTTGAACGCCAGTAAGTGCCACTTCCTCTCACCCGATATCAGTTCGCGAACAATCGATCGCTTAATCAGACGGAAGCGCTCACTAAACACGAACAAGAAACGGACGTGCAGGGAAAAGAAAAGCCCACCACACGTCCACAAATTTAGCGTCAGATCCGAGAAAACAAAAGCAACGCCAGGGGCGGCCGAAAGGGAGTAAATCGCTCATTTCCCGAAGCTGTCTCAGACAGGCCCGTGACCACAGGGGCAACGGTGGTCACCAGTTGATAAGCCCAGCTCCCAGTAATCAATTGACCCCCTACCCACGCCCCTTAGCTAGCCACAAACACCAGCGAGAATGTCCTTTCGGAGAGGAGTCAAGCGCACCATGACGCCGCCGACATGTATTAATGCCTCAAGCATACCAGAGATCAAGTACTCGAGGGGTGGTGATAAGCTACGGGTGTCACGGTAGTAGATAGCGATGACCTGTAACCAAGCCAAATGTCGTTTTTTCGACGTACTAACCTGCTTAACTGTTTCTTTACTTCGATGGCGCTGTCGCCTACCTGAAAAAAAAAGAAAAGCGGACGATAGAAAACCGTTGTGGTATGAGCCCTGCGTCTAAAACCCAAGAAAAAAAAAAGAGGACAGCGATGGCGAGATGCGATGACGTCATCACACCTGTCTCGCAGACAATCGTACCCGCTTAGACAAACCCCCATTTTTAGTATTCACGGTAAACACAGCCTGACCGCTGGGGATCAATGGTAGTCGTCGTCGTGCCGATAGTCGTCAAACACCTCCTGCTCGTGCGGGTTCAAAATGCTCCGGGGCCCATCGGAGCCCCGCCCAGGAGGCACGTAGGGTTTCGGCTGGTAGGGCCCCGTGGCGTCCATCCAGTCGACGTCGGCGTCGAGCCACGCCTGGCGCTGTACCTGGCCCCCCAGCACCACCTGCGCCATCATCAACGGGTCGGTGATATCCGCCAACGCCCCGTCGGCAATGTGGGCTAAAGGGTCGGGAAGCTTGTTCTGGTGCTCGGGGCGTTCTTCAGGGCGCTCCATCGACTCCAATGCTGAGGGGGGAGCCACTCTCGTCACCACGGGCTCGTGCATCGGAGCATGGTAGTCAGGCAGCCTCAGCGGCGCCGACACCGGCTGCGATAGCGGCACCGTGGTGTCGTCCTGCTCGACTTTGGCCTGCTCGCCCGTAGCCGTGTCTCGTAATTGGTCACCGTCAAGCTCCACTTGCTTGTTAGCCACTCGGTGCATCAAATTCATGAACCCCAGCTGGGCAAATTTAGCCTGGAGCTCAGCGTCGCCCAGCGTCTTTTCGCCGACTGTAGTATTGATTTCCTGAGCGATTCGAGCGAACTGGTCGCGCTCAAGGTCGCGGTCGTCAGCTCCTTGTTGTTCGTGGTGTTGTTGTTGTGATTCTTCGGCGAGTTCCTGTTCGATCTCGGCGAATTTGTCGGCAAACTGCTTCTCCTGTTGTTCCAATTTGTGGTTCTGCTGGTGTTCCAGCTGGTTTTGAAACTGGGGAGCAGCGATGGGAGCATGGGAGGCCATGGGCATGCCGTGGTACATCAGCCCCATCAGCCCCATCATCGGCGCTGATCGCATCTGCTGGCCATTAGTCATTGCTGGTTGGTTCATCTGACCCATCTGACCCATCTGCGGATGGCTCTGCTGAAACTGTCGGCTCCAATCAGCCGTTTGCCCCTGTTGGGGGCCTGATTCAAGCTTCATTTTACCGAAATCTTCCACCCAAGCCGGACCAGGCTGGTGCGGCTGAACCTGGCTTCGAGGCACGCTCTGGTGAGCTATAGGGGTAGCGGTGAACCCAGGAGCATTGGTGGGCCCGGCAAACTCAGCAAACTCGCGGTTTAAGCGGGGATCGGCGACGGGGCCCTGGCGGAACTGGCGTCCCTGTCCCGGCTGCTGGCCGCGGAACTGGTTCTGGAGCAGCGTATCCCGTTGGGAGTGCTTGGCAAGGTTCTGTATCGCATTTGAAGGTCCGCACTCCATGGTGATTTATGGGGATATGGCGGGGTGGAAGTGGTTTATAGCTGGTGGTTGGATGGGCCTCGGGTCACACCCGCATTTTGCCCCACACATTCGTGGCCGTGTGCAGGAGGTGAACATGATAATGCCGAGGGTAGTCATCATTACAAATAAGAAAGGTTGTCGGGGCCTAAAACCGTTTTTCCACAATACCAGTGGAATCAGGTGGTATTTGTTTAGCGGTTACGGTAGTTTTTCTGTAGAATTCGTAGGGTCTAGTCGGCCTTCTTTCAATCACTGAATAATCGGCACGCGACCGCTTCCCCTCCTTTCACCACACTAAGCGATGCGATGCGATAACGGTGACAGAACTCTCGAAAAGTGGAGTATTTATCGGCCGAGCGGCGAAACGGGAAAACGCAATATTTTTCGTCAAAACTACCCCTACGTAGCGGCTGCCATGCCGTAGGTCCGAATTATGAAGGATCACAAGATTTAATCGTAAATTGAAACCCCCCCGTGTGCCAACCGAGGACTGAAAGGTATCCCAAGTGATTTAATTTAGATCTCCCTCGAATGAAATTGCTATTCATTTCACATTTAAAGACTAGATGTAAGTGCCATCGCTTATTGCAGAGGAACGGCTGTGCTGTTTACAGCATGTCGGCAGAAGCCCCCCGAGATATTAATCCTAACATCAACAGAATTACAATGTAAGTTTTGCAAGAGCAACACACTCAAGCTTCCTATCACAAATGAATGACCCGATACCTAATTTTCTTTTTGCAATTGTTCAAATTGTCTTATCTATTATACACTAGCCACAGAGTCAGGGTGGAGCGCGCGTGGCTCAATTAACGGACGATCGAGTCTAACCAGATCAGGACACCATGAACTTTTTCGAGGCGATAGTTAGTGGGCTCAATCTCGAAGACTACGAAGACAACTTTGAACGCCATCCCGACCCTGATCACCCGTCCAATCGGTTCCACGATGCCGATATGAATGGAGAAATCGAGTGGGAATTCCTGTATGAAGAAGCGGTTGACGAGGCCATAGAGGCTCAGCATGGGGTGGTATGGGAGAGTAAGCCCACTATCAAAAACAAAAATGACGCCAATATCATCACCCCCGTCTACGATTTTGTCACCAAGAGCTTTAAGAGCGACGAGGACGAGTGGGAGTCCAAAACTAAAGTGTTTCTCCGGGCGCTGAAACCAGTCGCCAAGTCACCCGACTACTCGCCTTCACAAGAGGCTTTCCGGTTAGTGTTAGCCCTCACTATGGTGCGAGGATTCTCGGCAAAACACTACAGCATTGATCTTCTGAAGATGGACGTATCGATGCCTGAGATTGAACCGGTGTACATCCATCACCCATCTTTGAAGGAGGCCGTACACTCTGTTGGTGACGATAAAGTGCAAGTACACCGGCTTATTCAGCCCATCCATGGATTGAAAAACGCCGAACGGCTTTGGTATAATCATTTCCGCCAAGTGTTTGTTGAGAAGTTGAAGTTCAAGGATTCCAAAACCGTTAGAGGTATTTACGTTTACGCTCCTGCAGGCGAGAGTAAGGTGATTGCCTTGGTCAGTGATGACAATATTATCTTGTGTGGTAAGGATGATGACATTGATAAGGTGGAGACCCAACTTGAAGATCATTTCTCTGTCACGAAATTGGGAGAGCTTCGTAGATTTTTTGGAGCCGATATCAGTTACAACAAAGCCTTTGGGAGAATCGAAATAGGCGCGTGGCGTCAAATTTTCTCCCTTGTCAGCAAGTACAAAATTAAAACCGATCCGAAAGTGCAAGCGCCTTTAGCTGAAGATTTCGATGCTAAATGGCAACAACAATTGTCAGCGCCGCTTTTGAAAGCCGATGAGAAAGCTCTGATTACCGCTGAGTTCAAAAAAATGATTGCAGAATTGATACCTATTCATGAATGTGGAAGATCAGATATAACTTACGCCGTGACCAAACTTGCTAGTCTCGAGGAACACGCTAATCAATTTTTGATTGATGCCGTGAAAAGATTACGAGTGTATCTTGCGAACACAGCCGATGAGGAAATCTTGCTTACACCTAATGATGAGACTCGAGACAAATTCAAAGCTTACATCAGTACTACCTTTGATGAACTTGACAAGCATAAGGCGACTATTGGGTACATTGTATTAAAACATGGCCCAATTAGTTGGCGGTCGAAACCGATAGAGGGACCTGAGCTTGACCCTATTGAAGCGGAAATCCAGGCTCAAGCAATGATCGTCGACGAATTACTACGTTTGAACGAGGTGGAACATTTTATTCGCACCGGTGAAGAATACGACCGCATGCGCCGAAAGAAGGTCGCTGATGAAATATTATCCAACGGACCTGACCTTGGGTTGACACTTGCTCAGCGGCAGTTTTCTGAAAGAGGAATGGATAGCTTGTTCTAGTCTAATATTGTCAACTGAATCACATACATTCTGATGAAAACTTTCACACAACACTGATGATCATAGGTCATTATTGAGGCCTCACTCCTGGTTCGTATCATTAAGCTAATAGTACATCTAGTGATTTGCTTCATCCAGTTCGAAAACGTTTAAATTAATCCTGCAACTAAATGCCCTCAAAAAGGCTAGATGTGTCCAGTGTTTGACGTATAGTATGTGTATTTATTAAAGTTGGTGAGTACATACAATTTGCAATCGTTTGTGAGCCTTGACGGCCAGATTCTTTGTACAAGACGGTAACTCCTTACTAGAGTTGACTATTCCAAGTCGTGATTTTTCAACAACTTGTTGAGTTCAGAGTTGGGATTTCCATACAATTCGGAGAAAGGCCCGTCTTCGACGACTTCCCCTTGCTGATTGAACACAATCACACGGTCGCTGTTGCGAATAGTCGACAACCGATGGGCAATGTTGATGATGGTGACGCCCAAGTCGCGGTTAAGCATCAACAAGTTCCGCATCACCAACTCCTCAGATATCAGATCAAGCGCCAGCGTTGCTTCGTCTAAAATAAGCATTTTTGGGTGCCGAATGAGGGTTCGCGCCAACGAGATCCGTTGCCGTTGACCACCACTAAGCTGTGTCAGGTTCAGAGGACCAATCACGGTGTCGAGACCTTGAGGCAAGTCGCGAATGAAGTTGAGCGAGTTGGAAAGACGCATGGCTTCGTCAAGCTCACCTTCGGTAGCGTCGCGCTTACCAAACGTAAGATTGTCTCTGATGGTACCCAGGAAAAGCAAAGGTTCTTGCTGGACGTAGCCCATCTGACTCCGGTAGAAGTTGAGATTCAAATCCAGGATGTCGTGGCCGTTCACCGTCACTGACCCTGAGAGAGGGTCGTAAAAGCGCATAAGTAATTGCAGCACCAGCGACTTACCACTACCGGAAGGCCCGACAAGACAAACATTTTCACCGGCGCGAATGCGTAAGTCCAAGTTGGCAAATACTTCAGAGTTGGGTCGCAGCGGGTAGGCGAACTTGACATTATTGAGGGCAATGTCCCCATACAAATCGTCAACTTTTTTGCCCAACGAAGTAGTGATCAGCGGCTTGGAGTCCTTGAGCTCAAAGATACGTTCCGCTGCACCTACCCCCTTCATAAGTTCAGTGTAGAAGTTGCCAAGGCCAAACACCAGCGACCCCGTGTATACAGCGTACATCATGAACGACGACAAGTCACCAATTGTCATCTCGCCTTGGCCGATTAACTTCGTACCAATCACCAAAAGACTGATCAAGGTGACATTACCGAGAAACCCGTTGAAACCATTATACATCCCCGAAAGTTTCCCCTCATAAATCGACAGGTTGAAGATGTTTTTGATCTCATGGTTGTAGTCATGGACCATTGCTCGTTGTTGAGAGAACAGTTGAATCGTCTTAAGCCCGTTAAGCTTCTCTTCTGTCACTTTAGTCATCGCCCCGAGGTTTTCCTGGATCGTACGCAGCAATTTCTTGATTCTCCGCCCGTAAACCGTCAGCATGATGATCAACGGAGGGAAGATCGCCAGCATGCAGAGACAAAGCTTCCACAGCACGTAGCACATCATCAGAAGCCCCACCATACCCGATATGAGCAGTCTGACCCCGTCACTGATATTACCACTCAACGTCTTAGAGATGATTTGAGCATCTGCCAGCAACCGCAGAATCAAATCACCTGTTTTCATCCCCAGCTTGGTGGGACCAACATCGAAGAAGTACAGGTCCTGGCACAATATCTTCGAGAAAAGCCGCAGCCGGAGCCGAGCCACAAGCCGTTCCCCAACCGACCGAAGCAAGTAGGTACGACCAAAGTTGGCTAATGCCCCCACGGTGAACAACGCCCCCAACGCCATGTAGAACTGGTGCGCGGGGAGTCCCAAAATCACGGTATCTTTCTCTTCAGGAGCAAATTCAGTCACCACTTTATTGCCGTCTTTATCGTCATCGTCATTGTCATCAAGAGGTTTAGCGGTATCAATGATTTTACCGATGAAGAGCGGGAGCGACATCAGCACCAGCGACGTGACAATGATACACCCAAACGCCAATGCCAAGAGCTTGTACTCGGGACGCGCCAATTTGAGCAAGCGGCGGATCTCATGCTTCACTTGGCCTCTGGAGGGGCTGGCTTGGGCAGTAGATGGCTTCGCTGCCAAACGAGGTGGCAGCAGCGAAAACCACCGGGAGCCAAGGCGGTGATGGCAAAGCTGAGTTGGGTGAGGTGACGAGCGGACCACAGTTCCCCGGTACGCTCGAAACAACGTCGACGGGAGAACCAGCCGGCCTATGCCAATCATGGGGGGAGCGGGTTTGTGCGTGTGGTTATGGTAAATGTCGAAATCAGCGGCGATATTTCGATTATATGCAGGAGCGAAGGCTAAGCTGGGGTAATTGCCGAAACGTCTTCAATATCTTTTGAGACTGCCCCTCATATTAATTTAGCAAATTGTAATATTATATAGGGAGATAAGTTTCAATTGACTCACGATGTAGCTTTGGATGAAACCAATTTATTGACAATGGTTAATCGCTTGCGCGTCTCCGATGAACACAATATCGATAACTACCGCGTGTTGCAATTGTAGTAAGAGACTGAGTCCCAAATCTTGAACTGTAGTTCTATTGATCTGAGTCCGAAGATTCAGTTTGTGCCACATTTAATCATGCAACCACCTCGTATTTACCGATGAAGAGCCGGGGAGAAGAGGCTGTATCACACGGCTTTCGAGATGCACGTAGGTCACCGTTTCAACGACCATTTGGGCAGTTATTACCAAAGTAGTCTACAACTATTAGCTTTCAAGCTAATCAATTATATTGTAAATTATATGACTATCATTGCTATAGACCTATACAAGTATCTATACATGCTGCAACCCAGACTCCGAACCTACAAAATTCCTGGGAAGAGAGACCCATCAACCCCCCTTACCAGTCCAAACACGGCCAGTGACAGTCGATGGCGTGCCATCAGTTTTCGCGCGAGGTTCAAGCATACACTTGTTGGCCGACCAGGGCTAAGCTGTCGTTGCGGATACAATTAGACGGGATGTCTTGCCTACCGCCCATGGGGGATGTGTATGAAGGTGCACTATCTCCCCCGCCTACGGGATGGTCATGGAGTGTTACTGGTTGCTGCGTGACAGAACACGAGTCAAGTCCAGCGAGCAGTCGGCTCAGCCGCCAATCCTTCGAAGTTTTTGGCAGCTGGAGGCGACACAATAATATCAGCAAATCAGCACACAGCGAGCAACAAGTAGTGGCATTAGCAGCAAGCTTTAGCATCAGCAAGCATTAGCGTCAGCAAATAGTAGCGTCAACAGCAAGTTGTAGTGTCGACAGCGAATAGTAGCGTCAATCAGTAGTGTCAGTCGGTAATGAGTACCATGTTTGTAGGTCACGGTCCCATGTAGCGGCAGACCAGAGTGGGTTTCAACTCATAGTGAATGCCGAGAAGGTGAAGATGTTGATGAAAAAAAAAAGAGCGACTAGCCCGCCTTTTATATTGTTCCGGAAGGCCATTCCTGGATATAGTGCCCCCCTTAAGTCGGGTGCGTTCTTTGTTTCTGACTTGTTCCGTCTGAAGTTGACGACGCATAGCGTTCCCCGCATTCCATTGTCGAACCAGCCAGAAAATCTTGCAATGAACAAATCAGGTAGACGACCCAAACTTCATCTAGGATAACTCATCAAGACGAACCACATTTGAGACTAATCGCACTCATTTGTCCTTAGAATATTTTGCCCGCGGACTCCACCAGTTGACGATGCAATGCACATTGGGCACGGGAAACACGCTATTGTAGTGGGTCAGGACACAGCCCAAGCCTAGTTTTAGCCGGTTTAGGTACATCCATGGCCTGAGTCTAAGCGCAATATGCGCACACCATCTCCGATTATCTCAGCAGTAGTCAGGCACAAGTCACGTTGACGACAAAGGTAGTGGCAAGGGCGGGCAACTAATACGTCTGGTCCCCAGTGTGCAGTACAGGGGCATGAAAGGGCCAGCATCCCCTGTAAATGTTCACCAGTCAGTTTCTATCTCTCAGCGAACCACTCGATCCCCCTGATAAGCTTCGAAGACTTCGGGGGCTGAGTGAGCCTTGTGCCGGCCACCGATAAGCTTCGAAGACATCGGTGGTTGGTGTAGGCGTGTCTTTGCACCATCCTGCCACTGAAAAGCTTCGAAGAAATCGGTGGTTTTGGAAGGATACAGAGCGGGTGTGTCGGCGGCCAATATACTCAGCCTCGGTGCCTCGCTCTCTGCCGCTGCGGGCCCACCAAGTGGGGGTGGTGGCAGTTCTTCTTTCACTTCTGTGTTTTGCTGACTTCCTGACCAATGACGGGTAAACTTCGAAGGAACCTTGAGGTTGGGCTGATGTTTATAGTCAATGCATAGTACAGGGTGCACAGCTTGTAGCTCACATCACATCCACTTGGATTACCTTCATTCCACTTCCAATCACCTTCAAAATATCCTAATTGTTATAGGACGGCCCACTGTTATTGATTCATTAAGGCGTCTCTTCCTAAATTCGTGCGCTGTCACATAAAGTTGGTAATCCGCACTAAAGCTATGAAGCTCACAAATGAGGTAGCGACACTAGTGTGAGGCTACCAACTGAATGAGCGCTCGAAGTAATTTGATTGGGTTATAGCCTATCCAACAGTTTAATGAGTTACAAGTACGTCGCAGAGCTATCATAGCGTAGTATCATTCATTTCGTCAATGCTGTAGCCGCGGTTGCAAAGATCATGTCAGAATCGAATGCAGTTACTAACATTCATACTAAGTTATGCTGTGTGTTGACTATTTACGATATGGAGTAACGTTTCATTACGAGGGTGATGCCAGGTACGGCCTCGGTGACCTGGTGTCGGTTGTATTCCACTAGTTGAGTGCCCGAAAGGTATACAGTAAGGTGGTGGGCACGTCTGAATGTGTGGACGTCCAAAAATGTCAAGAGCGGGTTATCTTGTAAGTTAAGCACCCGGAGTTTAGGCAAGTACTTTGTAAGGGGGTATTGCAATTGGAAGTTACCGAGCCAGCAACTTCTCAATTCTAGCGTCGTTAGCAGTGGAGGTAAGTGTTCCACCCACTCGTCCTCTATCTCACACAACGGGTTGCCATTAAGCACAAGACGACGTAATGTAGGCGGTACCCGGAGATGGCAGGCATCACTGCCTCGAAGTAAAACACCAGTCAAGTCTAGCGTATGGAGGCGAGAGAACTGAAGGAAGATGCGGAGCCACTGCTCTACGTACATGGTACCGATCTCACAGTCACGGAGCGCTAGCAGCACAAGCTTATCTCGGAAACTAGGGTTTTGCATAGCACATATGACAAACAGGAGGATCACTGTCGACACCACGGTGGGGTTCTCCATGAGCATGAGTCGAGCATCGATCACCGCCAGCCACTGAGATATGGTGTTTTCGAAATACAGCTGTGCCTCTAGCAGAGGCGGACAGGCGATCGCTTCCATCAACAATCTCATTTCTCGGACGAACTCAACGTACCCGGGGCCGGTTCGGACTATTCTCACTTCAAGCAGTTGCGGCACCAGGTGGCGGTAATGAGGGCTGCTTTTGATCAAGTCGAAGAACTCAGTTAAGCTAAGCACGAGTTTGTGATGGCCTCGATGCTGACTTCGTTGGTTGGTGATGAGCTGGGGGCCACGGTAGACTCGAGCCTCGGCCACTGCTTTTGCCTGAGGATTGAGGCCAGGAGTCTGGGCTATATCGATGCACTCGTCAACAGACATGTTCTCAAACACTTTGAATATGACCTCGTTGGGGAGATCATGGAGGGCAACGCTCATCGATGAGGACGATGGAGGAGGGATTCTGTGGTCAAATATAGATAAGGTGGCCTGGTGACGTCACCGCGCTCGTCGATGAAGGGTTCTGGGGAAACTGGTGGCTTAGAGATAACCGCTGGAAGGTAAAAGGGGTCACCGCTATACTGTGGTCTTGAGAAACACCGACAAGAATACCTTGTAAACCTTGTAATAACTGAGATCAGGTGCAGTAACCAGTAACGTTGCGGCGGCTGTTCGAGGGGCATAATCGAGCATGATGGCAGGTATGGAAGCCTGGCTGTGTGCAGTCCGTGACCTTGGTGGTGCTAACGCCGAAGATAATCAAACACCTATGAAGGGAGCTTTTTGTACAAAACATAGTAAGTGGTAGTTTTTAGGCACTAGAACAGTATGGTGTCATTATCTGGAAAATTCTGGTTGGATGTATTACCGGAACCACTTCCGACGCCGGGAGTGTCGCCACCTTCGGCACTGCCGCGCGCGATTTCTGAGCAGTTCTCTCAAGTGTATTGAGAGCAGCGCCCTACTTCGCCATGTCCAACTGTGCCTACAAGCGGACACTGATCATCGGTCGGGGCAAGTTTGGGATAGTCTACAAGGGCTACCACAAACAGACCAAGCAGAATGTCGCGATCAAGGTGCTCAATTTGGACACGGAGGAGGATGAGATCATGGACGTCCAACAGGAAATCCAATTCTTGCTGGAGTTGAAGAACGTCCCCAACGTCACCCGCTACTATGGACTGTTCTTAAACGATACTAAGTTGTGGATCATCATGGACTACTGCGCCGGAGGCTCGGTACGCACCCTTTTGAAGCCAGGGGTATTTGAAGAGAAATACGTTGGTGTCCTTTTGCGAGAGGTTCTCTACGGTTTACTGGCAGTACACAAGCTTGGCGTGATCCATCGTGACATTAAGGCCGCCAATATCTTGATTTCCAAAGAAGGGCACGTCCAGTTATGTGATTTTGGCGTGGCGGCGAAAACACTGAATCTGGCCAAGAGAACGACAATGGCGGGCACTCCGTTTTGGATGGCACCGGAAGTAATCCGTGAAGGCGACTCATATGACTCTAAAGCTGATATCTGGTCGTTGGGGATTACCATCTACGAAATTGCTCTGGGTAATCCACCTTATTGCGATAAAGACGCCATGTGGGCAATGCAGATGATTCTGAAACTGCAGCCACCGAGACTTGAAGGCCGTGAGTACAGCGCCGTGCTCAAAGAGTGCATTGCCCTTTGTCTAGACGAGCTGCCTGACGAACGTCCTCTGGCGGACGATTTGCTTAAATGCCGGCTTGTGCGCCAATATAAGAACACTCCCCGCACCATATTAAGGGAAGTGATCAGTCGGTATTTGCTTTGGCGTGATCGGACGCAAAGAGAGCTGGTTTACGACGACGCTCAGCTGATCGTGCTGGAGCTCCCCCGCAACGATAGTGACTTTCAAGTGAAGTGGGACTTCGACTCGTTGCTGAGTCGCGAATACATTATAGAAAACGACATTGAGCCCGCTGCTGAAGACCCCCACTCGGATGCATTTGGTGTTTATACTGCCTACCATCAGGCGCACCCGGCAGCTGACGATACTTACCAGCTGATGCCGACAATCGGGGCACTGATGACTCTGGGAGGACTCCATCTGAGCACTCGCTACGCCAATTCCACACTAAAAGCACCAAGTCAACCTGGGGACGACCTGGAAGTACCTAAACTGTTGGCTAAGTTATTTGCCGAAGAGCTCGAGGAAAGCCACGCCAGCAAATCTGGCTACGAACCACCAGCAGCACCGCATAGCTTCAATCATGAACGCACGGAGCTGCCCATCATTGAGATCCCCGATATGGAGGCGCTTAGTCTCGAGACACCCACACCACTGCTGACGGCACTGGCAGCACCGGATAAGTTCCCCACCACGGCGAAACCGCCGCAATTGCTCCACAGTCAGCTGGCTCTGGCTCAGCTTGAGCTGAGGTTTCAACAGCAGGCGCCACGAGCCCGCAAGAAGACCATCTCCAACTCGTTGGGACTGAACCTGGCCATCCAAATACAACTGCACACGCCTCCTTATGCGGGACCACAACTAAAGACACCGCTGCCTAAACCTCCAGGGACAATGGCAGCAGCAATGGCACTGGCACTGGCGAATGCGCTGCCGCTGAAGATGAAGCCATTAGTGGTCGGGGGAGCTAACCCATTATTACAACCGATCAACTTTAAAAGTGAGAGCCAATCTACACTGCCACAGCCGCTGATTACGCTGCTGACGCTGCTGACACCGGCAACACTGGTGGCGCTGTCTAAGGGTCCAGCAAAGCGGAAACCGGGATTCCACTTACAGATGCCGACACCAACGGCACCGAACCCGCTCTCGCTGCTCACGGGCCCTCAGGACGACGACAACGTCAACCAGTTTGGTATCAACCCGGCGCAGGCAGCCGCGATCCCCATGGTGATGACGCCAGTGGCGGAGACCAAAGATGAGAGTAGCAGTGGCAGCGCAAGCTTCCAGGCGCCACCTACTCTACCGGCAGCAGTGCCACCTCCCACTACACGTAAGCGACTGATGACGGCGATCGACACCTCGCAGGCACCCCCAATGATCCCGCCGCTGGTGCCACGCCAGAACCCGGTGGGGATGACGCTGCCGATGGGGGTGCTGCTGCTGCTGCACCCATCAAGCAAGTTCCCCCCCATCCCGCCGATGCCAGCGGAGATATTTGTCGATCTGACGCCGCGGCTGAAGCTTGCGGGCGAGGTGGAGAGCATGATCCGGCTCCTCACCCAGGGGTTGGAGGCGTTGGAGGATCAACTAGCATAGGGGAATACGGAAGGGCAATTGCTCCCCGATCCCGGATATAGTGACGAAATACATAACGAGAGAGTACCACGGGGTTGGTCTTTAACAAAAAAAACTGGGCTAATCTAGATGAGTTAGGCGATGGTGAATTGCGACTGGTTTGGAGGCTCCATTGTTAGCTACATGGTGCGGGCGTTATCGTGCGACTACGATACAACCGAGGTCAAAGTGGGGATGGTAAATATCGAGGAAACTTGGCTTGAAAATTTCGAGTTTTGCCATTGGCACTATAAGAAAGAAATAGCGATACTTTCATTGGTGTGCTAGTCATTTTCATCGTTATAATTGGGGGTAGTTTGCTTGTCCCTAGTAAACTATCGCACGTACGCCCCGCAAAATTTTGTTATGCGGGCACTGATGTGTTAGGTCGATCGGGGATGGCAGCTTATACCGAGGCCTGGCAGGGTCAACTTTGAACCAATGGATTAATAAACCAACTACACTTGCTTATACTAGTATCAGCCATGTTTAAAGCAATCTACGGCTGTATTTACCCCGGAATCGCCCCTAATATTTTGGCGTGTTCTTCGCGTCAGTGGAACCAACGTGGATCGGGAACACGAGCTTAAGTGCATATACCTGATAATGCCGATATGAGCCCTAAGCCCTGGTTTGCTGACAACCAAAGGGTATAAATAACACTAAAGAAAACCTAACTTTAAAACCAATCACCATGAAGCTGATGTTGGTTGTGTTTTGGATGATAGCGGCGGCCATGGCGGCATTAGTCGGCCCGCTCCCGCCTACCGAAGACCCGTTCTACCAACTCCCACCAGGGTTCGAACAGGCCAAGCCCGGTGATATCTTGAAGTCAAGACCGACGCCTGCCCCCATCCGATCGGTACTTCTCCCGGCCAAAGTGAAATCGGCCACTCAGTACCTTGTGCGCTCTACTGACCAGCACGGTAACCCTACTGCCTTTGTCACCACGTTGATCAAGCCGTTTAATGGCGATCTGAGCAAATTGGTATCGTTTCAAACCGCTACCGACTCGTCCGACCCTAATTGTGCTCCCTCCTACTCAATCTTAGCTGGAGCGGATATTACCACCATTGAAACTCAAGTAGAGTTTCTCCAGGTGCAATTGTTGCTTGACAAAGGCTACAACGTCGTGTGGCCCGATTTCCAAGGCCCCACCTCTGCTTACATTATGGCTAAGATGGGGGCTTACGCCACGTTGGATTCGATTCGGGCCGTGTTAAACCAAACTCTGGGCAGTGGTATTGATGCTGACGCTCGTACCGTGTTGTGGGGTTACTCTGGTGGCTCTCAACCCTCATCGTGGGCTCTGGCTCTCCTTGAGGAGTACGCGCCAGATTTGAAAGATATCGTTGTCGGTGCCACTTTTGGTGGTACCGTAGCTGACATCAAGGCCGTCGCTAAGAAGATTGACGGTACCGTGTACGCTGGGTTCCTCGTACAAGCGGTGGCAGGTATTATAAAGACCTACCCTGAAGTGTCCGACTTGTTTAACCAGGAACTTTCCACGCAAAAAGTAACGTTTTTGGACCAGGCGTATAACCTCTGTATGATTCCTACCTTGGTTGTCTACGGGTTGCAACGGGTATTCTCGGCTCCCTTCCAGTGGGCTAAAGACGGCTGGGCCGTGTTTGACAACCCTCTCGTCAAGACCGCTGTCGATGAGAATACGTTGGCTAACCTGGTCAACCCTCAAATACCCCAGATCCCCATCTTCATGTACCACGGGACCAACGACGACGTCATTCCGTTTGCGGAAAACTCCGAACGGATTTATAACCTGTGGTGTCCTCAAGGAGCTAACATCGACTTTGCCGTCGACCTCACGGGGATCCACGTCACTACCGCCGTCACCTCGTTGCCTGCTGCCTACAAATTCATTGACGATCGTCTCCACAACCGTCCTTTCCAAACCGGATGTCGTCGCCGGGACTGGCTTTCTAACGCCCTTATCCCCGGCACCGACCCCACGATTATTCCCTTAGTGGTGTCGACATTGTCTCTGTGGCTTGGTGTCCCCATCGGGCCACTTTTGGATAACCCCGGCCTGGCGGACCTGCAAACAATCATCCAGAAGTTGGGCGGGCTTGCGGGTGCTCCCAATCCCACCAGCGTCCCCGGGTTCTCGCCTCCCGCCACCGCTTAACTTATTACTCCCATCTTGTTTATGTAATTTAAAATCCATAAACAGCACCGGATAAACGTAGCACCCCGGAGAGCCGCAACCGTTCTTAAGAGTGTCTTTATTCACGTGCCTATACCTGCCGGGGCTTAGCGCGACTGACACCTTCGTGCCGCGCACAACTTGCTCGTTATCGCCTTACATGGGCTAGACCATAACCCGCCACCGAGTGTTCGTTTCTCTCGCTCACAGCCATGGGACGACCTCGGACAGGTGGCTGCAACCTGTGTCGACGTCTTAAGATCGGAGTAAGTTAGTACCGACCCTCTTCTGACCATTTGGAGGATTACTAACCCAGTTTCCAGTGCAGTAAAGACAAACCCAAGTGTGAGTATTGCACGGCTCAGGGCAAAGAGTGTGTTTATGAAGACACCCCGGCCCCTGCTACCAATCGCAAGGTAAAGAAACCTCCCCGCAAGCCCCGGGCACGGGCCAAAGGCCGGTCAGTGATCAAATTGACGTCGCCTCCGCAACATGAACCCCAGACGCCCCCAGACGACGACGTCGAGCTGATCAACTTTGATAACATTCCCACCGTATTGGAAGACGCCCTGTGGTTGAGCCAAATGGTACCGCTACTGCCGCTAGCCTCAACTAAAGGTGATGTCAACGATAACGTGAGACGGTTGCTCTTAGTGGAGGAAGCGTTGGTGTCGCTAGACCAACTCTCTCCCCGCGCACCCGACGTCGTGCACTCCCCCTTAAACAACTTCATGTTGAGTTTGAACAGTGTCCAGCGCCACCTAGACGTGTCGCTGTTGGAAGTCCGCTTACTCCATTTCTTTAATGTGTGGAGTCAAAAGACGCTTTTCCAAAGTCGAGATAAGATTCAGGTGGAGCTTTGGACGAGAATATTACCGCTGTTGTTCAATTCGAGGGAGCTTGTGCGGAAAGCAGTGTGTGCGTTTCTGGCGATTGCCCTCTTAGCGCAACTGCATCCGGGGTTTTTGCTTGATGACCACTACGCCGCTTCCGACTCGGCGAAGAAATTATTCCAATTCGGGATGGATAGCTTTGGGAAACTTGTCGAGTACATTTTGCTCGGGTTGGCTCGGATTAATCTGGATGAAGAAGTGTCGATTGAGGAATTGCAGGCACTATTTTTAGGGCAGACGATGATGTTCGCCACCCTCGCGTGTCTGCTGCGAAAACTGCTACCAGCAGTCGACTTCGAGACTCGCAACGACGTGCTTTCAATCGCTCGGGGTTTACTGGCGACGCTACATCGGTGCAGCAGTAAGATGTGTCATGGTGTGTTAGGGGATATCGTCGACATTGTCAAAGCCACCGAGATCCTGGCCAATACCCCATTGCCTCTGGAGCTTGGCGAGGAGTCGCCGTTGATGTCGGTACCTCTTTCTCTGCCCACTTCGCTGCCCCTTACCGCCAGCGCCGCCACCCCTACCGAGTACCCCATCAGTGAGCACGTGATGCGAGAGCTCGAGAAGGCGGGCTACGACGATGCCACCACCGCTACCCTTCGCCAGGCACTACGAGTGTTCAATTTCTGTATTCGTCAGAGCATCGAGTACACGTCGCCGGTGCCGTTTTGCCGATTCCTCGCCCTCTGCGATGATAGTCTCCGCGAGCTCATATACGCCAAGCAGCCGCTTGCCCTCGCGTTCATGGCCATCGTCAGTGCCATCTACTTGATGACCCGCAACTGGTTCCATCGCAAACTCAACATCTGGGTCGACTACCTCGAGTGGTACCGGTGGTACCAGCCGGTGCCCTACCCGTGGGAGATCGCGATGTACCGTGTTGTCCTCGACTATGAGTACACCATCGAGGACTACGACGACTGCATCACTTTCGACTTCAACAAGAAGTACGACGAGATATTCGGCACTTCCCATAGCTAACGTTTTATATTTCACATCCTGTATATATATATATTTACATTCACCAGATTTAACCGCATCTAGCGGTGAATCGTTTCTAGCGCTGGCGTTTTATTCGTGCCCGCTTAGCCGGTGGCAGCTTTATCAGCTCAGTTTCGTCAACAACCGCTGTGGTTTTTGCCAGCAGTTTGGAGTGGTCGATATCGGCCAATTGGTCGTCTACCGCCAGTGTCGGGGTCTCGTGGATCACCGGTGGTGCCGCCGCCTCCATCGCCGCCACGGCCTCAGCCTGCTGGGCTGCCTGGGCGAGCTGGGCCGCGTGGACGGCGGCTTCAGCCATCGATACCGGGTTGGTTGCCACGACGGAGATACCGCCGTTTCCGGGATTCATCTCTTCAGCACAGTCGTGGCAGTGGTCAATAAACGTTTTCGAGTTGGGGAACATCTTTTTGCACTGGCGACACCACCCAGAATCTTTAGTTTTAGCGTCTTCTCCCGGCATCAAGTGCTTAACGTCTTTGACGTAATGAACGAGCCGTAAATGTCGTTTGAGCACGTCTAGACGAGTAAACATGCCTCCGTTGCGATGGCAGGGCATCTCCATATCGTAGTAAGGGCACTTGAATTTGGGAGTGCCGTGGCAGCGCAAATGGCGGCTCAAATCCAGTTGTCTCAGAAACGCCCATTGACAATCGGGGTAAGTACACGCGTAGGGGCGACTGGTGGGGTCGTACTGGTCCGTCTCCACCGAGAACTTGTGTTGGTTGTTGCTTTGAGCGGGTACTGGTGCTGGCTTAGCGTCCCGTTCCGCTGAGGGACGGGCCACAAGCGCCACGGGGACATGCGGTCCCGCAATGGTACCAGCGGCAGTATCGGCTTTACCCGCTGGTGGCAGCGGGTGGAAAGTCAGCGGAGTATACAGAAACTGGGTCGCCACTCCACCAGCATAGGGTGTGGCCTTGGTGGACTTCGATCCCAGTTTACTCTCGATACCTGGGGCCATTGTGTGAAAAGGCGTGCGGCGTTGGTTGCGGCTCAGAAAAAACGTCGGGCGTCGCTAACCACCGGGTTGTGCGATGTCTGTCTTTTTTTGTTTTTCCCTCAGTCCTCAGTCAACGGAGAGCGAGGAGAGATTTAGGAGAGAGGCAATTTGTCGAGGTGACGTCAGTGCGCGGGAAAACTTCACAAAATCGATTACGTAAATTAAGGCTAAGGGAATTAGGTCCTGTACCCGTGCGCTTTTTAAAGTGGTTACTAATTTCATTCAAATAGCAAGCCAAGGATTGGATAAAAGCCCCGGCTCACCCACGGCTGCTGTCAATCATTCAATCCACTATGAGTGCTGTAAGTGACCTCATCGACAATATGAATTGGTTATAGTGGCCATTGATCAATTGACTCCCAATTGCTATTTCCAAATTACGGCTGGACGGACTTTGGGAAGGGAATCATCACTCAATTGATTAGAAAATCTGAACAATAACTAACATTTAGGTCCAAAAGAATATTCTCAAGTTTGCTGGCGACGACGGGTCGTACAAGCGGTTGGCGCTGAGCTTCCGTGACACCATCGAAAAGGGCGGCCGTTTCACCCCTGAAGCGGGCCGTTACCACTTGTACGTGTCCTACGCGTGTCCTTGGGCCCACAGAACTTTAATCACTCGGGTGCTTAAGGGTTTGACCGGGATCATCGGCTTGTCCGTCGTCCACTGGCACATGGACGGTAAGGGGTGGAGATTTGCCACTCCCGAAGAGCTTTCGGAAAACAAAGGTGATTTCTTCGGTACTCAGGACCACTTGTACAACTTAGACCGTATTCGGGAACTCTACTTTAAGGCTGATCCCAACTATGGCGGTCGTTTCACTGTCCCTGTGCTTTGGGATAAGAAGGAAGAGACCATCGTCAACAACGAGTCGCTGGAAATCATCCGTATTTTCAATACCGCTTTCAACGACTTGATCGACGACAAGTACAAGAAGATCGACTTGTACCCCACGGACTTGCAAAAGGAGATTGACGAGCTCAACGGCTGGATCTACGACAACATCAACAACGGGGTGTACAAGGCCGGGTTCTCCACTTCTCAAGAGGTGTATGACAAGGAGTGTGCCAACGTGTTTAAACACTTGGACCGGGTTGAAGCCATCTTCAACGAGCGCCACGCCAACGGGCAAAAGTACCTCACCGGTAACACTCTCACTGAAGCCGACGTGCGGTTGTTCACCACCATCATCCGGTTCGACCCCGTCTACGTGCAACACTTCAAGTGCAACATCGGGATGATCCGCTACCAGTACCCCCACATCCACCAGTGGGTGCGCGAGTTGTACTGGGGCAACCCGGCGTTCAACGAGACCACCCACTTTGACCACATCAAGTTACACTACACCAAGTCGCACCCGGCGATCAACCCCCACGGGATCACCCCCTTGGGTCCGGTGCCTAACATCTTGAAGCTTGACGACGCTTAGTTAGTAACGAGTAATGAACGGATTAATGAGATCTTCCAAGAGTAGTATTTTTAGTGGTCTATTGTTAGAGTCAGGTGGTCATCGGATCGCAGACCTGCTCTCGGTTATACTTGATCATGATTTCAATACGAGCTACCATGAGAATTGAAGGCGAGGATATCTTCTCAGCTCAATTCTTAACTGCAGAGTAACCTCCTCCTTTAAAATCATAGTCTTTTGGCTACTTCAATGAATGAGCTCTAAATAAAGCTACTCTGTATCCTTGAAATAGCTGTCCATATAGCCATTTGTTAACCGCCATGAGTGCAAGGAGCACATCGTATTCATTCATCAATATAGAGGTCACCACAACTACCGTTCTAATTGATTCTCTTATCAGTTGGCCACAGACGCGTGGGGGTATTTCTTTTTACTTGTGGTAGACGCGTCCTTATTTCACGTTTCAGTAGACGTGGCGCGACCAGCGGAATAAAGCCTCCCCACAACAGATTTGCGCGGTGTGGGTTCCGTGCATTGACGAGATCGCACCAGCTAAACCTAAAAAAACCCATCAATGCCATCGTCCACATCTCGGAATTGATGCCATGACAACGACACTCTAGTAATCAACGTAAACAAACACGACTTAGAGTTCACCGCCACCCCCAAAACTTTTTTTTTAAAAAACACGCTCGACATTACAATGCAAAAGCTGATGCTGACTCGGCACGACATCGATCATGAAACGTGATTATTTTTGTTGTCAACAATTATGACAGAAGTGAAACAGCATTCAGTGTCTTTAAGTCCAGCGTAAACAAGATATGGCTTCTGGTGTCGACATCTACACGATTTTCAGCTCACATGGGGGCGAACGGAAAAAATTTGACGACAACCACCACCACCGATGAGAGGTAAGTGACATTAAATTGTGGTCCCGGCGAGCCGTTGAGATTTCTGCCAAGGACACTACACTACAGGGAACTAACAATAAAAGACTATAAGGTTGTTGTTTTGGGTGCCGGGGGTGTGGGCAAATCACTGGTGACGGTCCAGTTCGTGCAAGGCGTGTACGTCGAGCTGTACGACCCCACCATCGAGGACCTGTACCGCAAGCAGATCGAGATCGACGGCCGGGCGTGTGACCTTGAGATCTTAGACACCGCCGGCGTCGCCCAGTTCACCGCCATGCGCGAGTTGTACATCAAGTCGGGCAAGGGGTTCTTGTTGGTGTACCTGGTCGACGACGAAAACTCGTTGAAGGAATTATTAGCATTGAGAGAACAAGTGTTACGGATCAAGGACCTGGACAACGTCCCCATGGTCCTCATCGGCAACAAGTGTGACTTGGAGGAGGAAAGAGTGTTACTGATCGAGGACGGGATCAAGGTGCTGAAGGAGTGGGGGATGGTGCCGTTCTACGAGACGCTGGCGATGTACAAGACCAACGTCGACGAAGCGTTTATCGATGTTGTCCGCCAGATCATGCGCATGGAGGCCCAGGTGCTGGCGGAGAAGAAGAAGGAGAAGGCGGCGAAGCAGCAAGTGGCCGGCGACGCCGGCGCTGCCACCCAGCCGCCGCTGCTGCGGGCGGTAACCGATGCTGGCACCGTACCCCCGACGAAACAAACGAGTAGCGCCGCTCCCGCCCGCCAACTCCAGCTGCAGAAGGCGAAGCCGGACACGGGCAAGCTGAAGTGTTGCGTCATCGTTTAGCGGTCTCTGGCAGTCCCCTGATACTATTAGGGAAAGAGGGTGGGGTGGAACCCCGGGGCTCCCGCCACCTTTTTTCCCGCGAGCATATTTCGGTATTCCTTCCCCTTAATATATGTAATGAGCATCTCGGACAATTTTGTGGTGGCCCCATTTCCCGAAGTTGCCGCTCCTCCACATAAAGCGTTGCGACCCTCGCCACCACCCCTAAATCCTCCCTCTTTAAGCGAACTTTCTGACCTCAACAATTTAATGGCCCCACCACCAATCCTCACCAAGCGAGATGGGGCCGGGGTTGCCGGCTACGTCATCATCCCCGTCGCCGCGTTGTGTGTGTTGATCTTCATCCTCGTCCACTTTATCCACTCTCGTCGCCGCCGTCAACAGCAAGGCCATGACCACAACCACGATAACTCCCACCGCCACGTCCAGCCGCTCCCCATGAGCTTGCTACACATGCACGGGCCTGGCCACCACCACCGTAACCAGGAAACTGGTCCAGATGAACAGGGACAGGTCTATTTCGGCACTGAGCCCGCCCAGGACCCGGTGCCATTGTACACCAAGTACCCCACGGAACCACCGCCGGTGTATGACCCTAAGCAACCGACAGTGGTCCGCACCACTGATGTTAGGGATTCCAGTGCTAATCACACTAATGGCGAGACTGGTGAAACCAGGGAGGTAATCGACGATACCCCAGCACCCCACTATCCTCCCCGGCTGCCACCACCTCCCATTGACGACTCACGCCAGCACTCATAGTGTGTGCACACCCCCATGATGTTTTAATGATTTCTACTAATGGCATATACCTCTTTCAGTGATGACGGCTACGAATACTCTTTACTTGTTAACTTGGAGCCGGTTGTGGCGAATTTCAGCGTCATCTTTCCCCCTGGAGGGCTATCGGCCGTGTTTGTGCTCAAAAACCAACTTTATTAATGACAGATTTTGTGCATCGTCCTACGCACACTGCCGACAATCATTGATGCAGTAACTCGGCTAACGGTTTTGTGGCTCTTGGTTGCTAGCGCTCGTGCGAAAACAACTTATAATCTATCTCTACGGGCTAAGTCGTGATCACATTTTATTCGTAATAAAGTTACAATATACTTCTTTTTGGAAACTATTATTTAGTTTAGACACCTGGACTTTAAGTGTTCATGTAGGTCAGAGGGTCGACACCTTCGGCGGGGAAGTCGGTGATCTTGACGTCGAATCTCTCTTGGATCTTCTTCAACACTTCCTTGTCTTCATCCAGCGACACAAACGAGATCGCCAACCCCTTGGTACCGAATCTACCGGCTCTACCGACACGGTGCAAGTACTGGTCGGCTTCAGGGGGCATGTCGTAGTTGATGGCCAAGTTGATCCGTTCGATATCGATACCACGACCAAAGACGTCGGTGGCAACACAGATCCGCTTGTTGAATTCCTTGAACGAACGGTATCTTTCGATACGTTCCTTTTGAGGCAAACCACCGTGGACGGCGATCGAGGGGAAGTTGCATTGGCACAACAAAGTGTTCAACGACTCAGCCCGGCGAGTCGACTTGACGAAAATGATCACCTGGTTGAATTCCAACGAGTCCAACAAGTCCAGCAACTTGCGGTTCTTGTCCTGTTCTTCCAACTCGATGTAGTATTGTTGCAAACCGTGCAAGGTCAATTTGGCTTCGTCGTCGACGTAGATTTCCAACGGGTTTTGCATGAACTTCTTGCACACGGGACGGATGTCTTGCGACAAGGTGGCCGAGAACATCATCACCTGCTTTTGGTGAGGGGTGGCTCTGAAGATTTCCTGGACGTCACGGCGCATGTCCAACAGTTCCAACACCTTGTCACATTCATCGATGACAAACAGCTTGACGTTGTTGAGTCTCAACGCCTTTTCCTTCACCAACAGCAACAACCGGCCCGGGGTACCGACGACGATGTGGGGGCAAGTTTCCTTATCCTTCAAAAGAGCGATGTCCTTCTTTTCCGAGGTACCACCGTAGAACACCTCCGTCTTCACCAGGGGCATGTACTTGGCGAAACGGGCGTATTCGTTCTTGATTTGGTAGGCCAATTCACGGGTGTGGCAGATAATGATCGTCAGCACTTCACCGGGGACAGGGTCCAATTGTTGCAACGTCAGCAACACGAACACGGCGGTCTTACCCAAACCGGACTTGGCTTGACAGAGGACATCGGTGCCCAAGATCGATTGAGGAATACACACTTGTTGCACTTCCGAAGGGTGTTCAAACCCACAGTCACCGATGGCACGCAACAATTCAGGCTTCAACAAAAAGTCACGAAACCCGGTGGCGTGGATACCGACGTACGACCCTTTTTTATCGCCGTCGCCGTCTTCCTTGGCGCCGTCAGCGGCGGCGGAGTCGCCGGCGGGAGCCTGGTCGTTGGTGACAACGGCAACTTCCTCCGAGTCGGAGTAATCAAGCAATTCTTCTTGACCTTCGGCGGCGGACATCTGGTGTATTAGTGTCGGTTGGTTGGTGAAGTGGATGGGTCGACGAAGTGGAAATTTTCATTGCGCGCGGGAGTGCAGGTAGTGCCCACGCGTGCGGCTCGCCCCGCGCGGACGTGTTTTCCATTGAGTTCTACTAATACCAGTGACCTATACTAATTCATGAAGTCGTGTATCAGTCTATCAAAGTGTCAGTTTTTCGAAGTGTCATTGTTTCAAAGTTTAACGTGGCGCTGGAGCATGCGGAGTTGGATCAAAAGCTGTACCGCTCCAAGGAACACGTTGGTAAGCGTAAAGCAAAATCCTAGGCCAATGTTAAAGTCGGCAATGGCTAATTTGGTGAATAACTTGCGGAGCTTGACGTACAGGTACATGTCGCCGAGGAACGTGGGTAACTCCATCAAAAAGTAACCCAACGTAAGCACCACTAACAGTTTAGTCACAAGGTTCATGTGCCGCTGAAACCATTGGAAGTAGTTTAATTCACTCGAGTACAGCATGAGCAAGTGGCCACAGACGACGGTGACGATGATCGACACCCAGAGCCCGATCAGCACCACCACCATCGAGAACTCACTGAAGTAGCGAGCGTTGCGTAATGACCTCACGTCTTTGTAGCTCTTCATATTGTACTCGCCGGCCTTGTTGTCGTCCTGCAACAACTTATCGTACCGGTCGTTGAGATTGTCCACCATGCGTTGGTAGATTCTTACCATTCGTTTAGATGCCGTTTCCGGGTCTTCGTTATTAGCATGAACAGCGAACTGGATGCCAAGATCTCTCACCACCAGTGAGAATACATCCATCCCGGGGGCACTTTCACACGATTTCGAGAATCGTTCGTGGTCGTAGCGACAAAAGCCGTGGAAGTTAAACCAAAAGCTCAGTCGCGGCGAGAAGGTATCGGTCACCTCGGAATGGTTGGTGCCCGATAACCAATGAGTGGCTGTACTCATCATATCCATGATCCAACTAAGGTCGCGTGGGGCGTTATCCAACCCCCCTAAATGCGTATGCTCTTCTTCTTCTTCCTCTCCTTCTTCTTCAGATTGTTCTTCAGATTGTTCTTCCGGTTGCGGCTCTTCTGGTATGGGCTCCTCGGGTATCGGTTCGGGGGTTGGTTCGTCACTGGGGGCAGGACCCAGGTGAAGGTAGTTGTCGAGCATGCTTGCCAACCGGTCGCCCATCGACTCCTCGGCACTGGTGACTGATTTCGAAAAATACAGCAACACTTCCAATCCCGATTGGATGCTATGTAACGTCTTTCTCCCTGATTCATTGATGACCTGGATCCGTAAAGTGTACTGAGGATAACATGAAGCCAACAGATCCCCCGTACACGAAAACAGACCCAGCATGTTAATCACGAGCATCAAGAGCCAAAGGATAAAAGAAACCGTCAATTTACGGTATAACAGTACGTCGTACCGCTGGCTCTGAAGTTTAACTTCATGCATCCTTTCACTGTGAAGTTTGCCGTCATTTTCACGGGCCATCACTCGTGAGCGCAACGCCAGCGACAGCTCGAGCGCTGCCTCGTCCTTCTCGGGTACCGGGGGCGGGATATCGGCGAGTTCAAACGACTCCGCCATGGTTGATGAAGTATTATTCGGGGTATGTTCGACAAGATATAGAGCTTTCCCCACTAGGAATCGGTATCCCTAAACGTGCGTCGGGACGGGCGTCATCCGTTTTCCGCGCAGCCGCCACAATAACCAAATCAGCTCTAAACGGTTTTGTGTCATCGGCGAACAATCGCCTTCTTAGCCGCTTTGAGCAATAACAATAATGTCGATGTAGGCATCGACTCATCACCGTTACGGTGGTCGAAGTGGCACGATGTCGCATTTTTGATTTTATTTTCCAGTCAAAAGGCTTGGTCAAAGTTCCACCAAAGCCTCATTGTTGACTAAGCCTCGCTGGTTCGCAGTGAGCAAAATTACCTCCACATCCACCGAAGGCTGTTAAATATAGGGGTGGTTCGATTCCTATCATCGGTGCGGCTCAAAATTGCTGACGTCCTCCCCTCCACTGATAGGGGCCATCGCGCGCGCGCTATCTCATCGCTTACCGCTCACCCTATATCACACCTTCACCATGGTTCGGAAGCTCAAACATCATGAACAGAAGCTTCTTAAGAAGGTTGACTTCCTCAACTGGAAGCAGGATAACGGTCACCGCGATGTCAACGTCATGAGAACGTACCACATCCAAAACCGTGAGGATTACCACAAATATAACCGGATTTGCGGGGAGATCCGCAACTTGGCCAACAAGCTTCTGATGCTATCACCAACCGACCCTTTCAGAATAAAACACGAACAGTTATTGCTTGAAAAATTGTATGCGATGGGGGTGTTGCAACTGAAGCTGAAGATCTCTGACCTTGAAAACAAAGTGACGGTGCTGGCATTCTGTAAGCGTCGGATTCCCGTGGTGATGGTTCGGCTAAAGATGGCAGAATCGGTACAAGATGCCACTACGTTCATTGAAGGGGGCAATGTTCGTGTGGGTCCCAACGTCATCACTGACCCGGCGTACTTGGTGACGCGGAACCTTGAGGACTACTTGACTTGGGTTGACCGGAGTAAGATCAAGCGCAACTTGCTCAAATACAAGAATAAGATTGATGACTATGACTTGGCGTGATGAAAACGTATTAATATATTATAAATTTAGGGTTTAGTGTAGTGTATGCGAGAACCGCAGATGAAACCAGTAGTGGAACGACTCTTGAAACATTGCCGAGATAAACAAAGTTAGGTGGCGGTGTAGCAATATCTAGAGATGCCAGATACTTATAGCTTTTGTCGATTTCGAGAATTTATGGTTAGTGGGGGAGAAGATGGGGTTACCTACTTTTACAATCACCAGCATCAGATAGTGAAGAAAATCACAATTGATAGCCAAAGAGGTATTCAGGCTATTGCCAGTAGTGATGATGAAATGGCATTCATTTGTTTTGGCACTGTCCGAGTATTTCGCTTCGATAAAGACTTGAATCTGGTTCCAATTTGGCACAGCGATAAAGGGTATCTTGGCAGATCAATTGCTTTCACTGCTGATTCCACGTTGGCGGTGGGAACGGCGTTTGGGGTTGACTTTTATGATCGAGACTACAGCCTAGATCAGCACATTCCCCTCGGGCTGATGGTGATGACAATCGATATCGCGGCTGACCTGTGCGCGGCGGGGTTGGAGAATGGTGTCGTATACGTGATCAGCGTGTCACTGAAGCAGCCACTGTTGATTTTGAAAGGCAGTAAGGAGAGTACTGACAAGTACCAAAGTCAACCGCAATGCCGGTGGGTAAAATATTACCTGACAAAACTTTTAGTGGCAATTGATCATGGTTTAGCCGGTCGGATTTTAACTTACGACACCACCGGCGCCAGTTGGAGTACGGCGTTTGAGTGCGACCTGTGGATCATGGGGGGCGTGGTAGTTACGGGCAATGAAACGTGTTTGCCGAGAGGCAGCATCGTGATTGCTCTGCTTCAAGCGGTGGTGATAATTGACCAAAACTATTGTTGGCAATACACGTGGCGTCGTCGCCACGTTGTGGCAGTGACGGTTATGGGCGAGAGGGTGATGTCAGCAGCCATGGGCGAAGACGTGATTCGTGTCCACGACGTCCATAGCAACGATAGCAGTGGACCTCAAACTAAACGTTTACGAGTCATGGCAAGTCCCGAGGACGGTGTCTGAGTCACCAGACACACGCTTTCGAGGTGTTAGCGTTCCCCTCCTCTAGATGCAGGCAGACAGCGCCATACGCGGCGCGGAGTATAAAAAAGTCATCGCCGCCGTCAAAACATTTTTCGGCTGGCGTAGACTACCAGCCCGACACAAATGGTAGTGTTTAAGAAGAAGCTGATCAAACGCAGCGGGGTGCGGCGCTCGCTCGACGACGACGATAACGAGCTCATTGTCTCCGGCACCACTGCCTCGGAGTCGGCGTTCACCGTGAAGCCAGTGCCTGCATCGGATGCTTCCGACATGTCGGAAGTGCCGAAGCCGTCGGAACAAGCATCGACGCCGGTGGTGCTTAATCTTGATGATTTAGACGAAAGCGACGATGAGACACCTCGGACGTTCATGCCCAAAAACGACGAGATCAAAATAACTGCTCGAGACGTGGCTAATGAGTATGGCGACGACTACGAGGACGGCTCGGAAAACAAACTCCGGCGCGGCTACAGTGATGATGACGTCGGTATCGATATTGATGGCGACGACGACACCGCTGCCGCCGACTCTGGGCGCTACCACCGTGAGGTTGATGCCGCGCCGCACCAGTTTCCTCGGGTACTTAACATTCTGCAACAGATCAGCTCTTTACAAAACATGAGACGGCTTGCCGAGGCGAAAAAGCTCCAGCTTCAACAACAAGAGGCCGACACGTTGCGGCGCTTGGACGAGATTGCCGCGAGAAAGCTTGAACTTCAACGGGAGCTTAGTTCGTGGTGATGACGATTATGACGTAATAGCTTTGAGGGCATATACCCACGTCAAAAAAAAAAATCAGCAGTGCCAATAATGGGCACACCTAATCAAAAACCCCATTTACGAATATATAGTCATGTCAGTATATATAGTGATGAGTTTTCATCTAATGCATATTTAATCGAGACGAATTAAACTGGTTACAGCTTTTATTGTAATTAACATCGCTGGATGCTATTTAGGTTCCACGCTGCTGGAGACGCGGCACTTCCCGATTGGTCGATGGGCCGTGGTAGCCGCGGTGATGAATCATCCCCTGCACATAATAGCCGCGATGTTGGGCGTTGCCGTTTTCGGTCACGGCAAACTCTAATATAAAAATTTTCCCATATCCTTTTCATGTTCAAACGGTTTTTGTCGACTACTGTCCCGAAAATGTCTACTCCTCGTCACTTGGTCAACATCCACTCGCTTCTGAATCAGGAATTCGCCGCCCTCGTCGATAAGGCCAGCGTGCTCAAAGCCCAGTTCAAACTGGGGTCCCACGCGGCCGAGGCCCACTCCAAGTTGCTCGGTAAGCTTGTGGCGATGTTATTCTCCAAACGGCTGACGCGGACGAGAATTTCCACTGAAGGCGCCGCCGCTTACTTCGGCGCCACCCCGATGTTTTTGGGTAAGGACGACATCCAGTTGGGGGTCAACGAGCTGTACTACGACACCACCAAGGTGATCTCGCTGATGGTGCTGTGTATCTTTGCCCGGGTCAACTCCCACGCTGATATCGAGGCGTTGTGCAAGGACTCGCTGGTGCCCATCATCAACTCGTTGTGTGACAAGTACCACCCGTTGCAAGCGATCTGTGACTTGTTGACGATCAAGGAGACTTTCGGTAAGACCGAGGGGCTCAAGTTGGCGTGGGTGGGTGACGCCAACAACGTGATTAACGACATGGCCATCGCCGCGCTCAAACTGGGGATGAACGTGCTGGTGGCGATCCCGCTGGACATCAAGTTCGACGCCGACATTGTCGACATTGCTAATCAATTGGCGCTGAGTCAGAACTTGACGTTTGAGATCGTCAACGACCCGCAAGTAGCGATCAAAGGCGCCGATGTCGTGGTGACCGATACCTGGATCTCGATGGGTGAAGAACTGCAAAAGCAACAGAAATTGCAACAATTTGCTGGCTACCAAATCACTCAGGAGATGGTGAAGAAGGCCGGTGCCAACCCCGGGTGGAAGTTCATGCACTGCTTGCCCCGTCACACCGAGGAAGTGGCCGACGACGTCTTCTACTCGGAACAGCTGATTGTGTTCCCTGAAGCGGAGAACCGGTTGTACGCCGCCATGGCGGTGATCGACGGGTTCGTCATCAACAAGGGCGACCTTCTCAAGTAAAAACTTTATGAGCCACGAAACATGTATAGATAGACGGATATCGCCGAACGGTGAAATTTAGAAACAAAATTAGACATCACATAAATTTAAAAATGCAAGTAGTCACTATTTTGATTTGAAACGAATGTAATAAAATTACTGACAGTTTTTCTTTCCGAGGATAATTGGTGAAGACATGTATCATCGCCGTAAATTTTTTCGCAGCCAGACATTACCCAATGAGATAATGGACAAGGCTGGTGAAATCGCAAAGAGTCCATCACCGCCGTCGGGTCACGAATTCAGCGTCGCTGCTGCACTTCCTCCTACCCACATGGACACGCTTACCCTAGGCTAATTAGTTGCAGGCGTCACGGGTGTTCTGCAACCTCTACAGACAATAAGCCACAGGCACGGTTTCTGCGGGAGCGCACGTCGCTGGGGACGTGGAACAGTTCTTTGTCTCTGGAACAATGGTGATGTAATCATGATAAGGCGGCGGTTCCACTACAGGGAACAATGCGATGGATACAGGTGATTTCAAGATGGAATCGCGCTAGTGGAACCCCCTGTCGATCACTGGCATTTGAGGGTTAAAACTGAATGAGGGTGAAGGCCTGCGAGGTGGTAGTCCTAATCTGCTGGCCGTACTTAGCGTCAGTAGGGGTAGATGTGACCACGACAACACTAAAAGGAGTCATGCAGAGCATCATGGATGGACAGTGATTGGATTCATCTTTCTGTAGGAGACTTAAGGTGTCCTCGATTTGTAGGTGTCGGGAATCATTGTTAAGTGGTGACAATAGTGGGGTATTTTTGGCATCGATTGTTGGGCTAGCAAAGTACGAGGGGCTAAACCTTATTAGGCAAAAGCACTACGAAGCACGACGAGCACGACGAAAGCACCACGGTAAACCCTGCACCCCGAGATTCAACCAGCGTAAATACAAGCAAGCAATGTGCTAGCAATGTGTTAGCAATGTGCTAGCAAAGTGGTTATGGTTTTAAAGGGATGGTGTCAGATGGTAGTGTTTCACATGGAGATGATAGTCGCGGGTGGCACATACTGACAATAGTAATATAACGCCACTATATCTTTGTTAAACTCACCCATGCCGGGTTCACACGTAACGCGCTTGACGCGTATTCCCGTAGGATTTTTTTTTAATGAATTTCTTGTTAATTAGGTGCAGGCGGAAATCTTTCTGCGGCATCATTGGGCGCTAGACCAGTGAAAATTTAACCGCATTCGGCGGTAGCAGCGGTAGCAGCGGTTGCTCGGCTTGTCCATCTTGCGGCCATAGTCATCGGGATCAAGCTTTTTGGGGCGGTGGGCGGCTTGGACGGGGACCACAACGCACACCCCCTAACTCGAGGTGTCACCGGTTTCACCAGGGAATGTGGTGCCGACACTAACTGTAGGCGTCCGGGTAAAGTTTATCGGATTCGAGATGATGCCCCCCCCACACACACACACGCGTACCACAACACCGGAGACTCATCGGATGTGGTGTATTATATCGGCTGGTGTGGCGAGAGGCATAACAGGTGAAAGTGACCGCAGGCACGGTTGAGGCGAGGGAGAAGCGGTGCGGCGGTGCCTCATAGACTGGGCAGAGAGATAGGGGGCAGTGGTAGTGGACGGCTTAAGGTTTTAATTGGGGGACACGCCCCTGGCGGGTGGAGAAAGACCACGATTTGTTGTTCGCTTGGTGTTGCCGGTGAAAGTGGAGGCACACAGACACCCCAGGGGGGGGGTATTTCCATCGTCTATAACCTAATATTTGATGCCCCGGGCTCATGTGGGGTGCTGCTTGCAGAGCACGTCCTCACTGTTAAAAAAAAAAAAGATGAGGTGACGACTAGCTTTGGCGAATGAAATTTCCATCGAGCCACAGGCGCCGGTGATGGGTAGTCCTTTCTAGATACCGTGGCCGTAGTGGGTTTAAGCGTACTCTGAATGTTTAGACCATAGTTCAAGCTGTTGTTTTGCAGTAGTGGCGGATGCGTCGTCAAACAATGCCGGGCGGGGGTCGAACCATTACGTGACATTGCCCACTGTCGTCAACCTGTCGTCTCGTGTCTCTCATTCTCGGAATGCCTTGCATGCTGCACGGCGTGCACACAAGCGAGACGATCCATTATCAGGCGTGCAGGGGATCTCCATACTAAATGGCTAATCAAACGGTATATAATCGTGCACCGTCCTCCCTGCCATCCACTGGATCAAGTCTACCAGTACATCTTATATTACATGCACTCACATTCCTGCGCCACTGCGTGTTGCTGTGCTCATGAGCCACGATGGCAAACCATGCTCTGTGACTGTGGGAGGCAAACGGTGAGATGTCCCACCTGTGGCGGGTTTGCCACGCCCAGACTGCTGTGGAGCCGACCGGTGATGTCTCACGTCACCCGGATGAGACGCACCGCCACCTTTGATAGTCTCGTCGAAGTCGACGCGGAAATGGTGGCCAAGTTCGTCGAATTGGCGCAGCGAGACCGCGATAGCCAGGCGCTGACGCCGCAACTGCTGCTCCAGCTGCTGCTGCTGCTGCTGCTGCTGCCTCGGCCTCAATCGAGACCACCACCACCACCACGGTACAGCGACCACTTCTACTTTACGCCGATGACGGAGACTAATTGATCTACCTGATTTCATCGCAACGATAGCCACGACAGCAACGACAGCCATGCCATATTTTCACCCTCTTCAATTTTGTACCATAGCAGAGATAATAGCAGATATAATAGCGGCCGCCTGGGGCGGTTTGTGTTAACGAATAATAAACATCACTCAATTAGGTTAGACGGTGACGCCGTGGTTAGGGTACCATTGTCGAGATCAAATGGCAGCGATCGGAGTTTACGAGTTCATCGGCGACACAGCTGAAGCCCGCGGTGGCTTCAAGCACCGTGCGATCCTTGCCATTGTCGCGTGGAAGGCAGGGCCGCTTCACAATGGACGCGTACGATGCGGAGCCGATGTTCTTCTGTGTGTGTGGGCGAGAGCACATGCTAGGCGGAGCACATGCTAGGTGGGTGCCTGAGCGAAGGCGCTGTGGCGGGAGGGTGCGAGTCGCAAGCGGAATGTGGGCAGCACAGACACCCGAATGCGGCAAAACAATACACTGAGCACAAACAGAAGAAATAAACACTGAGGTGTTGTCAAATAAACACCGTCTAGACTTGCTAGAATTATAAAATGACAAAAGTGATTAATTTTCATAAGATGAGAATATGGAGATATCGAATTTATACCTTAATTTACTCTACACTAACGGAGCGATATAATTGTTGGATTATCTCCATCATTCAATTGACAATGACAATGGAACAATACCGAGTTGTCACTCCGTGGTCGTAAGACATTGGCCACAGCTAGGTTCACAAGCTACATAGTCGTGGCCTATTTGTTGAGAATTGACCAATAAGGGTCGTACTTTGGCAGTGGCTCTTGCGAATTGAGTTTATCCCTGGGTATTCAGGCTATTCTCTAGAGTCTCTGGGAGAGTCAGTATATGAATACTTAACCTCTAGTGTTTAGCGGGTGTTAGCGGCAGTGGAGGGGCTACCCCACAAGTGACTCGCATCGGCAAGCCTAATTCGGCGGTAGCCGCTAACGATCATTCGCGCCACAGTGATAAGGGTTATAAACCCTTACCGCAACCCAGTCTCTCCAACCAATTCAATTGACCACATTGTCCAACTACCACCATGTCGGTTGTCTACGTTTCGGGAGCTACCGGTTTCATCGCCCAGCACATCATCAAGACCCTCATCGCTAAGAACTACTCTGTGGTGGGGCTGGTGAGATCGGCGGCTAAAGGCGACGGGCTTAAGCAACACTTTGGCGACAAATTCACTTACGAAATCGTCGAGGATATCAAGAAACCTGGCGCCTTTGACCAGCTGTTGCAAAAGCACCCGGAAGTGCTGGTGTTTTTGCACACGGCGCTGCCGTTCCACTACAATGGCGACCCCGAGACCGATCTCATGATTCCCGCTGTAGAGGGGACCAAGAACGCTCTTGCTGCCATTAAGGCTCACGGCAAGAACGTGAAACGGGTGGTAATCACGTCGCTGTACGCGTCCATCGCCGATGCTTTGAAGGAAAGCGACCCCAATGCTACCATCACCGAAGCGCTGTGGAATGAGATTCTGTGGGATGACGCTAAACAGAACCCCATCAATGGCTACCGCGGTTCAAAGACGTATGCCGAAAAGGCGGCGTGGGAGTTTGTCAAGACGGAAAAGCCTCAATGGGACCTCACTTGTGTCAACCCTTCATTTGTGTTTGGCCCTCAAGCGTTTGACGAAGAAGCTAAGCGTGACCACTTGAACACGTCGCTGGAGGTGATTAATAAGATCATCAATTTGAAACCGGACTCGGAAATCCCGCCTAATAAAGGTGGATGGGTCGATGTCCGCGACGTGGCTAAGGCTCACGTGGTGGCATTTGAAAAGGATGAGGCTAAGGGCCAACGGCTTTTGGTTAATGCCGGTCGGTTCTCGTGCCAGCTGATGATCGATATTTTAAACGCCAACGTCCCCGAGTTGAAGGGGAAGATCCCCGTGGGTGAACCGGGGCTGGACAAAAAGGCGATCGCCACGTTGGCTAAAATCGATAACCACAAGACCAACGAGTTGTTGGGGTTCAACTACATCGACTTGAAGACGTCGGTGGTCGACACCGTCGAGCAAATCTTACAAGCTAAGTTGTAAACCTTATATAACAATACAACACTGGATGTTCCAACTAGACTTATAAGGCTTGGCTTGGAAAGACTGTACATTGAGATTGTGATCTAAGGCTACATTATAATTGTAACTCATGATTTCCTAGGTACGACTTTTTTTCTGATCTACTATCTCATGAATTTTGTAAAATCTGCGCAAATCTCACACGAGATATGTTGACTAAATTCCGATTGAACTATATCTAGAAAATGAAATCCACTTCCATTAAGCTAAACAATCAAATGATTCAAAAGTTTGGATTGGCTGGTTGTCATGTGATCAGGACTCACTTTTAAATATACACAAGGCATCGCGACGTCTGTCGTCCAGGTGCCGCACCACTGTACAGCTTCTACTTAACTTCTGGCCATCGCCAATGCACCCTACGGGTTTGTGAAGGCTATGGTGAGAACTGATGAAACCATTAGAGAGGATGTACGTGCTGAGTAATGTGCTTGGTGCTTGGCGATAGAATAAAGATGTCCGAGTATCATGATCAAATACTCGTTGTAGAACTTATGCTAACTCCATTTCTAAGGTTCTTCGACAGCTTTTCTAGATTTCAAAATGCCGTGGCGGCTTGTTGCGATTTCAGAAGCTACTCACTGAATTCCATATTTGGTAACTCAACTGGAATTCCATTAACATGTACAATTTTCTCCGTTCTCCAAGGAGGTGATCCCTAAGATTTTTCTACCTTTGAAAAGACTAATAACCTTTGAGGAGGAGATAACCATTTGATCCAATTACGACTCAACTACCAATAGTGAACATCGATCATTTTCGGATTGTGTTTCCGTAGAATTAGAGCGGCACGTTCGAGGTGCTTCTATGCGGTGGGCCCATGCTCTTACATCAACAGTGAGTGTACGAGCATGAGGGGCTGCCACTGGTGTCCACCCATTCATAGAAAGTCGTCATAAAAGTCGTCATAGAGGTCGCATTTGACACAAAATGGCATCTGATAGGAGGAACGTGGGCGGTGACAACCGCATGTGCTACTTTGTGAGGGCTGCCTCGAAAAATGGAACACATAGAGAGATGTCGCCGCGTAGCTCCCTCAGTTATGTGCCCCGATACTATTAATATCAAAGAGGCGGAGACGGATCGTTTTGGGAAACTCATCCGTTTTATTATTGTCCATAGTCAGTGGCTACGGGAGACAGTGGGTTGTCACCAACAACGCCCTCCGTAAGATCGCCCTTTTAGACCTAGCGTTTCAGGTTCAGTGATCCCCTTACAAGGGTTACTTTTTAAATGAGATGTTAAAGCTTAAGTGTCGGGGGAAATGGTTAAGTTTGTGTCGTACGGGTATTTAGATATCGGGCCTTGCTTAACCTGGGCCTCGAGCTATATGCAGGCGGTCGTGTTTTTTTTTCTTTCTTGCGGTGGTTAGGTGCACCCGCCCGCCATACAACACGACACCCTATAACTTGGATATAACCCGCTGCATCTGAGCGTGCTTCCCACCCACCTTAACCCTCCTTTCCCTTATAATACATCGCCGGTGCGTGTGTGTGTGTGTGGCATGGAAACCCTGATATGTGCCGCTCCCAGCGCTCCCGGCGCTACCACGGCGTCGCCCCCGGATTCGCTCCCTGGCGTCGGCGCCGGGGTTGGGCACCAGCCTCGCCTGGTCGGCGACCTTAAGCGCCCGCTGAGACTTGATCTACTCGACGATACCCAGCTTACCAGTCTCCCGTTAGCGCCGCCGCCGCCGCCGCACCCAGTGGTGCTGGCGCCCGTGATACGCGATCGCGCGAGCACCGCCGGCAGTTCCGGCGTCGGCAGCGCTGACGACGACGACACCCTCAGCGTCAACGACACCTTTGACGACGTCGGCGACGACTCGCAGCTAGTGCTTGTCGAAGACTACATCAGCACGGTGCCGTCGATCCCGCGCAAACACCTGCTAGCGGTGTTTGTCAGCCAGCTTGTCGAGGACGACCGCGTCGACATTTCCACTAAGCGGCGCCTTTCAGCGCGCCCCGCCGGCGCCGGCGCCGGGGGCGAGCCGCTCACGGCGATCTTTGGCGACATCCCCGCCACCTCCGAGTTGAAGTACTGTGATCTTTGCGTTAAGCCATTATACGAAGTGCTGCTGCTAGCGCAACGGCGCCACCAGCAGTTTGTCTGTGGCGAGTGCATTGAAACTTACGAGGAATTTGCCCACGGGTGGGGCGACCACTGTACCATTAGCCACCCTCCCTTCCCCTTTGAGAAGAGCGCCAGCGTCAACGACGTCACCCCAAAGGCGCTGAAGGCGACGCCGCGACCCTGGCACGCGGCGCTGTGCTCCGACCTCTGCCAAGTGAAGCCGCCCCACGTACGATTAGTGGAGATATTCTCCACTATCGACCAGAAATACACTCCCGCCAAGCGCGCCCGGTTTAGCGACGGACTCGTGTCGCGCCTCAGCCAGCTCCAGCAGCTCCCGAGCCGCCCGCGCCCGTCGAAATGGAGCTGGCGCCAGTCATCTACTTAAATCAGCAAACGCTTTAATAAGTTAAACTTGTATACTAGTATGTATTATGACAATTACGAAACACACATTAAACACAAGAGGTTTGAAATCTGGGATCGAGGACGCGAAGTAAAGGGCCCCCCTCCCTCCCCTCGGGACGGGTGTGGAAATTAATGACTGTGGATGTCCCGGGTTATATGAGGGGGGTTAATAGTAGTAATGAAGAGGATGTACATCCGGGGTGTCACCAGCTGGGGGTGGCGACGGGCGCCGCGACCGAAATGCCAAAGTCCGCCAACGCCTGGGCGTGGGGCGCCATCGGCGCTGCCGGCACCGCCGGCGGGGTGGCGGGGTAGGCGGGCATGTCGAGGTCGTCGAACAACCACGCCTCGAGCGCCGACGGCCACGTCGCATGGGAGTGGTCCGGCGCCATCATCGGCGCCATCGGCGCCGCCGGTGCCGGCACCGGCGGCGACTCCGGGTCGGGTATCGTCAACGCGGCGGCGGCGTCGGCCCATTCCGCCGGGTACAACTGGGTTGTAGGGTACAGTTGCGTGGGGTATTGTGGCGGGTACACGGCTGGCATCATCATCATGGGGGTGTCGGCAAACGGTTCCGACAACTCCGACACTTCCGGCGTCGGGAGCGGCGCCGTCAGCGGCAGGCTGGCGGGCACCGGCAGGATGGTGTCCGCTTCCGACAGCAACAACGGCAGGCAGGTGGGCCACGTCAGGATCAGCAGCAGCAGCAGCAGCAGCAGCGCCAACAGCGCCGGCACCGGCGGCAGCAGCCACCCGCTGGGGTCGGCGGCGACATCGTAGCTGGGGTGGCGACTCACCTCCGGTGTCGGCGGCGCCTGGGCGGCGACGGCGGCGCGCAGTTTGCGGGGGCGACGGTTTTTGCGATTGTTCTTTTTAATCTGATTCAACCGCTTCTGCTCCATCCGCTCGGCGATTTCCTCGGGCGAAAGCTGGCTGAACGGACACTGCTGCTTGTAGCGGACACAGCACAAGCACTGGGGGTAGGTTTCGTCGCATTTGACCTTGCGCTTCTTGCAGGTGGCACAGCCAAAGTGGGAGTTTTCGTGTTTGCGGCGAGCCATGACACAATATGCCGGTAGGGCCTTTTACCGGGGGCAGTGGCGGCGCCATTTATATAGCTGCCTGCTGGGTCGCTCGCCGCTGCACCCGAGGTTCCTGCTCGCTGTCAGGGCCACAGTTCGCAGGTTGCAGGGGGGGCTCGAGGGAGGGGGAGCGGTGAGAGCATGAAGCACCGCAGCCCTGATCCACGGGGCTGATGGCACCATGAGCAGGAGAAAAAAAAAACCGGTGCCAGAAAGATAAGGCTTGGAGCCCCCCCCCCTCGCTCCTAGCGGGTCGGAAGGGGCCAGCAGCAAACAATATCTCGCCGCCCCAGGGGGTATCTCTATCGAGGAGGGGGTGTGTCGGCGCAAGCCATTCAATCACAGGGTGTTTCACCTGTGGCCTATGTCTCACTATAGCTAATAACTTTGAACCATGGTTCGATTGCCGTTTTGGCTTGGGGCGGGGTTTGGTGGATGGTACGATAAAGGCGGCCGGGGATGGCGAACGCCGAGCAAAAGTTATTTTGGCGGCACAACAAACCCTTACCGCTTCGAGATACGTCTGGTTGGGGCGCCAGGGCCGCCTGGCCCACACTCCTGTATTTCGCAGATCCTAACACTTTGGCAGCACACAAAAATAGCAGCACTTTTTAAGTATTGTTTTTTTTTTTTTTTTTTTTTTTTTTTGTTTTT